GCAAAACTTCAAACATGTCAGTGTAACAATATCTGATCTATTACATGTATACTAACCCCTCAAATAGTTCATTTCTGAAAATTTAGCAAAAGCCAATGATGTACATTCCCTTTAAATATGTTGCCAAAGCCGTTGTCTGGTACCCAGAGAAAATATATTCCACAACAAGTATATGAAAGTTGAGTACCAGACTGTACTTGTACTTCTACTTGGCATAACTTAACATCTTCCCTTGCTCAGAGATGCCAACCAGTACAGTTTTATTGTATTTTCCACGATCAACTAGTGAAATACGATAATACAATTGTTCATAGTAAAATTTGATTTTCGTTAAAAAATAAATATACATTGCTAACAGGCAATGCAGCCATCACCAGACTGCTTTCATTTGACCTTGACCTTTGACCTAAAAAATGAAGCCCAGACATGTTTAGGCCTACATTTACATTTTGATCTGCTTATTTTCACTGAGCTATCCCCTTGTGGCATTTTACATACTTCTAAAATTTGTATTGTGATGAGTTTATGTTGAATTCAATGTTAATGTATTGCATTTACCTATTACATGTAAACCTATGGCGTAATTCCGTTACCGCCCAGGCGTAATTCCGTTACCGTGATTAAAATGCTAATTATGAAAAGAGTGATTATTTTTTCAACTTTGTTCTGCATTGTAGTTAACAACACCCCTGAACTCTACAAATAACAGGTAGTGTCCAATTTTAAAATTTCAAAACTTCAGAGAGTTTTATTAATTTATGCGAGAACTCAAATATGCTTGTCCTCCGTCCGTAATTCCGTTACCGATATTAAGCTCCGCCCCTGAAAGGGTAATCTTGTGGGATTTTTTTTGTTTTAGCGGTCAATCAATTCTACTGGGTCTTGGCTCCCTTTCCATGTTTAGATTAGTTGCCTAGCATTGAACATATTTTCTTGGGAAAGAATAATCCTTGACAAAGTGACAAAATTCCGTAATTCCGTTACCAAAGAATTGCCCATTTGACCTTTTAGAAATTTGAGTGTGTGGATGCAGTGATGCAGGACCCCAGTGTGTACGGTCTACAATGTACCTGTATAAACCTGACATATTGTTTGTTGACAATTATAGGGCAAATCACCAGATATTTTCTGCAGCAAACACGTACCGTACAGTTCCTCGATAAAATTGATTTTTTTTTTATTTCATATTTAATAAAGAACATGTACTGGTACATACACGTAGGGTGTAAATTATGTCAACGTACAAATGTATGTTCATGGAACACCCCTGGGCGAAAAAACAACAAATTAACTGCTTTAATTCTGTTGAAATACCTGACTCGCAGATAGTTTTACAAATTATAAAAACGCCAATAAAATCAATCTATAGAGGAATTTTCCTCATGTCTGTGTTTTGTTGTTTTCACGTCTACACAATTCTTAAGTTTACATCAAGCCTATCTACAGTAGCGCTAAATTATTATTACCTACCGGTACTTGCTAGACCTTATGGTACATGGGCATGTAGGAAAATAAGGAAAACAGATAAAAATTTATTATGGAATTTCTATTATGTAGACCTACCGGGTACGTGGTCTGTCCATAAATTATATTTGAAGTTAATTTACAAAATGGTCATGACTTTTGATTCAGACTTTCTTTAGTTTTGTACAATTGACACAGGTACATCCGGTACATGAATTTGTAAGGCATGCATCTACCTGTTAAGCTGAATAAGTTACATACATTTGTTTGCTCAAAATTTATGCATAAAATGGAATCCATGTACATGTAAACTGGTAAAGAATTCACTAATTGACATTTCGTTCAGCTTTGCCCACGGATGAACGGTTTGCTTAATAAAATGTATCTCATACCATAAATTTGCTCAATCACAATTTATGCGCAAACTATTAGGATGAGCTACAGGTTCGGATACATGTATCATAGAGCAAGCATACATCAACTCTAAAAAAAAACCCCAAATTTATTTAAAACTTTGCAATGCAAAGACCCATTATCCTAACGTGCAGGATCTAAAAAATTTTTTTAAATATCGACTTTAGTTTCAGAAGGGGAAAAAAAATCAAAAAAATTCTGAAAGGGCTCAGAAATTGATACTCTACAGGCAACGTCTGCATAAACAACCGGAGCTAAAAGACTCAACCTGACACGAGATACCTTGAATGCACCGCGCAACAGGAATTAGCAGGAAACAGCAGGACAAATCACAAGGAGTTCTCATTTTCAAGTGCGTTCTCACGCCGTGTCCCAAGGGGGAGGGGGAAACGAAGAATACCCCGAAATGTATCTCTTGACTTAGGCAGGTGATGCAAGACATCCATCCTCCCACGCGATCGTGAAGGCATCGGGAACTCAAAAGGCACGTTTTGTCATGGTTTTCGGGGAAAGAGGAGTATTTAATGCTCCCAGAAGGGGCTATCTCACTTCAATTGCTGCATTCTTTTCAAGATCATATTGATCAAATTTCTTATTTGTGAGGCGTTCCAGCAATGAGACAGTAACACTCTCCTTAGAATACTGTTTGTTGCACTTCAATCGGATAAGTTATGGCTGTTTAAAGTTCTGTTGTGACCAGTAGAAAGGGCATATTTGCACTCGTTGCATGTTTTAAAAGCATGAATCACGCAACACTGTGTTATGTAATAATATAGGCCTATTAGGGTACAACAGTTTGCATAAATTTATTGACATGTCAAATAAAAAAAGCAACGTACTGTGAGAAAGGCCTTTAAAGTTTTGAGTTTTGTTGTCGTGAAAATGCCATTTAGCCAATTGTTTTTCCTTAAAAACACTTTTATTCCACTTCATTGTACCGGTATTTTTTTCAAAACTTAAGTAGACATACTGGTATCAAAGATTAAAAATACCAGTATTGAGTAAATCTGAAAATCGGAGGGAAAAATCACACCCATTCCATTTTTCTCCACTACGGCCTGTGTCCAGTTCTGTCTCATTTTGCCAGAACGCCTCACTTTTTTTTTAAAGAAAAATATGAACCAATCTTTCTGTCTGTGATGGAACAATAGCTTGCAAGAAAAAAATCAGCATGCACTCTACAAAATGACAGTATTTTTTGATATTCATATTGCCTGATGTTTTTCCCAAAATATTATTGGATTTTTCTGAGGAAGGCACGATGCAGCTATTGCTTGCTGGAAATTTAATCAGTCCACCGGAAAATGAGAAAGCAATTTTAGAAGGCGTTTTTTATTTTTTTATTTTTTTTGGCCGCCGTCTCTACAGGGAAATCTTCAAAGGATGCAGACTTGTTTCAATGTGAGGAACTTTACAATAAACCTACAGAAATGCAACAAATTCATGAATAAGAAAATTGTGTAAAGAAACTATGTGTACCGAATAGAAATTGAAGTTTGCAAACGCACTCTGTAATTCAATCATTTTTGCCAGAAATTTAAATACCAGTGCCATTAGAATTTTAAATACATACATGTACATGTACCTCCAGGTTCAATACATATGCTGGCATACTCCATACATTATATACTGCGGTTGTTGTGATAATTTACGTTTCTCAAGAATTTTACCAAATTTCATGGCGCTGCTTACCGTTAACGAAAAATCCCCGCTAAAAGTGTTATAGAAAATTCCGTGCTTACATGTAAGGTTAGCAAAGATTTAGGACGGACTTTTGGCTTACACTTGTATACATGTGCAGGCGTGCATGTATATCCCACAACTACCGGTAGGGATTAATTGTTTTGCTAGTGTGGTTAGCACAGAATGGTGATCATAAGCACGGAATTCGGTGGTTAGCAGAACCGTGAATTTAGGTGCATTTCTCAACCAGTCATTACTGTTTACTGCCATAATCATTCACTGTCCAACACCAATGGTAAAAACCAGAGCACAAGTCAGAAATTATCCTATTTCAACAGATGTTCTAACATGTATTGACAACATGTACTGTGTCAATCTACTGTAGTCACTCATTTTCACCGCAGAAACCACAGGTACCGGTATTGACTAAACTCCTCTCAATGTCAAAAAGCTAAATTCAATAGTGTCTGAGTCTGATGTGTCCAAGAGGATTCAACCGGAAAAATAAAATAACACTATCAACGGGGGAAACCTTCAAAGTCCTGAATTATGCATTGAGCAAATGGTTTCCGAGTGTTCATGGGCGCTACGCTTCATACAGTGTAGAACAATTATTGCACTCCAGTGAAGAGTGCAATTTCTGAGAAAGACCATTTGGGGTTCATATCAAGTCCTGTTTTGATGAGTTATCGCAGCTCAGTATTTGTCTGCATTCAGCTTCCTCACTGGCTACAAATTCATTTCAAAACTTGTGATCTAAATCCCTAAATTATCCAAAATCAACCCAATTGCTTGGCCTAGGGATACCATTTGCACGAAACACCAGGGACTACATCAAAGTAGACAATTGTACAACTTGCCTTTGGTAGAAGGTTAAGGGGGACTTCATTGATCCACAGCCCCCAAAGTTACATGTACTGGTAGGGACCTGAAATCATGCAGCAGCATTCAATTTTACGAAACAGTGCATAACTTACGTCATTCATAGGACTTGCGCAACAAATCTAGTGCGCAGCTGCGCAATATATACTCAAGATCGCTTTCATGAAACTTGGTGTACATGTAGATGTGCAACATTTTAAATAATCCAAACATCTTGGACAAGGATAATAAGCGTTTACGACAGATGTTTGTGTACACGGTTTTGTTCATTCGTGGAACAGTCGTTGAATCACCTCCGCCCAGCCATTTTGAAAATTAGTTTTGAACAACTTTCTGAAATGAAATTGTCATAACTTTAATGTTCGGCAGTCTAAAATGTTGAACAACTCAGGGTACATACGCAATAAACTGTGGTGCAAGTGGAGTTGGACATTATGTAAAGTTTTGTGAAATCGGCTGCTCCAGTCTGAAGCCAAATCTAGAGACAGAGAGCCTACATTTGGGAAACACCCACAGACCCGTATGACTTGTAATACAAGTATGAAACCCTGACTTACCGATGCCTCTTCTCCTGTACTCCTTCACCACCCCCAGACTGAGGATGTAGGCCACTTGGGTTGAGTTTGGGAATGTAGCCGACAAGATGTTGAAGTCCTACGAAATTAAAAGAAAACAGAAATTCATTTCGTCATTAACCCCGACTTCTCCACAATCTTCTACTGTGCAGAGAGGAACTAAAAAGCACACACTTTGAATTTGAGCTGGGATGTTCTTTCCTCCTGCAACAACAACTCCTGAGAGATATGTTCAAAGTCTGGGAGGGCAAGGGTTAACTCATCTTCCCAATCAAAGTATTTTTGAAGTTTTCGTGAGAGACCTACATGTACATGTACATGTAATTTCAAACCCTGCCCAAACGGTACACAGAAGGAGAGGTTTAATAGTTTATTCTTGGTAAGAAATAAAAACACATGCACCTAGCTTTCATGTTTGACAAGTATACTTGTAACACCTAAAGTTCTGAGTTTCCATGTCAGCACCAGCAACAGCCCCAAAAAGGCAAACAGGTACGGTAGCTCTACCTGGTAGCAAAAAAAAGCCGTTTGAAAATTTAGATGAAATTTCAGATGACATAAACTCTGTGTAGAGTATGTTTTTATGGAGGTCTACCAGATGTTCCCCAATATCTACAATGTACATTTATGTTCCCAAATACCTATGTTTTTCAAAATCCTTAGGGTTAGGGTTAGGGAAAATGTACCGGTAGGTATGCACCCGTTTTTAAGATAACAGTTATCCTGTGAATACTGCTACATGTATATTTATTTTCTTGAGGCATCTAAATGCAAGTTGATTTCATAATACATTTTTGTACATATGTACATGTACATGCCTTTGAAAGAATTCCGACAATTTCAATGATGTAACTTTTTTAAAAGGTGGGGCTTTTCTTTCCAGGAAGGGGCATATTTCTTAAGGAAACACATGTACATGTAATGCAATATGTACTTCTAATACACATTAGTTCCTGGTGTATTTAAAGTAGACAGTTTACATGCACATGTTGTACAATGCATGTGCTACAAATGAGAAAGTTGAATAATGGTATACAGCATAAACCCTGACACTTGTCAGTTGAGCCTGAGAAATACAAGTGAAACAAGCTCACAGGTTAAACCTTGCTGTACACAACCACAGACATTCTGTAATCATCATGATCATGGCCTATAAAATGATGCTGAGTATGTGAATTTAAACATTAGACCAAAAAAAAAAATAGTCGGTCTCTGGTCAGCGCGCGCGTCGATTCTAATCATGCGCGTCAATCCTTTTTTTTCCCGAAATTTTCTGCGGTAGCTCCAACAGAAATCTCTATTGCCGCACCTCCTCAAATGTTTGTACCAAGGAGCACCAGGGAATGGGAAATTGCACCAAGGCAAATGATCGAGGGCACCAAGGCAACTTATGGAGGACACCAATGTACATGAGGACACCAAAAAAGCAAAATAGTACCCCACCTTGTCTGTACAATCCAAGCTTGAAGAAAAAAAAAGCGCCCCCCCCCCAAAAAAAAAAGCCGCGTCGCCGCGTCAATTCCGGAACTTTGGTCTGACCAGAGACCGAATTTTTTGTTTTGTTGGCCTTACAGTTGTAGTATTTGGTTTAATCAAATCAGTTGGCCTGTTTGAATCTGATACATTGTACAAGGGCTAAAACCATTTTTTTTTTAATTAGCATCATCCCCATGATAACTTCATTGTCAAAACTAACATTATCTCCCCCCCCCCCCCCCAAAAAAAAGGGTAAGTATAAATTTGTTCACATCGTTTTACATTTACAATGTATTGGGCCTACGTCCGTACACAGTATACATCAACATGCACAATGTATATAGGAGGACAACTGGACAAGTAAACATACTTGAAAGAATCTACTTTACTTCGGTCTACAAGTATTTCAGAATTGTGGGGCATTTTATCAATTCCAAGAACATTTGCATGCATGAATAAAATTTAACAAAATTATAAAAAAGACAAAAAAATAAATTAAATTGCCGACCCTATGCACACCCATTTGGGGTCGGTCGGGTTACTGGAAATGTATACAATGTATATTCCTTCTTTTTTTGGACTAATGTGCACTGTGCAGTCACTTTATTTTTGTAAAATCAGTACAGAATGCTAGGAAACGGAACTGAATATCTGTGCAGTTTGGACACTGAAAGAAATGACCATGTTCCAAAAATGCTTCCATTCATTTCCTCCTCGTCATGACCTGTCCTACCGGTACTGGTGTCTTACAGGACATATAAAAGTTCAAATGAAATGAACTAGCTTTTCCATCAAAATTGTTACAAAACAAGAAAATATCTTCTGATCTGATTGATGGCATCAACAAAATATTAAGCTGGTACCCTCACAATGAAACCAATGTTTGTTGTTTGGTCGACTGACAAAATTGAAGGTTTTTTCCCTCTGTATATTTAGCATTTTTTTCCCCCACATTTTAGAAGCAACATTACTCCTGTCAGGCCATACTTTTTTTGGCATTGTGAAAATAGTTATGTTCACACTGTCATCTGACGTTGTCATTAACCCTTACTCTCTGAGGGTAGTTTACTGCATGTCAGTTGGTTATGCCAATGCCCTCCAGCTGCAGTATATTGGCAGATAAACTATCTTGACAGTGAAGGCTCCAATTGGCAGGAGTTGGAGGCCCTGGAGGGTGCCTGATACTGACCAGCTGGGGGCACTCACTTTGTTATCAGAGGACTCTCATTGTTCTCTGTGGCATGTATTGGAGTGCCTGTCCAGTTACCCTTGAAATGACATGGCAGATATTGGAGGGCCATGCAAAAAACATAGGAGATTTTCTTGAGGCACATATTGGCATGCGTTGGAGGGTCAAGTAGGGTAAGGTTAAAGTGCAGGGTTTTAAATATCTCACTGACCGTCTGTTAATTTGTTTAAGAGTCAAGGATTAACGCAACTATCTAGCATAAAGTTTTATCAATTTGAAATCTAAATAAACTTTGTATTCTTATAAATATATCAGTCAAAAGGTCAATCAGATTATTAAAAAATAAAAAGAGCTAAAAAGGATAACAAGGTTTCTACCCTAGGAAATGGATGCATTAGCAGCAAATAGTAACAGCGCATTGTTTTATCAATTTGAGATCTAAATGAACTTTGTATTCTTAAAAATACGTCAGTAAAAAGGTCAAACAACTAATCAGATTATTAAAAAAATAAAAATAGAGTTAAAAAGGTAGACAAATTTCTACCCAAAGAAATTGATGCATTAGCAGCAAAGAGTAACAGCGCATTGATACCATGTATGAAAATCTACGGGATGAAAAAGTATGTAGGGGCCTATAATTTTTCTAAACAATAAGTAAAAAAAAATTGCAATTTACCATGGGCGCCATCTGCACTGGCCAGGAATGGTTATATGTGCACCAAAGTAAATTTAAACAAAGTTCTTCCAAATACTACAAAATCAGTTGTTAGATATTCACAGATTCAGGATAATTAACCCTTACCCTACTAGACCCTCCAACGCATGCCAATATGTGCCTCAAGAAAATCTCCTATGTTTTTTGCATGGCCCTCCAATATCTGCCATGTCATTTCAAGGGTAACTGGACAGGCACTCCAATACATGCCACAGAGAACAATGAGAGTCCTCTGATAACAATCAAGTGCCCCCAGCTGGTCAGTATCAGGCACCCTCCAGGGCCTCCAACTCCTGCCAATTGGAGCCTTCACTGCTACATCAAAGTATCCTCCAATAAACTGCAGCTGGAGGGCATTGGCATAACCAACTGACATGCAGTAAACTACCCTCAGAGAGTAAGGGTTAATTGGTTAAAACCCTTCTGCTGTATAAACAGTCGCGAACAGTCAAAAAAATCAATCCTCTTCCCCTGCCATGCCTTAATAGACAGGCTTGTCACCACTAGTCAGATAATTATTTCTAGTATTAAAACATTGTGACTATTAAATTCAATCAACAAACAGCACGTAACTGGTAGGTTATCGCTAGGTGGCTTATCAATTTAGCTGGCTTATCAATTTACTACAAAGCTGTATCAAGTTACAACAGTGAATGCCCATTCACATTGTACAAATATACATGTACATGTATATATGTACGCGACATTGTCGCACAACAATGCTGCCCATCTTTTAAAGTTAAGCACAGATCAATGAACACGTTTATACTTTACATGACAAAGCAATGCATTTTGTCACTTATTTATTTTTGCGTATTTATAAGAACGTACGAAAAAGTGATGCATCAAAGTCGTGTTCATGTGTATAATTTGGCCATTATAGCCAGTCAATCCTGCTTTATGTACTGTAGGCAGGGAGCATTCCACTGTTAAAAACAGTCAATTGATTACGACTGCTGAGGTGTCTTTGTGAAATTGCAGGCAGGGAGGGTGAAATTACTATCATCAGATAAGAAAATCCATCACGTTTGAGGTTGTCTCAAACATGTTTTGAATATGATGGAAGTTACGGTACATCACGGACACAACTACTGGTACTAATGTAACATTTTGAGTACAGAATTATTTGAGACAGACTAAAACTATGCACAAGGATGTTAAAGCTAATGCCAGTTTTCCATCAAATGTGGGCACCATTTTGAGTTAATAAATTGGCTTACTGTCCGCTAAGAGTTAAGATTATTTCATCACACGTGCACTCTGCTTATTATGCAATGAGACGTGAGTACTATGACTTTGCATCATTTCAGAAACCATTACGCCAAGTACCGAATTATCAATGAGATTTTGCTCAACCGTTAAACGGAAACCAAGCCCATTAGGAAAACAAAAAAACCCTGCATTCATTAATGGAAACGTGGCAGATGTTTTGTCAAGAATGAATACGCTCATTTGCATAAATTAGGCCAAGAAAAATATTGTGTTTCCCATTACAATGGGGCCCGTGGGTAGGTACAATTTTTTTTTAGCTCTAAATTTATATAACCAGAAAAAATATGCTCGGATGATGTTCCATTACTTCAGCATGTGAATCAACTGTTCATTCTGTGTTCGCTGCGCTGTGTATACGCTTCGTTGTACGGTGCAGCAAGACCCACCAACATAGAATAAAATCTTTTTAAAAATGCAGGACGATTTCCACAAAATACTAGGGTCTGGGACGGGACCATTTTTTTATTGTACCCTTTCCTGACCTTTTCCAGTATTACCAAAACTAATAAGTTTTATTATTTCCAAGTATAATGCACAGTACAAGTGTGGACTCTCAAATTAAATTAGTCTCTATTCAAGTTGAGAGTAAATTAAATAGTGGGTACAATACACAACGTTGAATCGTGACTAATAGAGTGTGAACTCAACAATGACTCGGTTGTAGACTAGTGGATGTGAAATCTAGTGGGGTACTGGTACTTTTTCAGTTATTTATTAGTGACTGCACTTTTTCTCAATGATGTTTATGTCTGTACAGTATTTTTCAAAACGGGGAAGAATATTGCATCCTGATGCCAGTTTTTTTCATCATACATTTATAAGATTGGATGGCTTTGAGGGAGATACAAGAATATATCGCATGAGATATACCATAGCGAGTGCAATATGTTCTTGTATCCCCGAAAAAAGCCATCCAATATTATCATTATTTATATCAGGCTGACTTGATTCACAAGAAATATGTTTCCGGACACCGTCTCCATTTCTCCTATTTCGTCGAACTATTCTTCACTTACCGAAACCACTTTCGCGTCACCTGAAGCTGCCGTTGTGGTTATTGACAACAGTACGCATATACCCTGCTGCGTGCTGCGCGCGCGTCCGCATGCGACGGTACTGCGCGCTACGTTCTGTTTACAACTGTGAGTTCCTACGCACTTGATTGTGTGGGAACCAGTGAAAATGCCCAGATGAGGGCAGTATCAAAAGTAATATTGTACTTTTACTGCATGATTTTGCTGTCATCCGGGTACTTTTTGCGAAAGCATACAATATGCTGATATTTTTTTACCGCCGGAAGCCTGATATAAAAAATAATAAATCACGAAAGGTCAGTCATTGCCAAAAATGTACTGAAAAGACATGAATCTGGGACTGAAAAACATTTCAAACTTTAAATCTCCAAATTTTGCAACAACAGTATCTGAGGTCCGGTATCATATGAAATTTGGACTACTATAAAATCTGGTCTCTAACCCTCTTACATCACCTGTCACTGTCTTAATTACAAGTATCTTCACTTAGGCATGCACAACACAACCAAGAGGTCCATATTTCATAGAGCCAAATATCACACTACACCAGACTTCAATTCAAAACTTGACCAAAACACTCATAATATGATTCTCAATTCTAAGAAATCTCTAGGAGTAACCCCCCCCCCCCAAAAAAAATTGGATACCAACGTACCTCTCTGTGACATCGTGACCTGGTCTTGACCTCAGCAACAATCAGACCCACAATCTTGCCGGCCGACTCGGCAGCTAGCGAGTAGAACTTCTGGTCGCTTGTAATGTCACGATACCACGAATCCGGATACCTGTTTGGTAATGAAAGGTACAGCGTTAAGACATATGGTTAACTCATCATAAACATAATGTATGGAATCTGCAGGGAATTTTGACTAAACCGGAACAATTTGCTTTGGAAAATAGTAACCGGTGACAGTACAATGTATCAAGGCATACATGTAGTTGTTTACAACACTTGCACACTGGGTCTCCAACAGTGCAAACACCATTTTTCTACATGTACAATGTATATTTCTTGATATTAGAAGGTTTACAATGTATGTTTATGATCTATGGATCAGTGTTAGTACTCATACTCAAGTACATTTGTATTAGTACTCATGAAAATGTACTCGTACTCACAAGAAAATAATACCTGTACTCGTACTCATGCAAATGTTTTCCTGTTGGAATTTAAAAAAAAATTAAGAGCTACTGAGCTACATATGTACATGTACAAGCATGAAAAGAACCAGTTTTCTACTGTTTGGGAGGCTTTCACATTCGTCTCATGCCTAGGTTTGACAGCAAAAAGCCCTTGAGAACATGCTTACCACAGAAACGAGCTAATTGTCTTGGAAAGTACTCGTATCGTGGAAACATACACAGATTGCACTCACAGAAAAAAAATTACCTTGTACTAACGGCAAAGTACTCATACATGTACTCATAGAAATGTACTAAAATACAACACTGCTGTATATGATGTATCAATAACTTTATCATGTTTATGGGCCAATTTACACCCTTTCACTTAATTGATTGTAAATTTCTGGAGCCACCCAAATGGAATGCATGTTGCTTGGGACAAGTTCTCTGCTTATTTTAATAACAGCACAAAACTTTGATACGCAATATTATCCACTTAGGAGTGTCTTTAAATTTTGGACCTGGTCATCCAGGGTCTAAATTGCACAGAGATCCCAAGCAGAAAACACTGCTTTGCATGTGAGCAGAATTTAGATGAGAACCAGTCGCATGTAAGATGCATTGCACAACCGTATTTCCCGTGCTTAGCATTATTGTGTCCTTACCAGCTCAATGAAATTGAACTCTGCTGTAGTAGAAATACAGGAAGCCTTTGGTAAAACAATTCTGGTGTGAAACTAAAAGATAAGCTACCGGTACCATATAGTGCAGGTATCATAAACAGTATTTGAACAAAACAAGTAAGCATCACCAAGTCTATTGACCCGCATCCGGGTACCGGATTTTTTTTATAACCTGTAATTTTTCTATCTTTGTTTATTATTTGTACCTTCTGTTACATACGAGAATAGAAAACAGTATTTGACTTAAACATAACCTCATAAATAACAAGCAAAGGCTGAAGTTCAGAGCTTACCACTGAGACTGCAGGGGGGAAAACAAATTAAAAATTTTCCTTCCCGACTGGATTTTTTTCCCCCGCCCGCTGGACAGGAAACACCTTTTTTTTTAGGATGGCCTGATAAAGAATTCACAGTTATTTTACATGAAAATTAGCCCTACTGTCTAGTTTACAACGCACGATGTGCTTGCTAAACAAACGTTTGCCTACTGCAATGATGGCTGATCACGGGAAAAACCGAATGGTCACATGGTAATCTGACGTTATACGATCAAAACTTAAAGGATCGGAACCTATACTCACTCTACTGGAAACCATTCCCCGCACAATCTCTTGACCTCCGACACATCGTCTGGACACAGAAACCTCAACTTGAGCAGTTGGTTCTTTCCTCCTCCTCCATGACCCTGCCCCTCCCCTTCCTTGACCCCGCTGGGGGCGTGGTCTTTACCAGCACTTGTAGTCATGCATGCGGTGGGAGGCGGTTGCTACAGGTATGCCCTTCGCATGCCCTCGTCTTCTGAAGAATTACATGAACATGTAGAGGATTTGGGTAAGCTAAAGAAAGGTCAACCTGACAAAACAAAAAGCCAAGGAAAAATACAGACTAATAAGCAAAATTCAGACACATTGATATCAAAATAAGGCATTATTTAAAGGGAATATACATCATTTGCTTTTGCTGTAATTTTCAGAAATGGATGGAATTGGGGGGTTGGAAATATATAGCAAATATAGCTACACTGACTTTTTTGAGGTTTTGGGTTCGAAAATGCTATAAAAACCAAGAAAAACGATCATTTTCCTGTAGTCTGGTTCCCTGACTCCATATTAGAAGAAACAGAGCAGTTTACATACATTGGGGAATCGTAAAGTCAGGGAACCAGTCTAGCTGGCTCGTACCCGTTCATAGGTTTGTAATCGATTGCAAACAAGTGCGATGGTCAATTGGGGCCAGTTTTTGAAAAAAAAGCCAGTTGTTTCCAACGCTGATCGGCCGATCAGCGTTGGAAATTGATACAAAAATACCACTTTTCTTGAAAATGACAGTATAGGCCCTACCAGGTGCCATAATTTTACAAGATGCTTTAGACTGTCATTTACCAACATCCTATTAAGGTATTTCGCAAAAACTTGGTAGTTTTATTTTTCGATGTTTGCAAATGTTGTATATTCCCTTTAAGCTGCACTGACCTCACTGCAAAATTTTAATGCAAATTTTACTAAGTTTATGTCCAAACATCAAAACAAGTACATTTACTACAGTACAAGACATTGTTGTCTTGTACAGTACAAGACATCATTGTCGTTTTGCGCTTTGCAACCAAAACAGATTACAAACCATGTTTATACTTTTATAGGGCTGTCCAGTTTCAAATAATTTAGTATTCAATTACTCGAAACTGCGTGTGACCGAATATTCGGATATTCAAAACTGACATTCAGCTAGATACACAATCTCTTTCCCACTGTACTGTATTTTCATCACAACATCGATGTTGATATCACACACATCTACAAAATGGCCGATTGAAGTGAATACCCTGAATTTCACACACGAAGTTTATCGCTGATTCCCGAATAAGAGGGTGTATTTTCGACCAGGGGGAGAATTCGACCACTTGCTATCACAAACCATGGGTCTGACTAGGGTTGATTATAATATGCTGCAAACAAAGTAAGTACATGGTCATGTTATAAGTACATGTAGTAACAGTTAAGATCTCACTCTCTCAGTATGCTCAGTTACACTAGACACAGACAGGGCTCTGGAGTGCTCTGAAACGTGCAAAACTAAATCAGGCCCACTTTACTCACAGTTTAGCCAGCAAATTTCTCCAAAAATGCCACTGGGGCAAAGAAAATGTCTTCAGTATTTCACCAACCAAGTTTGCATACTCAATTCAATTTTTAAAGGAGACTTTTCTCCAATATTTTGCACATGAGAGGGAAGTCAAGTGATTTCAAAATGGGGCTAAATACTAGACTTGTACATGTCCAACCATGGTCCAACTATTTAAAAAGACTGACCTCTTCATTCAGTGTCAATAGTCTGGTGGCTTGACTATGGAGAAATGTGTAGTAAATTGAGACTAGTTCCCGCTTCATGCCACATGTTTCTTAAATTCTTTTGGCATGGTTGATTGATGCAGTACTGAAGCTGTGTTGGACTGGTTGTTTTAGGTGCCAGTCTATTTTCTTGTTTTGCATGTTTTCAATACCTTACGTTTTGGGACTCTCATACACAGTATTGAGAGTCCCAAATTTTCGGACTACACTAGACAGTGCTGGTTTTCCTTATCCGGTCGAATTCTCCCCTATCCCATCTGTTTACCAGTATTAAAAGTGGGGGTCTAAAACATTTTATTGCAGAGTATTACATTTTCTTTTTCAGATTTGTTGCTCTGGAGGATTTTTTTTAAAGGGAAATAAAGTCCGAAATTGTAAAATGACTGATTCCCATCTTGTGAATACGAAGTTACAACGATAATGTTGGCATGGGGAAAAAATTCCATACTCGATCACCACTTTTTTTCAATTAATTTTCAAGCGCCAAAAGTTGCATCCTTTATGGTTATTCCCTCCACTTTCCCTCCTCTACTCTCACCCTCTCCTTTCCTTTATTCCTATTTATTAATCAGTCACTTACTTCATCGAGATTCGAACCTCAGACTCTTGCTTGTAACACGAGACTCTTAACCGCTAGGCCGCGCACGATCGCTGTTGCAATAATCAATCTTTGGACGTATTTGAAGTAGCCATTGAAATAAACTAAATATTCATGAGAAAATAAATATTCATAATGACGTATTGCACTATCATTGGCCGGCTCATGTGACGTCATGGTTGTCGATGTCATGCGTATAACGTACCGCAGTTTTGACCGGCTGCTTCAACTTAGTTCTGCACGACGTGTGGGTCCAAAATGTGCTCTAAAAACACATTTTGCTTAATTTTTTTTCGTATTTACACAGCTTCCTGGATTCCTCTTGGTTGAAATCACAAGGTGAACTGAAAATTGATTCGTTTGGCGGCAGGTAAGTGGCGATTGAGTATGGACATTTTCCCAACATCTGGCTTGCATGTTGGTAGTGGAGATTTTGCACTGTGAGTGTGAAGTCCACAATTGTGGACTTCACATCACACTCACAGACCGAAAAAGAACTCGGGCCGAAAAAAAAGTAACAATGCAAACAACGAGAATAAATAACACCATGCACGAAACGTGTACCATACTTACCATTTAGAATTAATCTCCCCATGCACAATCTTTCGTCAAAGCTCTGGAACAGCCAAGCACATCAGTGCATCATGTTTTCATTGAAAACACCACCGTTTTCAGCAATTACTTCCCGATAAGCAGAATGAGACGGACTTCAGCTCGACGAGGTTGCTTTTGTGAATTTTGGCATATTTGGGGTGGAAGGTCGGATACCCTCAATGCCCTGCCGCGTTTATCATACAGCTAAAGGTCAGCAGAATGCAGGAACTAGACTGCAAATGCGAAAGATAAACAATCGTCGTACGATTCAACGTGATGGCGCCCTCTACTAAATTTGTTTGTTTTATTAGAGCCAGTGCTTTTATCGAAGAGATTGCGGCCGGGCGCGGCGGTCCATAAGGTCAAAATCAAATCAAAATCAAATCAAATCAAATCTTCTTTTTTTAAGCGAAAGCACAGTTTGTTTAAATGGTACATTATGAAAGCTCTATCACTGATCAGTACGTAGGTCCAGGGATGATTATCTGTATTGACTGATTATTTTGGTGGCTCACTCGACGAGTTTTTTAATGTTTTGATACGAATGTACAAGATAGATTAACGATTGTAGTTCGAAAACGCGGATTGCCGTGCCTGATTAATCCGAGATATCTTCCCACACCCTTGTTTAACCCGGGTGGTTTTGACCATCTCTCAGCCCGGGGAAGGGGGGGGGGGGGGGGGGGGGAGGCGGGGCGGATTCCGCCCCCCCCCCCCCCCAAGAATTCGGCCATCGAGTGACGAAAGATTTTGAAACTCGGTAGGCCTACATGCATAGAGCAACTCATCATGAACAGACCCAAGACGTTTCACGACTATAGGTCAAAGGGTGTTGGCATTATGATTAATTAATTATTCATATGTACGAATGGTAATTGTGCTCTGTGTACACGACGTAAATGGGAATGTTCAGTTGGCACGGCGCGTAGCGGACTGACCGCGGGAGGAGGGCGGAATATGAGGAGTCCCACAACTCGTTTTGCATTTTATGTGCTGGTTATACTGAACCATGGTTTGTCGATATGACCCCCCCCCCCCCCGGTTCAAGGTGCAGTGAGTCCCCTGGGGTTGTGGGTACGCCCCCCCCCCCCCACAAGGCCTGCGTGCCCAACTCTTTGTAATTCCCCCACCCCTGCTCAGAATTTGGGGAAGGCAAAACTGACCATTTATGAAAAAATATAAAAGACAAGTTGAGTGCCCCTTCAGAAACGGAGCCGCCCCCAAGTACCCCTGTACTATTTGGACTCTTACGCCACTGTTCTCGATAAAGCACTATTTTTAGACCACAATAAGTTTAAAGTTTGGCAAAATTGAAAATTAACACCTTTTCTTACAGTAAGAGAAACTGACAAAGCCTGTTCATAATTCACAATTTCAAAGTTTATTTTCAACATACAGTTTATGACAAGAAGATACAATTAGTACTAAATTAAGACAAACAAAATCTCCCACAACGAATTTACGAAAGCTAGTAAAATTTCAACCTTACCGTACAGTTAAACATTTTCGGAAGAAAAGAAGTGCATTATCTAAATATCAGTTTCCCGTGCGAGAGCGGCCGCAGACGTTCCTATCCCGGCTCGACTAGGCCATACCTGCCGCTGCAAAATTGGCTGAGCGCCAGTGACGAGCAATGTGTGGTACATAATGGCAGCATAATTGGCATTCTAGGCTCATGGTAACCTGTTTCATTTGATTCGCCACTCCGTGAATATATCTCCTGTTTGATTCCCATGTCCCATCCCAGCCACATCACTCAGCCACCCCACAAGACACATCAAAGGTCTAGGCGCGACAAGCTCGAACTTTATCAATGCAAGACCTCTCACCACGATCGCCAAAATCACTCACATCCTCATCAAACCCTGGAGATGGCACACTACTGTCCCCGGAGGTATTGAAGCTATCCCCTTCCAAAGTCCACAGCAATACGACATCAGTCATGAACCCCTCTGCCTCCCCGCCGTCCATGACGGCAACAGAGGCTGCGTAGCCATTCTCCTGGGCGTCCTCCTCAAGGCAAGCGTTAATGAATGACTCCTCCCCAAGAAAGGCATTCTCTGAGTCCCAGGGCGGCGTCTCATCAGTCATCAGCGCTTCCACGGGTCGCTTGGAGCCACTTGGTGACTCGTACACCTCAAAGTCCGACCAAGTCTGGTCCTGATAATTCAAACCATCGCTCTGAAAGCAGCTCTCGTCAGTTGAAAGGTTTGAAAGGTCCAACAGATCCAAAGTTTCTAATTCCTCTAGAATTTCATCCTCAATTTCTCTGATGCTGTCCTCGATGACATCTTCCACCAACAGTGTGACGACAGCAGTTAGCAAAACACGGAAGATGAGCCCGTTTACCTGCCCCTCAGGAGGAACATTTACGCACTCCGGCCCATTGGTGAGGACTGGGGACTTTGGCTGCGAATCACACGAACCAAAATCTGAGGACGAACTTGTAAAATCTGACCGTCCATAGCTGTCTTGACTTTCGATCTTGTTAGAAGAGCTGCCCTTGTCCTGCATGCAGCCAGCTTCTCTTGAATCGTTGTCCGAGACATTTATGTTCCCCACCTCGAGACTTTTGGTACTGCTAGACTTGTGTGCCTCCGTATTGGGCCGTCCCGTCTCTTCGAATCTGTCTTTGGACTTCGACCGTGCCTGCTCGGGTTCTTCGTCAGGCGGAATGGCGACCAAAGGGTTTGCTGTCACGTTGGAAGATTCAGATCTTTCTGGAGTCCTGGCGACATGACATGCATCAGTATCAAGCAGGGACTGTGGCACAGGGACAGACGTCTGCAGTTCGTCGACATTCTCACCAGAAGCTATTTTGGACACAGAAAGTGACAATTGACGAATTTAACTCTTTCTTTTTTAATCACATAAAGCCAAGAATAAAGGCTGGGCGTTTCGCTCCTTCCTAACAAAATAATTCTTTGTCAAAGATGTCATGTTAAAAGTCTTTCTCGGAGTGTCAGCCTGTCAGAAATAATACTAGGCAAGAATGGAAGACACCAGGGAAGAATGAAAAATATACCACTGCTACGTGTTTCGCACGTGTAGTTAAAATTTGAGCAGAAAGAGCTTACATGAATGCAACGCTTTCTTCTTCATCCATATCGGTGCAAACTTCTGTGCTGCCGAGTCATCATCTTTATCTTGGAGGCCCTTTACTTGCCTCCTCCAAGTCTTCACTGCTTTGGACTTCGTCTTGTTCCTTCCCACAGACACTGGCGTCTTGTCACTTTCAACCTCTGTTCGATGCAAAAAAACACCCATCTGTTCGCGTGTAGTCAGCCAATGTCGTTCTCAGGATTTACACAAACTTATAATCGTCTTGTACTTGAGAACAGAGTTAAACTTTAGTCAGATTTGTAACTCCAGACGAATGATACCAGCCAGGGTTTTCAAAAGATATCTACAATAGAAAATAGAAACCAACCTTTTCCAGTATTTTTCATCAGCAGGTCCTCTTGTCTTATCCACGATGGCTGAGACTCATCACCAGGGGGCTCACCCTCAAATCGGATAGAAAACTCGCCGTGGTCGTCATAGAAACTCATGACATCGACGTCGGTATCACGTGGTCCTCTCTCGGCGGGGTCTGTCGGATAATGTTGCCGCAAAAATAAGCATCTTAGTTGAAATGCAGTTGCACTCTTTGCCAGTGGCGTAGCCAGGAATTTTTTAGGGGGGGGGGGGGGGGGGGGGGCTGGGGGGGGGGGGGGCTGGAACATTTCATGGGGGGGGGGGGGGCGCTGGGGGGCTGGAACATTTCATGGGGGGGGGGCGTCATGTAGATCAATGATAATTTTTGTAGAAACTCAAAATCTCAGTGGGGGTGGGGGGGGGCGACTGGGGGCGACAAGGTTTCATGTGGGGGCTGTCGCCCCCACGGCCCCCCCCCCCCCCCCCCTCTACGCCACTGCTCTTTGCCATAAGCGATTAAGAGGTTCAAGTATAGGGTTTTGCCCTTCTTTCATACACGCTGTTTATACTCAGTGTTGTCCGGGGGCTTGCAAAAACCCACAGCTTTAATACTCGTACTCGGGTAGGACCCGAACCCACGACCTCCTACCTAAACCCAATACCGAGTTGTACATCTTCCCGACGCAAAATAAAAACTTGTTGTCATTTATGATGTATTCATTTCCTTTAGTTATCGCCGATAACAGACGAATGTGAGGAATTTTCAAACAAAATTTGTCCTGTTAATACCTCTGCAGTACGGTCGAGTCTTTTTGGTGGCGTTTCGCGCGTACTTGAGCGAGGTTCTCTTGAGTAGTTTCTCGTCTCTGTCTTGGGCCGTCTGAGCGTTGTTGTTGGTGCTTCCTTCTGGCCTCCCAACGAGGCGACCGGCGTATGAGGATGAGGACATCGGGGTAGACGTTGCTTCTAAGATTAACAAAACTCTCAGTAAGTTCATTGCGAAATCAGGGTCAACTCTAGGCTAAAGAGCTGAGAAATTTTGGAAAATTATTACTTCTAATCAAACTTAGACTCGGTTAAACTATATCATTTAAAGGAATATTATCTATATTATATGCCTTCAGAAAAAACAACCCAAGTTTCCTCTGCAGTCACAACATAATCGTACAAAACTGTATTTTTGAAAGACAATTTCACTATTTTTACCAACATTTTGTATTTTGCGAACAGGGTCTGTCTATGGCAGAAATTTGTTCGTGCTATTGGCTTCAGTGGCGTACCAAAGGTCATTTTTATGGTTTTGTTTTGTTTTGAAAAAGCACATCCATGCTGAAATGTATCTACTAGACACGTTTTTTTTTCTCCGGACACTTGGCCTACGTAACATCAAATAGTGTGTGTGTGTGTGTGGGGGGGGGGGGGGGGGGGGGTGGGGGGGGGCACATGTTCAGAAAAAGGCCACATCATGATCATGGCACTTGTTACCAAAAAGCGCACTCTTTACAAAATATTGGATTGGGGGGGGGGGGGGGGAGATAAGCGCTGTTGAACAAAAGGCATTTGAATGGAAAAGGACAGTCTTTACAAAATATTGGGGGGGGGCGTAAATTACCCCCGGCCCCCGCTGGCTTCGCCTATGGGCATTCAGAACTAACGTCCGGACCGACGACAATTCAAATCCATACTTCGGCAAACAAAATATTTTGTGAACCACGCTGGGGCCGATGATTCCCCTTAAAGAGTCTCCTCCGGGAAGCCAATAACTAAACTTAGAAAATAGTTCAACCTGAATTACGGGCCGACGCGGATTCAGGCTAGGATCAAGAGGATACCCCCCCCCCCCCCTCTTGGCTTATACTGCCAAGGGGGGGGGGGTATATTAGGTATTTACTCGCGGTGTTTTCTTCATGATCATGGCGGTGCAAGGGGGAGGGGGTGTTAGGCCCCCCTCCCCGTAGATTAGGAACCGGGTACTACACGTAAATCTATCGTAGTTCTGAAAACCGCATGTGTATGATGACCTCCGTAAGGGCCGATTATGATTATACCAAACTTCTGGTTACGTCGATCGATTATAGACAATAAAAAACCCATTTTGTTCTGTCCCTGAAAGTATTTTAAATTGATACCTTTGGTAGAAATCCAGCCAGGGGCGAACAAGTCAACAATCTGTACCGCCATAGCCTCATCCAACATGAAACCTGAGCCTTGAAAATGGGGGAAAAAAAATAACATGTTAAAATATGAACGGGCGTACTAAGGGCCAAGACCTATAGTTGAAGTTTTCACTTTCGTTATACTTTTCTTATAAATGGCAAATACTACTAGGACTATACGAAAGTTAAACCTAAGCATCTAATGACTGCCGTTTAGCTTTGGCCTTTTGACTGTTTCGTTTCATTGACTTCTGAAAGATAGCAAATCACTCATGCATACTCTCTAAATTCCAAAGAGTGAAATGAGGGACGAGACGTTTTAGAGTGAAAATCACCTTCATTTTAGACTGAAAAAGTCTGGAAAAAAAAGAACCACTTCAGTCGAAGCTCGAGTAAAAATACGCTTTACGATTGAAGGAATTGCACTCTAAAACGTCTAGCCGCTAGTTTCCGACTGTGGGAGTGAATCTTCACTCGAATGGAGTGAATTTTCACTCTTTGGAATTCAAAGAGTAAGATAAAACAATTATTGCAGGGAATAAACTTTTTGTAAAGAAAAAGCAGTTTTGGGCCTAAGCCTTTTAGTTTTACCTGTATCTTCAGTGATGGAAGGAACTGCCGACGCCAATACTTGACAATTAACTTGACAAAACTGGTTAAAAACAAGAAATCCACAGCTGTGCAAATTAATCCCGCATATACATACTTATCGGGATGGGGAGCGGTCGAAATTAACGATTTCCGCGATCTCACGCACGCGTATGGAATAAACATGCAGTCTTTTATGGCAAATTAACACAGGCTACTTTTGTAGCGTTAAATTTGGCGCGCGCATAACACACGCGCGCACGCACACCCCGTCACGTGCTGAAGCTGCACAAGGGCGGATCCGGGGGGGGGGGCCAAAGGGGGCCATGCCCCCCAAACGAAACCAATTGATGTTTTTTTTATGTGACGTCGCAATAAAGGCAGGCAATGAGTTCACCACTATCTTTTCCTCAAAAAAACATTGGCTAAAGTGGTCAGAAATTGCCTCAGATCGCACCACAGAGCATCGAGAATCCAAAAAATTTTGGGGGGACACAATTTTTTTTTTTGCCCCCCCCCAAAAAAAAACAATTGTGTTCTGGATCCGCCCTTGAAGCTGCAACAAAATCATGACCCGCAAAATGTGGTAGCACCATAAAAATGTGTCCAATTCTTGGTACGGCGAAATAATAAGCCTAGAACAAGTGAAGATTACAACGGCAGAAGATTAAGGTTGAAGTTTATTTATTTAGGGTCTAGTCTATGCTAGTCATGATTATTTTGAATAACAAATAAATAAAACACAAGCCAACTAAAATAACTTTTGCAATGTTGCAAGCCTAGACAGCTATCTATCAAAATATTTAGACGGTGGACTGATTGTTTTTGTTTGAAATAATTATATGATTGTAGCCATAACAATAACACTAGTGTCATTTGTCTTTCCTCACACCAACTATGACAGGGGTTTTGTACATCGCCATCTCAGTTGAGCCCATCCTCCATGATCCATTTACCACAGGTGTCCTGTGCAATAACGTACTCCTGTCAAAATCGGCATTATCTCCTCTCCCCCGACAACATTTTCGACCAAATGAGGGCGCTCTATTAACACCATTTTGAGGCTACAAACAGACAAGGGCGGATCGGAGGAGGGGGCAACGGGGGCCATCCCCCCCCCCCCCCCACAAAAAACCCACCACGAACCCAATTTTCTTTTAATGACGTCGCTATAGACGGACCATTATCATGTTGCAGCCATTTGATTTTTCCCCATTAAAATCAATTTAACCAACCTCGTCCCCAGTGCTTACTTTATTTCCAACCGGATACCGCGATTGGCTAGTAATGGATTTTTATCGTGTACTTGGTGCTATATATTCACAACGTGCAGTACGTGTTTTCGCGATCATTCGTCCACGCCTTCTCGAAAATACTAATTTCATTTCCAATTTGCTCATATTAATATGAAATATGATACTGCATGTTGTCTCGATAAGATCGTAACAGTTTGATTTCAAAAATCGTGTTTTCGTAACTCACGCCGTGCTCGCGCTGCTACGAATAATTGACTCTGTTTTTACCCCAGACACCGCATACAAAAACAAACGCTAATGTGTAACGCATATCCAGGCACCAGACTGTTCCTCATTTGCATACGTGTGCAAAAATCTTGCACATGCAAATGATCCAATACCAGGGTGAGAGAGCAGGTAGTGGTGGGCGCGTACTGCTCGACTCCCTGGGGACGAGGTTGCAATTTAACCTAAGCGAGGCTTGAAGGAAAATTAGTCTGGTTCCTTTTTGCACAAAAACATTATTATTCAGTACTGTTATTGGGTACCGGGAACATGACTAAAATGGTGGAAGCATGATAGGTTTATAAAGGCAGGCACTGCGTACACCACCATCTTTTCCTTCAGGAAAAAAATTGTCAAAGTGGTCAGAAATTGCCTCAGATCGCACCACAATTTCCACAAAGCATTTAGAATAAAACTTCGGAGCCCTGTGGCCTAGCGGGCCCACGAACCCGACGCCGTAATTTTGTGGACCCACTTTTTGGGGGACCAAGTTTTTTTTGGGGCCCCCAAAATTGTGTTCTGGATCCGCCATTGCAAACAGACTATATACGTTAATCCCAGATTACTTAGCCCATTACGTAGATTACAAGTCACTATATTAAAAAAAAAGAAATATATTAAAAAAAAAGAAACATTTTTTTACAATCTGTAATTTTTGGATTGTTGGATTAAATAAACGTTATATGCTATATGCAACCCTTATCGCTAAACCACATGACCTACCAAATTGAAATTCTCATATTTCAGTGCTTATGATGAGCACTGAACACTAGCTAAACATACGCTGCGCAATCACGTCGCGACGTTCACTATATCATGGCAGACTAATTTCCGCATTGTTGTGACGTGGGTTTAATTCGAGCTCCTATTCACTGTATGCCATACGCCATTGAAGTCAGTGTATTCTCAGATCATTATGTCATCATCATGCATCCAGCCTGTTTTCCTTTCGTCCATCTATGTCGTTTCATCCATTAACCGGCCCTGTTCTCATGTTATTCTACGAAGATGATTTTTATGTAATCCAAGTCGTTGCAGATGCAACTTGATAACTATGATGCCAAGATATTGACATGAATTGTGGCAGGGAAATGATGGGGGTAAACTATGGTGTAACTGAAGAGACTTCAAGCACGTAAATAATTTATTTCACGGAAAAGCATTTTTTTCTTCGATATCACAAATTAGTTCAAGACATTGCAAAAATGCTTTTCGCGACATAAAATTTACATTAATTTTGTTCTCTGATTTTGTTTTTGGTCGCGAATATTTTCCCACCACCTTAGACTTTAGAGTGTCTTTAAATGACCTTGCACGTACTCAATATATTGTTTCAAAGCATACCTTTATTTCCCCTCGTGTACAACTGACGGATCGTGTGAGTAAATCACTCCGACCCTTCATATGGGGCAGACGGTACGGGGGAATTATTTGGGGGAACGCGCGGCTTCACCATGATCCAAGCATGGCATTTGGCACACCGTGACGGCTATAGGGCATCGTAGATTTGTCCTTTGAAAAAAATATATAAAATTACAAGCAATTTTCAAAATTCTCAAAATGGTGCCATATTGCTTGACATATTCTATATATTTTTTTTCAAAGGGTAAATCTTCAATTGCCCTTTAGCCAAATATCTCTTTCATGACATACTCTAATTGTGCCAAATGCCATATGCTGGTATCATCAAAGGCACACTCCCATCACCTATCTGCCGTAGTATCAGTCGCTCGCATTTCCTGTAGTTCGGCGACTTTAGTTAGGCATAATTAGACGTCAACTGCATGCTGTCCAGCCCGAACAGCCAGACGGTTGGATTTTACTTCCGCGTGATAGCCCATTCGTTTTGTACATGAAATATGATTCGTCAGTGCTGTAACATATGTATCCAGTATACGTGCAAGGTCATCTTAAGACCCTGTGAGGTGGAAAGATCACAACACATGTCGTGAATTTCATGTCAGTGAAAACGTTTGCTGTGTGGTGAAAAAACATTGCGATGTTACGATATTTTTTTGGAAGTGGCGTGAAATAAAAGTACGTCTTTGATATCGTTACCACAGTAAACCCATCGGAATCAAGATTTTCAGATATCTTGCCAAATAAGTCACAACAATTTGAAAGTGGTTATTAATATAAGTGCCATTACAAATTGTAAAGGTGTTCTAAGCTTTGATGCGAAAAGTAGCCATTCCCTCGATGACATCAAACCTGCACTAAATATGGAGATTTGAATCACCTTTGAGCAAAAAACCCAAAGATTTAAATTAGGGCCTTAAGGTACAGCCAATTACAACAAACGTGTATTTTCTTCAAAATCCGGTAACACTCCCATATTTAGTTAGGTCGAAGAGGTGACTCCACGAGCTACATAATATACCGATACTTCAGTCACTGCTCTCGTTCTTTCCAGCTAGCATCACTATTTCTAAGTTCCTGTTTCAGTTGTGTCCAGAAGGCCAGTGTCTCGTCTGAGAGTATCAACAAATGCTAGTTTTGCCCCCCCCCCCCATGTACGTTTTACAATCGCCCGCCTACAACTACATTTTTTTGTGTGGGAATGAACATTTTAAGTTGTGATCACGAAATGTTCTAATCTTGCAAGCCATTGCAGAATAATTTATTTTGATACCACTGCATCTCGATTCGTTGCTATAGCAACCAAGCGTGGGCGGGTACCGACAAAAAGCGTGGGCGGGCACCGACAACAACATTGTGGCCCTGGGCAGTGACTTTATAGGCCTTCGAATCATACAGTGCACTTTTATGAGGGGTCGTGGAGTCAATATATGGAGCTTAATTGTACAAAGTGCAGAAATCAAGTTGCTTGGGCAAAGAGGTCATATTTCCTTAGCTATAAAACGGGTTCATGCGAGTCAAAGCGCATGCAGTCAGTGTAAATTGCCCTTGACCGGGCCCAATTTCATAGAGCCGCTTAAGCAGAAAATTTGCCTAAGCACGAAAAAACATTGCTTACTAAAATTAGGTTACCGGCCAAAACTCCATGTGATGTACATTGCTTGTGACTGGTGTTTAGCTGTCGTTTACTTAGCATAACAATCGCATGGAGTTTTGGCCGGTAACTTGATTAAGCAAGACGTTTTTGTGCTTAAGCAAATTCTGTGCTTAAGCAGCTCTATGAAATTGGCCTCTGGTTTGCCGCTGACTCCTGCTTAATTGTCACATAAAACTTTAATTGTCTAATCGATATTTTAAAAAAAATGGGCTCATTTAGGGCGAGAAAAGGTATTTTTTTAAACTAGAAGTTGGTAACATAGATATTTTACCTAATTCGGGGGTGCTGAATCCGAAAATGATGGTTACCAAGCTGTATTTTTAGTGGAAATATACCTAATTGCATAAATCTTTAATACCTGTCGTGTAATATATTTATTCCCGTATTTGGGTATATTTTTTGTTATTTTATTTTTTGAAAAGTTTATTTTGGTGATTATACTTACACTTCCTTACTTCAATAACATTTACTGAAGCATATAAGTGACTGAATAATTATGAGGACATAGAGACAATCTGGCTATACTATTATACCCTATGAGGTAGTACGCATTTAGTTTTCTCAGATATCATCATATAGTCTCGCCAAACGTCAGTATTGATGAGCTTCGAATTCACAAAGTACTAGCACAGTTACCCTAACAAAAATAAATGGGCATTATATAAAAAATTATAACATCTTGATATTTAGGCCAAAAAGGAAAAAAAAGGGGGATAAATTAGGTGTCCGTAAATTGGGCTAAAAAAAGGCGAAGGGTTGCCTTACGTGGGGCACTTGAACCACTTACAGGAAATCCCCAAAATAAAAAAAATATTTCTGCTCACAATAATTATGTCAACTCAAAACGTTTTCTTACCGATAATTTTTGGAACTTTCCTTGAACTTGTTAAAGTCTCCCACGTTAGGCAACCCTTCAACTACTTTTTAGCCCAATTTACGGACACCCCGTTTTCCCCCGTTTTATATCATAATGTTATCTTTCTTCGCATGAATTTCCCATAAGGTTTTAATAGGGTAACTGTACCAGTAAGCAACATGGTAAATTTGAAGTTCATCGATACTAAGTTTTGGCAAGACTACTTGATGATATCTGGAGACAAGGTGAATGCGCGCGACATTAGGGTATATTAGTAGCCATTTTGAATTGTTACTATGTCCTCATAATCATTCAATCACTTATATGCTTAAGAAAATGTTGTTGAAGTCTGAAAGTGTAAACTTTAAAAAAAAAAATAAGTAAAAATATACCCAAATATGGGAACAAATACGTTACACGACAGTTATTAAAGATTTATACAAATTAGGCATATTTTCACTAAAAATCCAGCTTGGTAAACATCATTTTCGTATTCAGCACCCCGAAATTAGGTAAAATAGCTATGTTATCAACTTCTACTCGAAAATGCCTCTTTTTTGAAATATCGCCTACAACTTGTTCAGAATCATTTTGTGTCTGAAGAAGGCCTTGTTTGAATTCTAAAATATCAGCCTATTTTAATTTTATGATGTGCATATTTCAGGTCAATCCAGTCAGTGAGCAGTTTGCAGCAGTTTAATTTATTTCTTTAACAGTTTCTGCATGTTAAAGATGATATTTGAAGGTTTGCACGGTTAAAAAATATCAGTTAGATAATACTCTTGCACATATACCACATATCAAATCTCTTTTGTGAGTGTCTGAGGTTCTGAAAAGAACCGGGAGCCTCAAGGTTTCGGGCAGTATACTCTGCCCATCGTCAGGAGACTGACGGCAGTGATGATGCATCCGCCTTTTTTCAAATAATGATTCAAGGACAACAAATCTACCGGATTAAAACGTCTGTTTGGATAACAAATGAAGAAATAGCTCCCATTTGAATGTTCGCGGTTATCCATTTACAGCATCTTAACAATATTCAACTCAGAAACCCAAACCCATATATAACGAGTTGCAGCTGTTTTTATTATAATTTCCCATGGCAGAGTACGTTATTATTGATAAGTCTGAGAACACCAAAGGCTGTATAATGTATTCACTATGATAATTATAATCTTTCTAATGGTCGGTCTCAGTACCATTCCCCATAGTCTCAGCTGGCACATTATTATGCAAAGTCGTAAATCATTATAATCGCTTAAAGAAACAACGAGGGTTGCGATAATGATGCTATTATTATCACAGTTTTTTTTAGTCCAAAAGACTTGTCTTGCTTCTTGTACTTGTAACTCCTGGCAATTTTGAATTTGAGTTCATCATCAGAGCAAGACTCGCGCATTCAGGAAATTCAATACCAGGCGTAATGTCTAGCACGGGTGTCTATTGATAATGGCCATAATTTGCAAACGTTCAAAATGAAACTGTCAGAATGTCATGAATTATCCTACTCGATTGTAAGTAAATAATAGGGTATCATGCATCCTGTGCTAGCTTTTTTTGGTTGTCATTTTCAAGAAAAGCGGAATTATACCGTCATTTCTCGTAATATGGGACCACAACATTGCGTTTTCAATGGAAACCAGTGCGTCTTGAACTGCATGAAGATACATTTTCACAGTTTTCTAAAATTTCACAGGTTTTGTTTATAACCTGCTTCAGAAGTTGTACTTTCATAATCCTTGAATCGTCAAAAGCATTTTTTCTCTCGCAAATTGTGATATCCATCACCTTTAATTAGGCATATATTGCCTCGAGTATGTACTCGGACGAAGGCAGCACATTGAGCCCTGTGTCATACCTCGTCCCCAGGGATCTTTAGTTTCAACCTCGTTTCCAATAGTGGTGGGAGCGTACTGCTCGACACCCTGGAAACGAGGCTGCCCTGTGTCATGTTCTATTTTAGGATGTGACGGTTACCTGAGCTACGCCTAACCAAACTTTTCCCTATTTTGTTGCCATGCATGTACCCTAACGTGGCCCCGGCGCAGCCCCCAACGCAGCACTTTGATTTTTCGCCTCTAATGCCTTGTTAGAGCAAAATTGTTACCTCAAATTTCACAAAAAGTGAAATTTCATCAAGCCCTAAACATTCCCGTTCTTGAGTTTACGTACCCGCTACAAAGTTCTATGGAAACTCTGTTTTGGCGTGATTTTTCGATTTTATTTCAAAGTGCACAATGAACCCTTTTAAAATTCGCCCCCCCCAAAAAAGAAAATAATTTGCTGACAAATTTGTAGTTGCGTATGTGAGTGGCGATAAATGACTTATCAGAATTTATCACTTTAAAGAAATTCTTAGACGTTAATGTGGAATTTTCCAAGATTTGTTCAAGTGCGCCACGTAAGGGAACACTCGGCCGAATTTGTGCCCAATTTCCGGACGCCACCGTTTTTGAATTTTTGAAAATCGGATTTAATTTCATTTAATATCATGGAGGAAGGAACATCTCCATGGAGATAAATGATACACATTGCACTGCAATACTTAAGTGGTTAATTTTTGCTTTACAAGAAAACCTGTTTAGGCCTCATCAATATTTTACGCGAAGCATCTCCATTTTAAAATGTTAAAAAAGACACAACCATGAAAGTTGCGGACGCTACAGAAACAAACCATGATGAAAAAAAAAACATACAAAATTCAAATAAAACCCACACATATGCACCAAAACCGAACATCACTGAGTGATCTTTATACAAATTAAAACGTAACTCCCTTTGTTCTAATTATTCCTTTGTTGTTTAGATTTTTGCATTAATTTGGCCGTTACATAATTGTGTGCCGGTATAGTTCTGCCATTGTTCGAGCTACAAGAATAAGGTTCAGCAAACTATTAGTACATGTATGTGCACATTATGCAATTACATGGAATGTGCAGGCGCGTTGAAGTACGTAAATATGCTAAAGTGATAACCTTGACGATACTGATAAAATATGACGAGAGAGAATAATGCACAAGTCCCCTACCGCAAACACGCGCAAGTAGTAGAATGATGATATAGCTGCACGAACTGTATACATGTGCGATAAATCGTTCCATGATCGTGGGCCATACGACCGTATTCTATTCTGTGTAGTATATTTCCGTATTCCCCGCTGAACCGTGACTTTATATTGTCGATGGGATAATGAGATTTTTGCATGTGAAAACGAGAGCTACAAATGTATGTGTAGCATGGCTAGTCGTGTGGCGGTCGTGGATGGTTGTGCAGGTGTGGTTTCCCTGAAATAGTATGGTATTGTTCGATTGGATTGGTATTTCGCAATGGAATGGTTGTGATATTGCACATGGCGGCCTACATGGTTAAGGACGTTGTGATAGTGTACACCGTGAAATATGATCCCGGAAGCAAGTGTATGTGGATGTTACCCGTGCAGCCTTACACTGACACCAGTAAAAAAACCCTGTGATGTGATCTGTGGTTCAGTCAATATCCTGGCATCGACGTGATATATACACACTGCAATTACCGCTACATATATGCGCGGGTACAGAGTGAATGCTTGCAACAATTCAACATTGTGGAGGGCTGTTTTCCCATTAAACGATGACGCGAACTGAAGTCTAACTTGCCGAATTGAGTTCCTCATTATTTCGTCTCATGGAAAACCCACAAATACTGGACCATCTTAGTAACTACGGTGCCCAAATCGTGTACGATGTATCAGGGCAATATGGTGGATTTATGACGTGTGCTTTGTCAGTGTTACGCTTCAACAGTGTTAGTGTGAGGGTGAGATTGGTATTGGAGTTATAGAAACAGCCATGAGACGTATGTTAAAATGGCAACTCAAGCGACTCTTCGTCCTCTGCACCATCGGATTCTGTTTCATCAGTCTTGCTCGTGTGTTGATATTTCTAAACATGGAGTGCAAGACTAGCATCGTGTTGAAACAACAACATGGCGGCTCGAACGTTGTCAGGGTGTTCTCGAAAACTGAGATTGAGGCAAAGCGGGTGCCGCCAGACAGTGCCCACAAGGACGAGCAGGGTAATGCCAAGAGTGGAAACGAGGCCGAAGTTCAGGAAACTACTAAGGTAACGGTAGGACCCACTGTTCCAGCTAACACAGTGCCTTTGTTCAGTGACGATGTGATCAACCCCCACCCTTATGTTTTTACCATCACCAACTCCAACGCCTGCTACACCGGACGCGGTGAACCCGTTTTTCTGGTGTTGCTGGTCAAGTCCGCCACGGACGAGAGTCTGGACCGGATGCAGATCCGACGGACGTGGGGCGGGGTCCGGCAACTGATGGGCCGGCGCACGCTGACCATGTTCCTGGTCGGTCAACCCCCGACGATTCTGGAGCAAGATAAGCTTCTGATGGAAGATGCCATCCACCATGATCTCATCCAGGAGGATTTCTTAGACACCTACAGGAACCTGACCCTCAAAAACATGATGGGATGGAAATGGATTGCCACCTACTGCCCGGACACCGCCTTCGTTGCCAGTATAGACGCCGACATGCATCTCAACCTACACAACTTAATCGAGCACCTGGAGAACTCAAGCAGCACTAACCTCGCCCAGGGGCACTTGAAGCCCACGGACAAACCCATGAGGAACCCCGAAGATAAAGCCAACATCAAATGGTACACTCCACCAAAGATGTACCCCGAAGCTACCTATCCACCGTTTCTAAACGGTGCATGTTACGTCATGTCCAACGACATTGCTGTACAAATCTTCGAAGCCTCCATGCACGTGCGCTTTCTTCCATGGGATGACGTCTTCGTAGGAATCGTTCTCAAGCGGCTCGGTGTCACTCCCACGGCTCACAACTCCTTCGAGCAGTTCAAGAGGCTAAAGAGAACTAGAGACTACCTGAGAGCCTTTTCGGGAGGAATAGCAACAGGTATCGGACATCATAGGAAAGGACTGGACAGCAAAGTGATAAGTGTGTGGGATTACATCAGCAGGATGCATCGAATCTTGGATTCCTTCGAGACAGTGGCGCAAGGAGCTTAGTCAAAATCCTGAATACTTGCCTTTTTTATTTTCGGGTTCTAGCTTAAGATTTAAAGACTTTCATCATTTAGATTCCTTACTCCTGCACAAACCTTGCAAATATGCCAAATTATTATTATCCAAAACAAACAGAATTTGGACCGGGTAACGTTCCGATTTTGTTGGAATAATCCTTTTAAAATAATACACTAATCCCCATATTTCTTTACTCAACAAGCAATGTGCGTATATAATGACTGCATTCTCCCCGATTTTAGCCCCTACAATTTCGTCCGTGTCTGTCGAAATTTAATAGAGCGGTTCAAGACTTTTTGAGGCTGAATAGAATGGGCAAGGAACGGGTTCTAAAATGTTTATTCCCCATTTTTTGTCTTATCCAACTCGTAAAACACCAAAAAAAAAGGTATACAGAAACCTGAATTGGAAATGGAAAAAAGACCAACTCGCCACTATTTATTGAACCCTAAAAACTTTTCATCCAAACTTTGGACCGTAGTCAGATAGGGTGGGCTTGGTCCAATTGTGGTTGTGGGATGGATGGAAAGAATGTAGTATCCAGACGCCACTTCTTTGGTTGTGTACAAAGTCTGTGGAGAGTCGAGAAGATTTTCTGAGTACATGTATTTCCTAACAAAATAGGAAACGCAGTCCCAGATTCATGTCTTTTCAACATGTTTGCAATGTCTGACCTTGATTGCGATGACATGAATTTTAAAAGTGGCGTCAGGCTGCAACATTCTTTCCGAATGTGGTGACAGTAAAGTGTTGGCACAACTTGTTTTTTTAATGGTGGGGACTGTTTAAGTATTTTATAGCATTTGATCTGTGCCAGAATGGACAAAAATAACTGACTCGCAAACTATTCTCTTTGCCACGAACTGTAGACTGGTGCCAACATTGTTTTATTATTTTGAACCTAACATGGTCAGATTTATTTATCTATGCAGATTGTATACGAGAATATTTCTTGAAGTACAGGGTTTCCGTCTTTCCCGTTGTTTCTATTTGTTTTGTATAGCTTGCAGAAAAAAAATCGACTAATGAATGTCAATCTTCTATCTTTTGGTTATATTTCTTTGTTTTCTTTTTTGTTTTCATTTCACTAACGTATTGTTAAGTAAAGGAGGAAACTCAAAATTAACGCACAATTTTTGTCGGCGCAAAATGTCAGGAAAAAAGTACACATAATAACATAGGTGTTCTGAGAAAATGTGTGTCTGATTAAGAGGAAAAACATACGTAGGATGCAATTAATATTCTGAAACATGCGGTGATCTTTTGCATCTACAACCAACACCCATTTATAATGTCAAACCCAAGCCTGAACACAAAGCACTGACGATAGTCTTAAGGTTCTTAAAATATATTAATGCTGCAAACCAATATGCAAAAACAAATGGCTGTGCGTTGATTTTGGGTTGTTTTTTTTTGTTGTTGGTTTGTTTGCTTGCCAAATAAGATCGTGCATACGTAAAAGCAATAAGATGTGCTGGTATAACCGAGTCCACAGTGAAGGAATGTGTCATCATCTGCTGTAGACTCGGGCAATATATATTTATTCAGCTGCTTAAATATGTAATAATTAACCACATCTGAGGTGATGACATAACGTTCAGCAGACGTGCGCGCCAAAACAAGGACGTTACATTTATGGTGCTTACCCCTCTGGAACTGTAAAAATACTTTGATAATGCAATGAAAAAACAAAAACTAGTAACTTAACATACATCATAAACACGTCTTATTGCTTTTTTTAATTTTCTTTTGAATGTTTACGTAATTGTATTTTCGTATTTATTGTTTTAAATTTGAAAATGTTTGGCCCACCGAACAAAGATTTAAGCACTTCCTAAGCCTTGTTGGGTCCCTATTTGGTATAAATAGAAATGACCAATTAATATTGTATTATTTTTTTCGGTGTATTTGAGATGATGTGTTATGCTCCTAACCCTAACCTTCCAAAATCCTCGAAAATGCTCTTTGCAAAATGGAGAATTTTGTAGGATTGAGGCTTTTTGGCAAACATGTGTGGTTGATTTGGAGGATGCACTGTGTCAAGGTCTTGGGTTAGACCTTGTGTTGTGCTCAGCCGTGTATACATTTTATAGGCCTAGATTATACTTGAAATCCTCCGCACTGCTCCAGGATGTCACTGGCTCTGCCTCAACATATTGACAGTGACTGCTTGAGGATTTTGCAGGATTGAGGCAGTGGTCACCCCATCCAAGGACCACATTCAAGAAACAACGGAGGCTTTTGCAAGGTTGAGGCTGTATGCAATTTAAAATGGAGGCAGTGTGGGGATTTTGCAGGATTGAGGTTACATCCTAGCAAAAATGCCTAGGGAGTTCGGGTTAAAGTTGAAAAGACACTTATGGAAATGTCATGTTATACTTGATTGTTGAGAACATGAATGTTGTTTTTGAGATCACTTGCACCCGAGGCATACAATAGTATTAATTAATGTGGTAAGTTCACATTAACATGATGCAACTCATGTTGTTCAATAAAGTCACAGTACATTTCAGTATACCCCGTGTTTTATGATAATTGTTCTGACCGATTCTCATGTTTTCATCTTTTAGGCCTACTTACTGTTATCCACGGTGGTAACGGCAGATAGGTGATGCGATTGTGCCTTTGATGAAAAATATAGGTAGAATAAAAAGCAATGGCAGCCATTTTGAAAATTTTGCTAATTGCATGTATTCTTTGTAAAGGGGGCAGACCTAGTACAAGCTTCGGCTACTTGTCTGGCCTCCCCATACTATTATTTCAAGTTCCGTTAAAATGTTTACCTGATGTTTATTATTCAACTTAATTACCTTATAGTATGGAAATAAACCTGAAACCTGAAATCTGCGATGGCCCTATTGTCAAACATAATGAGACATACTCTGACTGTATGCCAAATGAGGTTTGTATCATCAAAGGCACAATTTCCCCAAATATTTTCCCTATCTGCCCCATTATTTTAACAGTATATGCCTATCAGGCAAAACTGTAACCATTCTTAATGAGTGTGAAGAGAGTGGCTTAAAAATTGGAAAAGGTAATGCATGCATTAAAAAAAACGGGAAATATTTGAGTTAGGGCAGCCAATTTTCCCGTTACTAAGAAGAAAATTCTTCTAAAATTGCTAAAGGGTTGGACGTGTGAGCTTGTCTTACATACGCAGTGTGGACTTCCGAACAAAAGACGTCCACATAATGTAGGTAGCACCGACGTTGTGTGGACTTGCCCACGTCCACACAGTGTTTCCCCATTTCTGGAAAACAGGTTTAGAGGCATTTTGGGTTAGGTTTATCTGTAGCAGAATGAAGAGAAACACTAAAGGGAATCATAGAAAAAAAATTGGGTTGAAAGAGTTTTCACAGTTTGAGAAAAATGAGTTTTTTCACTGGTTTTTCTTAACTACACGAAAGCAATGGAAAGTCCACACTAGTCATGTGAAACAAGTATGGATGTGTGGGTGTGTGTGTGTGTGTGGGGGGGGGGGGGGGGGGGGTGAGGATTGGGGGTAGGGGCGTAACTGCCAAAACAATGTAATGTCGAAACTGCTGTTATTGCACGGCGCATATAACTTGAAAATTGAAGTTCAAAGAAGAAGACATTTTGTGACTAGTATATGGCTTCGAAAATCCAACTCGTTACTTTTTATTTGATGCAATATCGAAAAGTAAAAATGAGCAATTATCTCGATTGGGTTGTTACCAAAAATAGCAGTCAGTAGTAGTCTCCTATTCGCCTCGTCATGCAAGGGATGAAAGCTATTTGGCTTGTACGTTTAATACCGCCTGACCAAATGGCCCTGTTGTTGACGGCTAATGGCTTTCGCGTTCGCAGAAATGTGAAGGAAATGCTTAACGATTGCAGATGTCATGGGCTGATCGGAACAACCATATAGGGATAGGACATGTGATGACCTGATGTGTTTGGCCGTTATATCGTAGCCGGTAAACCACATTAGATATGTCACAGAAAAGAATCATATTATCACCACAAACAATGGCCACTTCACTAACAACATGAAGTCAATGAACTTTTTTATTTTGCAAGTTTCTCAGTTGTACAGGGCCATTTGACCTAGTCGTATCTAATCCCTAGAATTACTGATTTATGCTGGTTGAAAAAAAAACCCTCACTGATGTGGCTTTCCACGAGGTATAGTAATGGTGTAACTTGAGATGGGAATACCTTATTAATTGAAGCCGAAGAATGTCGTAATTCTCGTCTCTGTGCTTTTTTTTTTTTTTTTAGATATATGCCAACGGCGCCATGGCCTTTATTTGGGAAAAAAACTTAGGCCTATTTCTTTCATTTGTAGGCCTCGGTATAAATTTGGATGAAAATTCAAACACGCAATACAGATTCCCCAAAGTACAATACAACAAAATTTTCAAAGTTCGTGTAACACATTAATTGATTGCAGCTGCTTTCAAATCACAGTTAAGACATAATTATGGTATCATTTGCATGCATCCACAAAGCAACCTACCTAATTATTATCAAAAAGTAGGCCTAGGCCTATACTTTGATTAAAGATCGCACTGGAACTAAACACCCCGTGAAATTATTATTCCAGTCAGTGCTTGCTGCTGCCATTTAGAAGAAATCAAGAATAACTTGAACAGCCTCGGTGATTTTCAACGATCACATTAACTAATTTTTGGAAACAAAGAGTGCTATGCACGAAATCGCGTTTCGTGATCAAAAGGTTGCGTCACATTACTCGAAAATTGTGAGTGGAAACTTCAAAAGGTTATAGGTTTCAAACATTCTTCTTTGTATTTTGGCCGGTGTTATCATTGGAAACGAACAAAATTCACACTGCCGCTGGAACAAACTTTTGTCGAGGGGTGCTGGAATTTATAAAGGACGGACAAAATTAATACGAAAGCGGAGCACAAAGCCCTGACGTCGTGGCTCAATTTGGAATATAGATGCTCTGTGGTGCAATCTGAGGCGATTCCTTGCCACATTTATTTGACTTTTTTAGACAAAGTTTTTTGAGATTATAAAGACAATTTATTTTATTATTTTGTTTAGAATATACTGTTGCTCTTAAAACGTTTCACTGTACTGAGAAGTGGAGAACCCTGTATTTTTATCTCCATTTTTGGTTCCATTTAATTCTGGATGTCATTACGCATGACATCGCATGTAAATATTATTGTTGCAAGGCTGCTTTCTCACATTTAGTAAATTCCGTCATGTATGTTTTGTTTTATTTTCTGAGCCCTTACGGCGTAGGGCCACAGGGCCAGGGGCCCGCTTTAAGGCCTCGGAAAATGTTGGATTCTGGATGCACTGTGATGAAATATACTGGTAGTATACTGAAACTTATAAAACCCGAAAGGATTTTTTTTTGGTTTAAGTTAAAACAAATGGTTCCACTGGAAGCGGATGAATTTCTGTTCATAAAAATATTCACATAGTTCTAACTCACCAAACGATGTGGCTCTCGATATATTTGCAGTGTTATTTGTTTGTTACAGGGAATGGCAAATATAAAAGACTAAAAAACCAAATGTATCTTTATGTTTATGATCGGTAGATGGCAAGTTTGGGGCTATAGGCAATAATTTATCGGTCTACAGAGTTTTATGAGGAACTTGCAGAAGGTAAAACATGAATAGTTTTTTTTTATTAAAACGAAACTACACTGTAATTGGCGTAAAACATGACTGGTTTCAATTAACCTTGTTATTTGTAAATGTTGAGTACAGAATGCTTGCAACGTCAATGAAACTTTTCAATGAAAAGAAAAAAACCTTCAGGGGAAAGGTATGAACATTTGCCCCTATTGAAAGATCGAATGAAAAAATCCTGGCAAGCATAATTAACTTTGCCACCATCGTCATAGATATGTCATGATTTTAGATAACTTGAGAGAAATATCGAATCTGCACTGCCTGAAGATTTAGAAAATACCTCCTCTTGATATTTTACAGTGTTTGTGCTAGACTTTCGAAGCGCCGCGCTTAGCCGCTGGAACACATTGTTGCCCGGGAGTAGGGGGTGCTGAAGCATATTCCAGCACCCCAATCTAAATAGTTGGGGGGTGCTGCAGCACCCACAGCACCCCCCGTTCCCGCGGGCTGGAAAATACATTGAAAGCAAATTATGAAACACATTTGTCACACCATCGGCCGCCCTTGACATGTTATCGCATGGTTTGCAGGATACAACATTAAAGGTGAACGTTTGCCAATCTCGCCAAACTTTAAGCGCTTCCGGTTGTTTTACAGCCTTCTTGTACAATTAGGGTCACAGGGATCACACAAAGTTTACATTTATGAATGAAATTTTACATTCTACCTTTTAATGATGTTTCTAATATTAGTTATTTACGCGAGAAACGCCCAGAGCAAAAAATGACGAAAGTATACCTTTATTTGTAGACATCGACTATCCGTAACAATAATACAGACGAACATGAATCTAGCTTTTATAGAGTTCGTAATACGAGAGCTGTACCAAACAATATCGCGTTTGTTTAACGATCCTGCGGCCCTACCTCTAAAATGGTGATTCTAACAAACTAACAATACGCTTCACATAATAGATTTTTAATAGCCTTTAATATCATTATCAGGCACATTTTGTATACACGCCCCGTTCAACCTCGTCCCCAGGGGTTACTTTATTTTAAACCTCGTTTCCGATAGTAACCCCTGGTTGGGAAACATGCTTCCGGTATCCTGAATCGATACAGCAATAGCAATACATTTCATAGTGCAGTGTATGTGTAAATGTGCACCAATTTTTCAAGGGGGGGGGGGGGTGTTACTGAAGGCAATTGGTATACATGTATTGTTTCTGTGCAATTCAAGATTTTAAAGAGTTGGGGGGGGGGGGCACACCCGGGGCACAAACCTGTTACACCACTTGAGTCCTATCAATCATTTTGCACACATGAAACCGATTATATTTATGTGCATGCGTGGTTGAAATATCAAACTTGATAATTTCTGAGAAACACTATATCTATTATCGTTGAAAAATCAATGATTTGAAACACAATCTTTTTAAAGGTTAAAAATCACTTTTTATCATCGCCATTTATTGAACATTTGCCAACAATCGCAATCCCAAAATAAAACTTTAAAAAGTCACTCACTTTTTTTCCTGGAACACATTTTAAAACACTACAATTCACTAAAAACAGATTAAATAATCAGAGCAAATCAGATACAAAAGTATAATCACCTTCATTAATTTGCAATAAATTACAAATGCCAATAATTACAAAACATTTTTTTCAAATTTATATAAAAATATATTTTCCACATGATTCAAGGACTCATTGATAAAGTACTGTGACAATTATAAAAAGAAAGTTAATTAAAAACAAATTAAATAATTTCAATTAACAGAATTTCAAAATGAAATGATTTGAAATGCTATGATTAGAATAACGGATAGCACTGATACTGCATATAAATTAGGGTGCATAAATTAATATTTAAGTGGGCTCTTACACTTATATTTTACTAGACGTAGAAGTACTGTGGTTCAATGGTTACGGTATCCGACTTGTGTGTGCAACGGTACGTGGGTTCATACCTGGGCAGGGGAACATGGAGCTTGTGTTCTTAGGCAAGACACTTTACAACAATTGCCTCTCCACACAGGAGTATAAATGGGTACCTGTGAAGGTAGAGACCAGACTGCGCTGATCTCGAGCTGCTGTAGAAAATTGGCCTCATGGCCTGATGAACAGGGGTAATAACTGTTAAGTGCTTTGACACTTAAGTAAAAAGACTGAATTAAGCAGAACATTATTATAATTATAATAAAAGAATAGTATACACATTGTATAGACCATTTCGCGCACGCTATGACTGTACATTCTGGAAGGCCAATTCAATGGCGATAGCATTGAGTCAGCTACTGTATGGTACAAAGCAACTGCCCCGTGACGCATTTTCCTTAACAATTCTGGCACAATGCCCCTGCCATTGTTCGGGGCCTACTTTAATGTACAGTTATACGGAAGTGCTCGGATAGGTACAACACCCAATTTTTTTTCTGAAATTTTATGTAAGCAGCACATACTGCAAATTTCAGGACTTAATCCTATTTAAAAACACACATGCAAGGCACAATTAATGTATTTATGTAATACTGAGTTGTTGCCATTATCTGCTGCACCACCTACAATGGAAATTGCATACGAGGTAATTGTTGAACTGTATGTGGTTTATTAACCAAATGGCTAACGTCTCAATCATAATATTGTATCAATCATAAAATGTGTACATGATAACTTTTATCATTGCCATCCCCCAACACCTCTCCTCCCAAATTCAGAATCTATTCCATGTTCAGATTTCAGATCGTTTATTTGCAAATCCCTTTTTGTCATACCTCACTGTTAAGTCAAAGACTGGATTTGTAAATGCAGCTGGTCTCTGGTGTCTGCAATCAAGCCACCACGGTTGTAGAGAACTTTCTCAATGGGAGTCACGTCTTACGAACTTTGCTACCTAAAGGTAGATCATTTGTCATTTGCATATTTTTTTGTTTAAAGCAACTAAAGTGCTCAAAATCTAGGTGCTTTACAACTAACCTGAAGAACTTTTAGCTAAGTGAATGCTGTATATTCCAAGAAAACAATATTCTAGGATCTCCACTTCAATTCAAAAGTTGCAGTGTCATGTTTTGAATTGCGCCCGAAATCAGCATCCGGGACACGTTCTCATTCAGCTGATTGCAGCTATGCAATGTCACGCACGGAATCAACAAATAATACCAACCGTGTGCGCGTGTGTCGTGTCAACGTTTGCGCACACTCGTTTACGAATTCGCCCCCTTACAAACCTACTACTAACGGAAATTGTCAAAAATGCGTTGTTAGACGCATCTTTGGAAATGACCTTTAATTGTTTTCGTCAAAGTGATAGCATGCCAGAAAGATTAATTTCACATGGAGTTTAGTGCCATTATTGTCTTGAAACCAAGTAAGCTTTTCAACAATATTCTTGTTGGTTACTTTTTGGATAGCTGCAAAGGATCTACTCGACCTTTAATTGAACCCAAGAAATTCTGAGAATACCTCAAGAGCACATTAGCTTCAATACAGTGTGCTCAAAGGTATTCTTGGAATTTCTTGGCCCCCGTTGCCAAAGTTCGAAAGCCTGGGCTGGATTCATCCTGTTGATAGATACAAACCGAGGCGGCGTGACCACACTTGCCAGAAATTAGGCCTGTCTGCATTAGGGGAATAAATCCTGAACACAGCCTTGAATCAAGACTAGTCAGTCCGCTTCCAGTGACCTCTTGTCAAAAAGTGTCAAATGAATCTCTTGATTTCCAAATGTAATGATGTGGACCAATTCTTGTGTAGACGATTGACGATCACAGTTCATCACTGATGTCATGTTTACTCTTTGCCATAACTGTCCTCTTCATGGCTTCACCAGTCTAGAAATAGGTAGGGGAAAAAAAGGGCTCAAGAATGTTAGAAAGTTGGAATATTGTTGATAAGCAAAGTTATGGCCTAGGCGATTCAAAATAGAGTGCGCTTGAAAGATTTTACCTAAAAAAGCAATTTTTCAATGTTGATGTCAAAATCCTGCATACAGTGACCTACAATAAATCATTCTCATTGAATGTTAATGTGCAGTTGTGCACCCATATTCATGAATACACCTTGAAGCCTCATTGTAACAAACAAACCACTGTTAGTCACAGAGTAAAAATCCAAGTGAACCCATGCATGTCCAAAACTGCCACGTGTGCGTTACGCAAATAAGCCTCTGTACTGATGACGTCAACCTTTGCTTACATGTGCACTTTCCCATGGAGCCAGTGGGGGCCCACGGTCCACTGAGCACCATAGGAAAGCACACACGTAAACAAAGTGCGACATCATCAGTACAGAGGCTTATTAAATAGGGGGAGTCACCAACATTAGGCTGGATAGCTCAGTTGGTAGAGCACCGGAACAGCAAATCATGAGGTCATAGGTTCAAACCCCGCTCCAGTTAATCTCTTCGTTTCAACTTGTAAAAATGATTATAATGCACCTAGTCAATTTCCCTTTGTACTTTACTTGCACAATAAATAGTTTAAAAGTATCTATAAACAGATTTTGGATTATTTCTTTGATGGACTTTTCATTTGTAAAGCAGGATCTGCCTCTTCATTATCGACTGGTAGCATTCTGAATAGCAGGAATCATTGGGCAAAATGTAGAAAGTGTGGTTGATATGATGAGAAAATCATGTCTTGAATAATATTGAAATGAGGTATTGGATAACCATGCAAGGGAATCATGCAAGTTTTCAAAAAAAAAAAAAAAACACTTCTAAGAAGACTGATAACGTACATGTACATACTGATGACTGTGAAGACAAACAGATACAAACTAGCAATCAATGAATCAGTGTTGTAGTCCACCACACAAGTCTTTTCATTCGTAAATCACACGTCGTCACAAGTAACAGGAGACAAACAATGCCTTTGTTACAATTCAACACAAATGCCTCTGTTAACAATTCAATTAAATAGCTTGTGACTTGAATTGAAACAAGGGGACTTGTGATGGACTTGTGAGGACTTGTGATGACTTGTGAGGACTTGTGATGGACTTGTGAGGACTTGAGATGCCTTGTGAGGACTTGTGATGGACTTGTGAGGACCTGTGATGGACTTGTGATGGACTTGTGATGGACTTGTGATGGACTTGTGATGGACTTGTGATGGACTTGTGAGGACTTGAGAGGCCTTGTGATGGACTTGTGAGGACTTGTGAGGACTTGTGATGGACTTGTGAGGACTTGTGAGGACCTGTGATGGACTTGTGATGGACTTGTGATGGACTTGTGATGGACTTGTGATGGACTTGTGATGGACTTGTGAGGACTTGTCATGGACTCGGTAATTACAAGTAAAACTACATGCAATGAATGGTAACGGACCAGCTGGATTCACAAAATGCTGTTTACAAAAGTTCATTCAGGTCTGCCAGTCTGTAGTGAGCATGGGCCGAAGAAGCCGAGTCATGTATGGCCAAAGAATGTACAAGAAATGATTGATGCCCAATGTGAATAGAGGCTTGTCTATAATCTTTTTTTTTTTATAATTTACTCAAATTCCCCCTTCATAGATAAAGGAAAGCTTTTTTCAAGATAGTGTTGAAATATGGTCACTACATTAACAAAGAACAAATTAGAGTAGAAAATGTCACTAGCTAGTGATCTTATTGACAATAAGGCCAAAAAAAGAGGCTCCGGTTTCTGGTATGCGCACCGTCGCCATAGCCATGCGCGTCGGCAAAATTAAAAAGTTTTTTTCCAATGTAAGATGGTGTCTCAAACCTGCCAATCTCACTGGTTTGACTGGAATCCTGCTGCTGCACAATTTTAACGTGTTTTTAGATGGGGTTACGATCGAGTATAAGCTTTATGTGGCCTCTGCACTCCCATATATTTTGCACTAAATTTAGTCGGGCACCATTTGCAGACGGTGTTGTGATTTTGTAATTGTGCGTCTGGAAGCCAGACTGACAGAGCGATGATCCTGTAAATGCTTTTTAATTAGCTCAATATACTTCTCAAGCCTTATGGCCTTACTGGGGTCACCTCAAGCTGCACTCTGAAGGACATTTTTGGGGCAAGCTCCAAACCAGAAACCGGAGACTTTTTTTTTGGCTTACAGATGATTTTTGTAAGACTCGGAAAGTCAGAAACCAGACACTGCTCAGCGAATACTATTTTGGTTTTTTGTGACTGTAAATGTAATGTAACAAATGCCAATTGGAAATTATTTTTCTTTGGAAAAGAAAAAGACAAATGTGTGAATCCCCTTACCGATGCAAACCCAGTGGCTACAGCTCTTCTTTTTTAGCCTTTTCTTTCTCATCATCGGCACTTTCCTTTTTCTTTCCGGTCATCTTGCTTTTGCCCGTCTGTTCACGGACGGCCTTTCGAGACTAATTTTTTACACACAGAAAAGAGGAGGAAGGTATAGAAGAACAGAAGATGAACATCTTAAAGTGAAACTACATGCAATGAGAACGGTGGAAAGAAAGAAATGTCTGGTGAATTATGCAAATGGGATGGAGTTCAAAACTTAGGAATATTTACAAACAAAACTACATGAAAACGACTTTCTCTCCGATGTTAAACTGGCCAGAGGAATTATTAAATATATTTCTTCCCCTTTATTTCCCAAATATACCACTCGATAGATCTCTGAAAACTTACCAAAAAAGAGAATCCATGGTGAAAGATACATTTTTCAACCCTTTTCTTTTTTTCCTGAAATCTTTTTTTTCTCTTCAATTCCACTTGAATGGGTTCCATGCATGCAGTAGAGGGCGCTATTTAGACAAGTACGGGCACAGGATGTAGACATCTTAATAAACGTAGAGCTGACATTACTAAGGTTTTATGTTGTGAATTTTTGATATCAAAACGCTGCTTCCTACAGCTGCCATGCTACGCGAACGCACGTTCTGATCGTAAATAACGTGTTCACGTTGTGTGACTGTCCCCCATGAGTGTTCGCTTAACATGGCGGTTATAGCATGCAGTGCTTTGATATCAGAAACTGCAGGCAAATATCAGGTCTATTTTTTTTTAAAAGATGTCTATGGATGCATAATTAACAGTAATAACATCACTGCTTTGAGTATGCAAAATATGCAGTGCATGAGATCATCATAAACTTGAGTGTGCCTAACGTAGATGCATCAAATCTGCAGTATAACCACATCCCGTAATAGTAGAGCATTGTAAATTTACCTCAAAAACCTGCGCGATGTTTACGAGAATACATCACATCTGGGCACCATGTATAGGATCTACACAGTGTGTGGCGTCCTATTTTTTTGCATTTATGTTGTGTCCTGATGACTGGGCCCATCCAATCAAGGGCAAGAAGTTGGTCTTTCGAAAGACAAGCAAGCATCACAATTTACAACATATATTGAAAATATTGCGAATTGATGACTACTACAAAATCAACGTTGTTGACCTCAACATCCGTGCAATCAATCACGTGGATAACAACTCTAGATTCAGTGTTCGGTAAATCGGTACCAGATGTTCACATAAAAAGTGAACGTGGACTGGCAAGACTTACACGCTCTATTAGACTATTACCCTAGTTACAGTCCTGTTTTGCATTTTCTGACGCACAAAAAAACATCTGTTCATTCAAATTTAAAGGCCATGTTGGCACAAGGTCTGATCATTATTTATACAGGTGCCCATCTTTGCTTAAACCAGCCGATTCAGTCAAAATTAAAGTTTGTTTGATTTGCAGTAATAAGCTTTATCTTACTTACTCCCCCCCGCTCCCACCAAAAAAATGTAGACTCTTAAGCAAAATGAGACTGCAACACGAAAGTGAAAATTAAAATCCTGAGGGCAAAATGACGTGATAAATGAGATAACTAATCAAGATGAAAGCTTACTGATGGCCACGTGTACGTACTTGAGAGCACCTTGTTTCAATTAAAGTCGTTGTACAACCAACTGATGTTTATATCAGTTATTTTGTTATGTAAATTAGGAAAAATTGTCGTGCCTACAATTAGTTAGCCGTTCTTGAAATCAAAACTGCCTTAACCCTAACCCCCTTGAGTAATATACTGGGAACCTTCCTCACTCTTGCAAAATCCATCACCATATGGTAAACTCTACACCCAAACTGTTGGACTCTGATTATGGTGGTATGCCTGACCCCATGTAAAGCATAATCAGTTTACTCACTCCAACAGATTCCAACAAAACATTCAGTTGGATTTTGAAGGGTTGGGTGGTCACGGTTAAGAGCAGTATAGCTTAACAACCCTTTCTTAGCACAATGTTTCTTATACTTTAATTACCCCACTTATGCAGTACTTTATGTGTGTATGTACAACCTTCGTTTTTCGACAAGGTACTTTAAAAATAGTGAAACACTAAGCCAATTTTGACAAGGATTTTCACTGAAAAGTACAATGAATTTGAAACTTAATCACAGATGAGATCTAATCTACAAGCTAAATTGTACTTTGCGACATTTACAACTAAAGTCTATGACAGTGTTGTAGTTAAGTAAATGACAAGTCCTATTACAGGTTGATCACAAGTCCATTAAAAAAGCCAAGTCACACGGAACAGTTGATGAAAAATAACAAAGGAATGCCTTTGACACAGCTCATTTGAATAGTTTGTGACTCGACTTTAGAGTGGAGGACTTGTGATGGACTTGTGATAGGCTTGTGATGGACTTGTGATGGACTTGTGATGGACTTGTGATATGCTTGTGATGGACTTTTGATGGAGTTGTGATGACATTGTGATGGCTCACACTGGTCTAATGATTTACGAACACCAAAGTCAAAAAAATAATAATGATGAAGCAAATTTATGTTTTAAATTGGGGCAAATTTTTTTCAAATGGCCGTTTCTCGCTTTGGAATACTCACCGGACCCTTGTATTTATTGATGCGGAAATTGGATCGATCAACGCCAATGCAAGCGTCCGTGACATCAAAGCATAACGCAATCTCTCGCTCCTCCGGATCTGAATACTCCTTGAAGACTTGCGTGATCTCTTTCTTGTACTCAGCTGCATAAAGGAGGAAAACAATAATTTCTTTTGATGAGTGTTTTACTAAATAAGCACCTGCGTTCGCAAAGCTTGCAGAAGTGAACGTTCTAAATGTCTCTCTTGCCAACAAAAACTCTATTTAGATTCTGTGGCTGCGTTACTACAAAATACAGGTAGCTTTTTGACAAAAGGCCAATTTTTATGGGCTAACCTTATGAACCAACCCCAATCCTTCAAAAACCAACTGCAGATTTTGTTGGAATCTGTTGGAGAGAGTACTAGTAAACTGACTATGCTTTACATAGGGTTAGGCATATCACCATAATCAAAGTCCATCAGTTTGGGTGTTGAGTTACCATGTGGTGTTGGAATTTGCAAGAGTGAGAAAGGTTCCTAGTAAATCCAGAAAGGGTAAGGGTTAAGCAATCCTTGGTTTCATTACCAGAAAGAATACAAATTCTTACGACTGTTTTTTTTTGGCATACTCACTTGCCCAATAGTCACAGACTTTTTTCATGTTAGGAGGGCTGAACTCATAGGCGCGTAGATGCTCGGTGTCACAGGTTCTCTTGAGCGCATCTTTTATCTGTGTTTCAATCTTATCTCTAGATGTGTGCTTTCTGTTCATCAACTTGGCCGACTCTGCAAATAAGAAATGTCGACAAAAAAAACCATCAAAAGTCTGAAGACAAAACTGTGAATGTCCATTCCTTTTATTGTAAATATAAGACCTAGGACTTTTGAGCCATGATTTTTTTTGATATATTGTGTCATGTTTTACCGTGACAAAAATGATTTCTTGACGTTTTCTGTTATAGTCAGTCATGGTAATAAAAATAAGGATGATAATGGGTTGGATTTATCATGTTAAAATCCCCTCTATTCATTGGTTATTATTCTGAGTTCACACTTTATAAGCTTTCATTTGAATTTACTCGGCTTCATATTCATTCAAATATTGTCATTTCCATCACAAAAGGTATATGTCTTTTGCATTTTCCTATGCTCAGATACCGAAAATTCAACGTTGATAGAATGATGAAAACTCCCCTAAAGATTGCGCCGTGTGCTAATTATAGTTGCCGTAAAACATAATGATCGCATCCCATACTATGAAAGAATTTCACATTTGAAAAACTTGTTTTCACAATTTTCAAAGGCCCAAAGTAGACACTTTACTGAAGAATGACATAGTAATGTGATATTTTACTTTACCTGCGACAAATGCATGACATCCTTCACATACAACCTCTGTAAATAGATAGAAAAATAGCAAATGATAAAACTTCAAACTCTTTTTGTATTTGATCAGTCACAGACAGTCAAAATTTCAATCCTGTTCACACAGGCTAGTCACCAACAGTCAGATCATATTTCTTGAAGGCACTGTGACAGTCAAATTCCATCAACAGACAAAAGCAGGTGATTGGTAGGCACAGCTGGGTATTATCAATCTCCTACAGTCAAAGTAGGCCTATCCGCTCTGTTCACTAGTACCCGGTCCCCCTCGCCGGCAAAGAAAGCACAGTTGAGGGGGACCACTAATCTCCATTACACTTATAGAGCTCAATTGGGGGGGGGGGGGGGGGGGGGGGCATCTTGCCTGACGGAAAGATTTCCATTTACGAAGTTCACTAATTTTCCTCTGTATTGACTAACAAGCCCCCAGATAGCAATTTCATGTCATCAAAGTCAATTTGAGCAGTGAGAAAATACAAGCATTTTCTTAGAAAATACTTAAAAGTCCAATCTCATAGGGTTTGTACACAGGGTGTTGAGTGAACTTCGTATATGGAAATCTTTCCTTACCCGACTGCTATTTTGCCGCAACGCGCAGCCGTATCATATACCACTGCGTGTGCATAGTAAAAATCCCCTGGTGTACGTGTGTCACACACACAGGGAACGGTGCACGTCAACCAGCTAAATGTCTCACCCATGGGACATCGTTGCTAGGTAAAAGGGCGCCCTCTTTCATTAGTGCACGGAGCCCATTGCTATATCAGGTTTCATAACAATCCCAGCCAGTCAATCTTGCTTTATGAAGGCAGGGAGCACTCAACTGTTAAAAAAAGTCACTTTTTTATTTCCTTGAAGTGCGATTTCCTTTTTAGTAATTTCTGACCACTCTAACCATTTTTTTAAGCAAAACATCATCATTTCAACATCATTTTTCGAGTCTTTATGTATTTTTTTTTCAGCGGGAAAAAATCCCCTGTGCACGTTAGAACGCAACCTGAAATGCTTGAGTCTCAATGCGTGAGAGTTGGCAGGCCTGAGGCATGTGGTGACTGAACATGAACGTTTTCAAACCACTGATGGCCACTAAAATGTCTCTCCATTCAAAATAGATTTGTAACTATAAAAACATGTTACGGCTTCCATAAAATGCAGTGGCTAGTTGCGGCAGTCGCCATCTGGTTCCTCGATCTGACAATATTCGACGTCAGGATCTTTTGGTCTCGGAACCTGACTATCAACCGAATGGTTCTCGGATTTCATTTCCCTTTTAAAAAAGAAAATCCTCCGAAGCCACGGATCAATAAAAACTGTTAACACGTTTAATCAATCAACATTTAGCCTATAAAGTATAATCAATCAAAGTACAAAGTGCATCGATTGGAAGTGGTAAACATTGTGATCGATGTATTGCTCACAATGGGTTTTGCAGTACTGTAAAACTACCTAGCTGTTATACGGCTACCGTAAAAATATCCACCACGTAAATTTGATAGCACGATGAATATTTTCTGGGTAATCTTGCATCTCTTTACTTAACTTACCTTTTCCAAATTTTGTGGGCTTGTACGCCGAAGCATAAAGTATTGCTAACGCAAGGACAATGATGGATAACAGCCACTGGTACTGCATGGTGATTTAAGGCGTTCTAGTTGTGTAGTGTGTAGATCCGCTACCTAAATAACCAAACAACAAAGTCAATTTAGGTCAAAAATGGCGGCTCAGCTAGATCACTGAATTAGCCCTATTCTTTGGCCACACAAAGACTGTGTGCTGAAGAGTCTATCGATCCACCCGCCCGGCCCCAGCGCGTGGCCATATAAATAGAATATGGCTTTCCATGGAGTTATAAAAAGGAGCAATCAGTGTCAGTCACTGAATAGCCCCATTCGGTGGCGAAGTTAGTAACTTTACCCATCATAGTGTAGGAAGGAATGGATTGGAGCGATCTCAGAATGAGATTGACTCGATCCTCCCCTGTTTACATGTATATCTGCTCTCCTTCCCCCATGCTCCGACCATGGAGGTAGGCTCCGACTTACCTTAGAAATGCAATACAATGTAAAAACCAACGACAAACCACTCACCAGCTAATCGAAGTAACCCACGGCATTCAATCCCTCTAGAAATCTTTGCTTTGAATGCAGATCAGGAACATCAACAAACGGCGGGTAATTTACACGTGTACTATACTATCGGTATCACAATGCAACGTCATGGGATTGGTTGGTCGTTGATAACGTATCAGTGTTTGTTTTATGCAACGCCCACGTGCCCTTCGAACTTTATTGCAAGCGCAGCGGGAAGTTCGGACTATAATCGACTATGTCAATTACGCTGAAATGTTGCATGTTTTAGACTTAAAGTTCACTACCGAGAGAGAAAAATGTTCATTACCAGCACGTAAAGAAATGTGTTTTTCCTGATACGAGCTCTGTAACTAAAGTCTCAAAAAGGTATCTTTTATTTAATTGTTTTGGACCGTTTCAAAACCAGCTGAAAGACATGTCATTATTTTGATATAAAATAGAAAATACTCCTACTTTTAATACAATTATGTGGTTCCAGCCAGCCATATGCTTCAACATTTTGTCAGCACTTGATGCAACATTGTATTGATCTTTTTGTATAATTCATTTTTTTTTTGGCCTGATGAGAAAAATCCTGCCAGGATGAACACGTCTGACTTTTTAACTTATCTTCATTTGTCCATTACAGGTACATAAAAATAAATCAGTACGCGGGTTGCAGCAGTTTTCGTTAATTTTTTTTAATCTCATAGCTGTGTAAATATTTTATTACAAAGACATGATTGGCACACTAAGATCCATCGAAAAATATTACAGCATATTCAAAATTACTACTGGTATTCATTTATAAAACCGTTCCCAAAATTTACACTGAATTTTACTGATATATATAAAACATATTTCAAAATTACTTGCCATTGACTTAAAATAATTTATCTCATGTATATAAAAAAAGATGCAACGCATTTTAATCAATTTAATGACATTTCAGGAGAAAAGTAAAATGCTGAAGTTCTATTATGTGCATTATGAATGCACAATTATATTTATTTTCAAATTTTATATCTTTTTGGTAATTAAACCAAGGATTCCTCAAATTCCTTGGCACTGTAGCTCGCAAGCCTGAAGGAACCCGTAAAGAGAAGACAATGAGAAGAAATTACGGTCTGAGAGTCGGAAGGAAAACCCCAGGAGAATTTTCTGGGTAAAACCCACAGAATCAGGTAGGGCAGGAATCGAACCCGGGCCATAGCGGTGGAGGCGATGGAAGCAACCACTGCACCAATTATGTACTTTTGATGGAACACAAACCAGGAATGAGATTGTCAATTTTAAAACTACAAGAGTCAGAAAATTGATGAAATGTCTGAAAAATGCATATCTTTCTATACCAATAATGTCTTTTTCTTATATTCAAAAAAGTCTGATTTCAGACAAAATTGTCAATCTCGTGCCTGATAAACAATCATAAGAATGAAGCTGATTGACCATTTTAGGGTGATAATGTTGGCTTTTTAAAAAGCCCATTTCTGCAGGATTTTTATGTTTTTTACAGTTTTGTTGTACTTAGAGTTAATATTAAACTTAACAAACCAATACCCCAATATACTGCCTGATATAGTAGATATTATAGGGACCATAAGAAATTATGGAGTATGGGAGATCATGTACAAGGATTACGTGGTCGATTTCAACACTATTTTGTGTGGTTATTTCTCAGGCCAATTTCTGCGTTTCACGATTTTTGATGCGAGCTACAAATAGCAAATAGTTTAGTTGATGAAAACAAACATACAATACGGTGATACATTAATATTGAAATTCTAGAATCTGTGGGTGAGGCCTTATAAAACAAGGCTGCTTTAACTTGTGGTGTAAAACTAGCATCCCTCCGTGATCCGGAGCATTCCATTTCCTACGGCTACCCCTCAGGAAAATAGAATGCTCCATGGATCAACCCGGGAGGCTTAGAGTTTTAGCACACAACTCGAAGCAGTCAATATTTGTATACTCTTCAAGTCTCTCATGTGGAGCAACATTAATGAGACAATGCAAATATTTTCTTGCACTGGTCCAACAATGAACATATTAAATACACAGCCTAAACACTTTATGGTTAACACATGACTTTGTTCAGTCAATTAATTTTACAGTGTCTGTCCGAGTATATTCAAGCTATTTTTATATTTTTTTTAAAGACATTTCTGAGATGTACACATAATATCTCTTTTTCTCTTAGCCTGCATATATCATTCTCATAATAGAGTTATTGGCAGTTTGTAATAATTTCTACAATGCGTGATTTTTGACAATCTTTGCAATCAATGCCTCTTAATTGGTTGTTCGATGTTTGTTTGTTGTTTGTAAAAAAAAAAGAAGGAAGAAATTGTGCCTAAAAAACAACTTTCTGAATACCATTTGTGTAACAATTATGTGTAACATATCTCCTATTAATTTAAGCAGAGAATTCTGCGCTATTTAATGGTTAGTGTATTGAAGCTTGGCAATTGCCCACAACTAAAGATTCCGTGCTTACAGTTTTATGCACAAATTCTGGCCTACCGCTTTAACCACAGAATGGTGATAGTAAGCAAAAACACTGTTCCAAATTACAAACAAATTGGGGTCATTAGAATTCAAAGATTGCTTTAAGGTCGCTGAAGTGATTTTGAACTGAAAACAATAATGTAAGAATTAAAACAAAAGAGGGATCCTGCACTTCGCAATCACATTCACAACTATAACGAATGACACATTTGTATACAAATTTAACTAGCAGCAGCCAGTGATCATTTAAGCTTAGTTTAAAATATCTCAATAAGAAAATACTTACCACCTTAACTCTTCATTACAAATTAATTGCAAATGTACATGTAATAATTATACTAAATTCTATTAATATTTCATTGAAAATTGACAACTATTTTTTTCTTTATACAGTGACAGACATGTTTTAAAATTTCTCTGATGCAAAATAACACCCGCGATCTCTTCATCATAAAAATTTGGAAACAGACAATTTTCAAGATGCACAAAACATCAAAACTGAAAATATCATGTACCGATAACTTGCACTGCACGAATTTACTAATACTTCATACATGTAGTCAGGCGACATATAAAAAATTCCAGCCGAAAATCTAGTATTCTATAATTTACATTCGCTTGAATGTTTATTACTAAAAAATTAGGCCCAGCCTTATAAAAAAAATCAACACTTTTAATGGTTTTGTCTTACAGTGCACATGTGCTTAAAGGCAGTATACAACATTTGCAAACATCAAACAATGCCGATTTATTATGAAATACCTTACTTGACTGTAAGTGAATAATAGTCTCAAGCATCCTGTGAAATCATGGCACCTGGTGTGCTGTCATTTTCAAAGAAAAGTGGAATTTTTGCATCTATTTCCAACGATGGCCGGCTGACTTTTTCACATACTGCCCCCAATTTACCAAATCTAGTTAGTCCACATTTTGTTTGCAATCGGTGAAACATCTGTGAACGGGTGCAAGCCAAATAGTCTGGTTCCCTGACAATTCCCCGACGTCTATAAATTGCTTGTCTGTGGTGGGTCAGGGAATCAGACTACAAGAACAGCATTTTTTTCCTTGTTTTTTTCCAGCATCTACGAACACAAAATTTTAAACAGGTCAGTGTAACAAAATGTGGTATAAAATACTAACCCCGAGATCCATCCACTTTTAAAAATTACAGCAAAAGCAAATGATGTATATTACCTCTAAACTGTATAAACTAATGTGTTTTTCAAAATATATGTTAGCAACTGAATAATATTATCTCCTGAGTCACTGACGTTGTACATAACACATAATTGGTATATATTGGAACGTGCTTTGAGACCTTTGGTATAAAGTGCTATATAACTACTACATTACAATTACATGTATCGGTACATTATTATTATTCTGTGTATATAATGCACTTTCATTGCATTAAAAAGGTAAAAAACCTAAAAAGTTTGTTAAAATATTGATTAGAAAAAGTCTCCTTTTTCCCACATTATTGTTTTCAGTACACAGAAATATCTCATTGAATACATTACAAAATTAATGGTTTGGTGGCGCTTCAGCTGATTATCTAAGTGTACACCAACATCAAACCAAATAATCACAAGGCTTCGCTTATGAACTCTGGGCTCAAGTACCCCCTCAACGGTAAGCAAAAAAGAGTCGGGGAGACCGCCAGGAGAGACATCTGAACGCATTGTTGATGCTCATGTAAAGACACTATGGTTTAGAATGAAATTCAATTTGCGTACTTCGCGCAATATGTGCACAAACCAAACTGCGCATGCGTTGTTAGGGTGTTCACCAAGTACCATCTTCTATCCATGGACGAAGTCCGTAGCAACAAATCTACAATACTAGGCAAGTTCTATCTGAGTCGCAAGTCATCACACGTCAATTAAAGATTAATCAAAAGTCAATCACTTGCTAATCACAAGTCATCACTAACCAATCACTAGTCATCACTAATCTATCACAAAGCAATCATAAAGCAATCACAAAACGATCACAAGGCATCAAAAAGAAATTAGAAGTCGTTCAGTCTCCAGTGAACAGCGACAAGGGAATTCCTTGTCAATATTCCTCTGTTACTTTGTGACAGACTTTTGATTTAACTTTGATTGACTTGTAATTATGACCTTAATTGGCCATAACACCCTTGTGGTTGCGAAGGCTTTGCCTCTAGCGTTGTTTAAGCAAATTTAATCCGATTATGTACAGTGACGCTAAAAACAGCAGTCAAATCAATGTACCCCAAAAAATCATGGCTTTTTTAATGTTCTGTTTTTCAGAAAATATGCTCAGTATGATTGAAATGTTAAATTATAACATAAGAAGAAATGCTAAACTTCATGTCAGTGAAAAAAATTGCCGTTATTAATGCCGAAACGTCAATACTGGTCACTGGTAAAGCTGACCTAAAAATCGTGGAAAAATCATTTGAAAAGGTCCCCAAATCTTTGTACTTATCTCAATTTGTAGGAATCCTTACAAGTTGTTATTTTACGAGTAGTTGAACACTAATATCATCTTAGTATTTTCCGAATTTCAGCTCAAGCTGTTTTTGCAAATGCTAGTGTTACACCTTGAACTATCTCCAAGGCCATTTTGCTGTGCTAGGATTTACTGCCAATCAAAACAACATGAATTTCGGTTTCCAATTGAAAAATGAAACCTATCATTAGCATTAAAGTTGTGTCCCCGTGCTATTTTCATCTTGAAAAAATAGATTCCTTTTCTAAATTGCTATTTTTCTAGCATTTTTTAATGGGACATCGACCGAAAAACAATCTGCCCATGTTTAGTAATTGAATTATTACTTTGCAATTTCAAATTATTGGCTGCCAGACAATGAATCCGTTCTCACGGGGTAGAGTGCTTCTCACCCAACATTCAGTATCGATAATGATCTTTTCGTGCTCAAAACAAAAAAAACTTTTCAGAGGGTTGCCGACATACAACAAATTTGGAGGGAGCATTTTTTGATTGGAATAAGTCATGTATAAAACATTCAAAGTTGAAAATTTATTAATAAAACAAATGGAATTTGTTGAAGAGCATGGGGAACACAACTTGAACCAAAATTCACAATCAACCTTTCAAACTATTGACTCTAGGCTTAACTTTGTAGTTCGTCTGCCCTCTGCATGCGAGCAAAGTTAATGAAGACCTGCTCCAGGGTAGTCTGACTGACGGAGTAGTCTTCGATGTCATAGCGTGACTTGGCTCTCTCCATAGTGCCGAAGATCTGTGCCCATGTCAGCTGGGTGTTAGTGATGTGGTAGTGCACCATGCCTTGGTGCTCGTCCTTCAGTTTGCTGTCTGTGAAAATGAGATTGTATGCAGAGACAGACTTGTACAATGATGTGCCAGTTTCAGTTGGACAAATCTTAAATGCTTTCACATGCAAGATGCTTTAAGCGTAAGCAAGTCGTCCTTTTCAGGCCTTCTTACAGCAAAAGGGGGGGGGGCACAGATTGCCCCTTCATATCTCAGAAATGGAGTGCCGTGGCGTCGTGGTCTGGGGCATTAAATTTGTGGTCTGCGGTAATTCTGCAGGTTGTGGGCTCAAGCCCAGCCTGGGCTATGACACTGCTACGCCTAATATGGGTAGAGGCATTATTATTAAACATTTGTAACTGCTCAATCAAGCTTTTATACAAATTCATAAATATCTTTTCGATCAACAGCCATAAAAAGTCCAAAAAGTTTAACATTTCAGTGATTTTGTTCCACCATTTTACTCCATGTGCGTGGCGTGTATTGCGTGATGTGGCACAGAATGCATTGGTGCCAGTGAATTGGGAGTAGTGCATAAGCGAGGATTGTGAATGTTCAACCAATAAAAGGGGAATATAGAGACCAAATTTCATAGGAGTCCAAATTTCCTGTGACACTGGAATAGCGTTGAAAACTAGCCAGCCTGTGTTTTATCAACCGTTTAAGACTGGTCAAGTGACGGGCTCTCGACCAATAGGAATGGGGAAAAGTGTCTTAGGTATTGATGAATGGTGGTTTAAGACCACCCACGTGACAGGCTCTCAACCAATGGAAATTGGTAAAATTCATATTTATGAATAATAAATGTTCCTGCTTAGCACTCCATAATTTGGCTTCCTGTTTACAATTCAAATGCAAAGAGTACTGAATAATTTTAATTCATGTACCTGGGAACTGAGTCTCCATGAACTGTTTGAGTTCCGTCATGTCGGGCACACCCTCCAATGAAGACACCTTGGCCAGTACGGTGAAACCTTTACCGAAGCGGCTCTTAAGATGTTGGGTGCTACCCAGACATTTGATCTGGCCGTTGACCATGATGGCTAGGCGGGTGCATAGAGCTTCGCACTCCTCCATGCTGTCAAGTCATCAAAAAAGGTAAACCATTTAAAAAATTAAACATGAAAAATTGTTTACTGTTATACTTGGGTCAATGTTCTGCTTTGAAGGCATACCGGATCATTTGCATTTATCACAAAAGTAACCTAGCGAATTACTATCAAAAAGCTTACTTGGATAAAAGATCATACTGGTACTAAACACCCTGTGAAATTACTTCATCTGGCTCGCTGTCATTATAAAAAAAATCAAGAATTGTCTGTGATTTTTCAACAATAAGTCAAGTGACTGATTGTTGGAAATGATGAGATCTATAGACAAAATTGGGTTTCATGATCAAAAGGTTTTCATGGTTTTTCACTGTTTTCTTGAAAAGTGTAATATCTACTGAGCTGAAATTCAATGGGTTAGGTTTTGAACATTCTTGTTTGGATTTTGAGCGGTGTTATTATTGGAAACGAACAAAATATGTGAAAAGCAAATGATCCTATATGCCTTTCATTACATTAAGCCCTTTTGTGCAAGGCCAAAGTTTGGACTTCTACCATTTGATTTGGACATTAAATGCCTTTAAATGATTCAGAAACCAGACATGAAGCCATTCATACGATGGAATTTACATCGGGGTGATGTAAATCAATATGAGGTTTTGCCCTTCACCGAGGTATAAACACTGTATACTCAGTGTGTTACCTCCCGAGTGAAATTTGGAAAAAATTCAGGTGGGACTCGAACCCATGACCTCCTGCTTTCTAGTGCAGACGTCTTATCACTCGACCACCGAGCTTGCGGGGTCGGTTGGCTGATTCGAATCTGATGTACATGTAGCAGCAAGTACCACAATTAAACTATTCATAAGATGGAATTGCGTTGGGGTGATGTAAATCAATATTAAGATGTGAAGCAAAAACCATAACCGAAGCCTTGATTTCAAAAACCTCTGAGGAAACCTGCAGGTTGGAAGAAGTTTTTGACTGATCGCCATTTACCTGTGAGACGTAAGTACAATGCAGCGTCCCTCGTTGCGAACTTGGCACAATGTTTTCCACAGCAGTCGCTTGGTTACCGGATCCATGCCGGTCGAAGGCTCATCCAGAAAGACTATGGGCGGGTCACCAATTAGGGCTATGGTGGTACTCAGCTTACGCTTATTGCCTCCACTGTGAATAAACAAAAAAAAGCTCAATAAATAAACTGGGGTATTAACAAAGTTGTAATGACTCGAGTCAATGACTCGACTCAAGTTTGACTCGAGTCACAATTTTTAGTGACTCGACTTGAGTCCCAAGGGCAAATGACTCAACTCGACTCCAGTCACTGCAAGCAAATGACTCGACTTGACTTGAGTCCCTCATCAAAAGACTTGACTTGACTTGGGCAAAGGCTAAAAGGACTCGAGTCTCCTAAATAAAAGCAAAACTTTGCGAAAAATATTTGCAATGACTTAGCAAATTTATGTCCACGTCACTTTGCAAATAGTACGGTACAGCGGCCGCTGTATGTACAAACATACAACGTGTCACAGACTTCCACCTTGTGGTTCTGGAACCCCACAAAATACTTTCCCAGAGCCGGACATTAAACACAATTTCTCTTTTGTGGCTTCATCATTGGCTTTGAGCGATTTCTTATAAAGCTCTTGGATTCGATTGCCGGCTAAATTTATGCCCTCCTTTTAAAAATATATTATTTAGATACATGCCCACTTTTTAAATTATCAGAGACAGTTTTGTATAATGCAGTTTGGCTTTGATGTCAGTGATCAAGCAACGAAAAAAATACACCCGAAGCCAAACCAGATATAAGATCGAAGTTTCTACTTCTTGTTAACTTTCAGTGATACAAATGACTTTCTCCCTTGTCTTTATTTGTTATATAGGCCCTAGAGTACAAATATTCGTGACTCGAATTGACTCAAGCTAAATATTTGACTCGACTCGACCTTCTTGACCTAATGACTTGACTCGACTCGAGTCACTTCTTTAAAATGACTCGACTCAACTCAAGTCACTTCTTTAAAATAACTCGACTTGACTCGAGTCCAAAAAAAGTGACTTGTTACAACTCTGCTGGGTAAGTGTTGTTCAGAGGATGAGGGTTTGAATCCAGACACAGGCTACGTGTTGTCTCCATGGGCAAGCCAGTTTACTCAAACTTTCCTCTCTCCACCCATGAATATAAAATGGGAGATAGGGCATCCCATTCAGGGAGGGGGGGGGGGAGATAGAAGTATTCTCTGTCATATTGGAAATTAACTCTTTCGCTACGGCGAGCTGCTGACAGCGGCACACACAAATTGTACAGGTCGAACGGCAAGCCGCTGGCAGCGGCTCGTTGACGTCGCTGTGAATAAACAGGGTATCCCCATGACGTGTGACTTATCTACATAATTTATATCGTATAACCTCTGACCCTAGTTTGAGCCGCTGCCAGCGGCTCTCCGTCTGGCCGGGGTGCGCTTCAGGTTATTGTGAGCAGTTTGTTTACGGAGATACATTTAAAGATGGCGGCACCCACATCGACACTCAGCGGAATTTCCAGCGATTAATTACGTCCAGTTGCGACAAAATAGGTAAATTCAATTCCGTAGCGAAAGAGTTAACACCCAACTGATGGGCCATATTGCCTCAGGACAGGCTGGAGCTGCTTTGCATACAATTTTATATCAAAATGTGACTTGTGATTGATGACTTCTGATTGAGTTAAGATTGACTTGTGATAGGTAAGTGATTGACCTGTCACGGCTTGCACTTGATTTGTGATTGCTTATGATTGACTAGCGATTGTCTATTGTCTCATGGGGACTTGTTATGACATGACTGACTCGAGATTGACTTATAAATTACTTGATATTGACTTGTGACTGACTTGTGATGAACTTGCAATTGACTTGTGACTGACTAGTGATTGACTTGTGATGACTTGTGACTGACTTGTAATTGACGTGTGATTGATGTGTGATGCCTTGATAATAATCTTTTTCTTGTCATACCTGTAGGTTTTAGTCTGTTTTTCTGCGTACTCTGTCAAACTAAACAAGACAAGAAGCTCCTGAACTTTGCTCTCAATGACAGCTTCCTTCATGCCGCGTAGCCGGGCGTACAGACGAAGCGTTTCACGCCCCGTCAGCTGATCGATCAAGGCATCAAACTGAGGACAGTAGCCAATGCGTTGCTGGACCTACATTAACAAAATATAAACAAAGAAAGGTTTATTACCGTTCTACTAAAGACATGTAGACTATAATTGGTGACATAAATATCAGAGTTACAAAACCGCTGCTTCGTGCACTCATTGTTCTAACAAAATCTCACGAACTGAACTTGTGAAGTTGAGCAATAATATTCTTTTAGCTATCTGGAAAAGTTTCTGCGAAGATTTTGTTTTAGGTGCATGCTACAACGGAACAAAAATGACAGCTGAATATGCATGAGGAATAGTAAAACAAAAATAACATGGTTTATTTTGGGTGGACAGTCGATATTAGCTCCCCTCGGTTTTGGAAGTTGACAAACTGGTTCCCTTGGCCTTGCCTCAGGAACTAGTTTGTCAACTTCCAATACCTCGGGGAGCGAATATCGATTGTCCACCCTCAAACCATGTTATATTTGTATATTACTACTCTCCAACTATAGAACTTGCTCCATTTTTTAGTACTTCACCTGCTTGATGTTGTTCTTAATGTTGAACCCGTCCACTAGCGCATCACCGCTTGTCACTGCCTCATCTCCCGTAAGCATCTTAAAAGTTGTTGTCTTCCCCGCGCCGTTGACCCCAAGCAGGCCGAAGCACTCCCCAGCCGGGATGCCTAAGGAGGTACCCTCGACAGCTACCAGGGCGGGCTTACCGGGGCTGGAGTAGACTTTACGCAAGTCCCTCAGAATCAGGGCGTCTGGCAAGTACTGGCCGTCAAGGATGCGGGACTGCTCAGCCCTTACATCCTCATCCTAAAGAGGAACAAGATGAAATAAAAAAGAGGTGCATTACTTTTCAGTATTTGAAACCTATGCAGTTGAAATGCTTGAAAGTTGCCTTCTTAGAGACACTGGCATTTTTGCCTGCTGGTTATGGTAAGAATCAGATTTTCAAGCATGAGAATGAATTTCAATGAAAAAAAACCCAGGAAACTTGTGAAGAAACAGGAAGAAAGATGTCTGACAAAAAAAGCCCCAAAACAGGCTAAAAACAAAAACGCGGAAGTCTGGGCAACAAAAAACAGGAATTCCTGTTGAAACGGGAAGATTCTCATGCCTGGATTTTTGATAGCCATGAGTTCAACTGACATCCATGCACAAAGCTGTAAACCTCAGTCCCAACATTTAAAGGAACAGGGTCCAGTCTACAAAAAAAATGACATGGACAACAAATTTTACATTCAAATGAGATCAAAATGACTGTCCAAACACAACCCTTTGATAGCCATGTTATCAGTTAAAAAGGCACTAACTTACCAGGACGTTTTCAGGCAGCAGCGACATTTGAGGGTCTCGGCCGGACTGACCACAGATCAGGTCTCTCAGGTAGTACCGCAAGGAGCGAAGGAGGCCCTCCTCTGCCAGAATGACCAAGAGAAAGTACAAGATGCCGGTGCCGGCCATGAAGGTGAGCTCTTTGCCGATGCCCGGTGCCTTGAAGCCAAGGTAGTTGTTGTTGAACGTGTAGAGGGTACCTAGAATACGGGTTGAAAATGGCAAGCTTCAAAAAGAGGGTACTCACGATCCATCTTGGTTCCTGCCTGACCAAGTTATTAAGGCAGTCACACCTCATCTTAACTCATCTATAAGCTTGATTCAAGACTGGAAAGGATTTTGATGTCCAAATACTTTGATTCCTGATCTCTGGCAAGTGTCAAGTGTGGACAAGCTGCCATGGTGAGTGGACGGAGGTTGCTATCAACAGGGTTCCTACACTTCTAGGACAATAAAATTCCGAGACTTTTCCACGACTTTTCCATGACCAAATGATTAAAATCCATACCTGGTTCATCAAACAGTAGATGAAAACTGTAAAACTTGTTTGTTGCTTTTTATCACATTCTTAACGGGGATATTACGAGGTTAAAACTTTGAAATAGAAAAAAATGAAGAATTTCAGTGCTAAGTTATGAATAGCTTAATTAAAATTTAAAAATTACTTTGAAGATGTGATAGCATACAAATGTATGGCTGCACTTTACTCCAACACAAAACGAGAGAATGATCACAGACTTACTATTGGCTGATATTCTGGGGTCGCTACAATTCAGCCCGACTTCACTTTCAATGGAGCTGCAGATCTTCAGAACGTTGTAGTTCTCGTAGAAATCCGACAGGCCTTGGCCGAGGCAGTAAGATGGAGAGAAAGAAAAGACCCAGGACAGAACATCCGCGACGTTTTGAAGTTTTAGCGAGGGTAACTCAAGGATGTTGACGGCCATGAAGGCGGCGATGCCAAAGATGATGTTGAACATGGTGAGGCGGACGAAGGCTGTGGATGGCACGGTGAAGAGGAAAGAGAGGAGATACATCAAAGGAATGATGGACCAGCCGTGGAGAAAGAGTAGAAGGAATATTGCCAAGAAGCGGGAGTCACCGGTGTAGGCTTCGACGCCAAAAGCAGCAAAGGCGACTACGATCAGAACACAGGGCACCGTGTAGTTGATGAGATCCCAGAGGAGTGTGGACAGCCAGAAGTTTAATGAGTGGACGCCGCTCACGAACTGCACGTGTTTTGCCTTGGTGGCGTCCTCCTTGACCAAGAAGAGAACAAAGCTGCTGGCCAGAAAGGACATTCCAAACAGCATATTGAAAGCGATGCTGAACCCAGTAAAGGTCTGGCTCTCCAAATCATCGTTGGCCTTCTCGTGGACGGTGCGGGGTAAGGGGTAGTTAATCGTCGTCACCATGTGCTCCCCTTTCAGGTAGTGCTTCATCAGGGCGTTGTCGATAGCACTGAGTGAGGCCGGTGGCGTGTGGTACGGCTGGTCATTGAAGAATGCAGTAGCAACTATTTTCTGCTGGTCCTCGCTGAAAACGGCCGCGGCGAGGTTTTCACGGTTGAAGGTCACCAGCCTTTTGCCGCCGATGTCGATTAAGTAGTCCACCAGGCTCGTAGTGTTGGCATCCGTGACATTGTTGACGTAGATGGGTTTCTGATCTAGATGCTTCAAGTAACTGACGTAACTGCCGGAGACCGACTGCATGAGCTCTGACGTATTGTCGGGCAGGAAGTAGGGGACCTCGGTCTTTCCGTAGGTTCTGATGTTCACAGGTAAGGGAGGGGACTCGCCGATTGCAGGGAATGTCTTGATGGCGATAAGCGCGACGGCGGTCATGAAGAGCGGGATCAGCAGCTGGACAGCCATGACTAAGAAGTTGCGCCAGGTGTGGTACATGCGCTTCTGGAACATGGCGCGGAATTGTTGAAGGTACAGCGTCACACCGCTGTTGCGCTGGGCTATGAGTATCAGGGCTGTGAAAAGAGAGAAACAACCCGTAACTGAAATAAATAAGGACAGTCCGTGACAACTTAACATGGCTTATCTGGCCAGTGTTTATCTCCAATTTCCCTAACATGAATAAACAGAGAATATATCCCCTGAATGGGAAACACTCTATTGCAGCTACTCCCCAGCTAATGCCGGTACCCATTTGTACTCCTGGATGGAGAGAGGCAAGTGGGTGTAAAGTTGCTTGCCCAAGGGCACCACATAACACAGACAGCCAGATTTGAACCCTTGACGCTCTGATCATGACTCAAAGGAACCCCAACCACTAAACAACCCTCCCAAATAATAAATACTAGATGGAGATGTTTTTTTTTAACAATCCTGTGCAATCAAGGAAGGAACAAATGTTTTCAGCACTATGGTCCCAGATTCACAAAGCCCATACTCAAATGTATCAGATCATTGGGGAAAATATCTGTAAACTGAGCTACATTATCTGTCACTTTACACATGGATAAACACAATTTTCAGCTCACACTGTGCTTGTGATAAGATCTTTGCTTTGAACAATGCAAGAGGAATCTCTTATAAGAGACAGTTTGGGGGTAAACAATGTCGAGATACTGCAGTTTTACCATAATACAGGGCGAGTCAAAAAGAAGGAAACCCAAATGTCAGGACCATTGTTTTAGTGAAGTTCTGCATGTAGCACTTTCAAAATCTAGGATATGTAAGCCCAATTCATAAGCTTTCTTTGAGTATAAAAATCATTCAAATCACCCATGTTCTTTTCAAGCTACGGAATTTTAAACATAACCCCCATTTTAAAGTTCTGCCCATGGATCACAAAAAAGGAGTGCAGCACGAAAACAATTCACAGACATCCCAATGTGATTTGTTTTCGTTTTGCTGAAATAACTTTTAACTTCTTGTGATCCGTGGACAGAACTTTAAAACGGTGGTTGTGTTTAAAATACCGTAACTTAAAAAGTACATGAGTGATTTGAATGATTCCTGTACTAAAAGAAAGCTTATGAATTAAGGTTTCATATCCTAGATTTTGAAAGTGCTACATGCAGAACTTCACTAAAACAATGGTCCCAACATTTGGGTTTTGTTCTTTTTGACTCACCCTGTATATTCATTGGAGAAAGGCATTCTTCCCAGTTAAGACAAGGGAGACACAGCGAAGACAAGTGGAGTCATGGGCAGTCACTAGAGGGCCTCTTTCAAATCTGGGCAAACTGCGATATCATGGCAATATTTTTCTCAAAAAGTAATTTTTTTCCCAACTTTGAATCTTCTTACGTTGTGTATCTGATGGACCCTGCTCGATGTCCAAACCATTTTTAGCTCCAAATGCAGTGTTGTTGGCCTCATGTGCAACGCTAGTGGCACCGTCACCGTTGATAGGGCTATGTGCTTTAGTGCCACCGTTGGGCTCCAATTTGCCGTTTTCAGTAGCAACTTCGTCGCCCTCTTCCTTGTCAACTCTGGGTGGAGAAACAGACAATGTTGAAGTCAAGTCCAACATGTTCTCACAACTCACTCAGTCTCGAGTCACTTCCGAGACACTCACACAAACTGTGACAAAGTTTAGTTTTAGTGTTCCTCTTCTGGTACTTGTGAGCAGACTTGTGATGTACTTGATTACACCACTGCAAACTAGGGCCATGTCCGAATCACATGGCTACGTCTTACAATAATGCACAAGTCAATGGGAAGTGGCAGCCGCTAGCCAGTGGCTTCCATTGGAGCGCGTGTTATATACAACCGTTGCCAATAGATTCAGACATGGCATAGGTCCAATTTTATGGTTCTGCTATTGCATAACACACTGTTGCGTAAATTATGACATTAGCAAAATTCAGTACCAGACTCAAACAATGTTCATTGGCTGCTTAAACCAAGGTTGACCTCGCGTTGACACAGAACAGTCACAACTGACTTTTCAGGATCAAGTTATACAGTCGACACTCGTTAGTACAAACTCTGTTAATACAAAATTCTGGTTACAACAAACATAAAGCCTTGGTCCCAACTGTGCATTTATGTGCACAATGAATGGGAGTGATGTTCCTCTTAATACAAAATTCGGATATAACAAACAATTTGGCTAAGTCCGAACGAGTTTGTAACGAGACTCGACTGTACACGGCAACTGTCAGGGACAGAGGCTGTGTATACACACAACTTCAGGTTTTCCGAAAGTCAGATCGGATGACTGAAAAACCTGCAGAAGCCTGAAAATGCATGAAAAAACTACAGAAGCCCAAAAATATCTGTCAGCGAGCCACAGCCTCCGACTGAGGCCAGAGGGAGCATGACTCTGCAGCCCCAGGGTGATGGCTTCGACCTGCCTGGCACTGAGGTTAAGTGAATATTAAACCTGTGCCTCGGTCCGTTCTTGTCAAAATAAACCCAACCTCAACATGTTAAGACGATCGGTATTAGTTGGTGTAAGACGATCGGTATTAGTTGGTGTAAAAAAAAAAAAGGTCGCAAGAGTAGAAAAATATTCAACTTCTGCGCCGCGACGGAATGTGTTCCCGACGGGCGGGACCAAAGGTAATCAGACTAAAGGAAAGGTGGAATCATCAACGTGCAAGAATATCTAAAATTTGTGATTAACAGCCCAAAACTGAAAGCCACATTCTCCTCTTTAGTTTCACTTTTTGTAAAATGGCCGCGAGATGCAACTGTACAGGCTTACTAAAAAAAAATCTAAAAAAAATAAAATCTACAGGCTTACTTGAGAAACACCTCTTCCATTGTGGTGACAGATGCTCCGTAACTGTTGATGCCCAGTTCCACTCTCCGTGTCTCAAGATCAGTGAAGAGCTGCTCAAACTGACCCACGGATTCCTCCGGTAGGATATACGACAGCTCCGTGCCTACGTTACTCTCTTCCTGCATGCCGGGGACGTGCGATGCGATCAGGGCCGAGACGGTCGCTACGTCACAAGACGGAGCCTTGGCGATGGTCATGTGATAACCAACACCTTGATAAAGAAGTGATACAATCATTTCCGAGTCAATTCTTTTCAATGCCACAATTTGTTCATTTCTATGAGAAATAAGCAGATGCAATATTGGATAGAAGGTAGTAGTATAAGTTTTGCATGAGCATGAAATGAGCACACTCGGCTGTGAATCATGATATATCACGTTATCTTCAAGCAAACTTGAATCCTCGATCCTGATTGGTCGATCCATGGCAACAAGCCGTGCTACATATAACCATACCGCACGGCCACGATTCATACTGCACTCAGCGTATTGGCTATTCTAAGCCTACATGACGCGATTAGTGCTGCACAATTCACTGTAAATTCAAAAGTTGCGCGTAGGTTACAGCATGCGTGTTCCAACTTTACTGTGCATCAAGTTTGCTTGAAGATAAATTCGTTATCGCGCTCGCGCTCGTGGAACACGGAAAATGTAGTACGTTTGTGTCCCACATACCTTCGGCCTCGTGGTATGTGGGACACAGATGCACTACATTATTCCGTGTTCCACTCGCGCTCGCAAGATAACTAAGGCCAAAAAAAAAAATATTTCTGCTTCCGATTACATGCCGTTTGGTCGTTTGGTCGGAATTTTTTTTTTTTTGCCAATTTTTTTTATGCAGATTGAATGGGGTATTCAATTATATGCGAAGTTTTAGCCTGAACTATTTCCATTGCACTACGAAAGCTATACACGAAATGGCAACAAAAAGTGAATAAAACCTACCTTTAATTATTGTCAATATATTTACGTTCGATAATTTCAAAAAATAATGGAAAATTCAGGTCGTTCGCACCATATGCACAACGCTAGTCAAGACGCGGGGAGCTGGCCAAAACTCTGAGGTGTGTGATGCGAGCATGTGTGGCGAGCGGCCCGCCATGGGCCAACAGACCTGTTTTCACGGTCAAAAATTTCGGGAAACACGCGGCATGTATCACTCCAAATAAGAGTAGTGCGATCTCAAAATGAACTCTTGAACACAGAAAATACATACACAGACAAGCTAGATCAATTCTGTAAATTAACCTGCAAAACTGTTCTTTCTCCATCGGTGTTTTCTTGGCATTTTTCACGATGTCGAATCCGACCAGTTGACAGCTAGTGCACTGCTAGCGGTACGGTCGCGATCGCCTAGCTATGGACTGGTTACCGCATTTTCATCATGTCTTCTAAATTGGCCCCTGCGCGGCGCGGCGGGAACCAGTCATCGCCACGTGATATAGTCACCGTACGGACATCGTTTATATCGCGAAGCGAATTTGTAAAAATAACGGAGGTTTCTTTTGAAAAAAAGCGAATGTAAGTAACAAAACAAATAAATACAAGCATTTTTTGATGCAAAAGGGTTGTTGAGAGTTATTTTGTGAAGACAGAAAAGACAACAAAATTTTATTTTTATTTATTCAATCTTTTTTTTTTTTTTTTGTGGAATTGCTGATAAAATTTTTAGGGTCGCAGCCTAAAAATAGGGTCGGTCGGGTAACCGGAAGCAGAACTATTCTTTTTTTTGGCCTAATATAGTGATGTGCATTTTTGAATAATTTAGTATTCTACTGTTCTACCTTGGAATTGATCGAACATTCAAAATTTTGATTTTGAAATACGCTGATCAAGCTTTACATGCGCTAGCCTAAACTTAAAGTTTAACATCTTGATAAATGTTGATGGAGCATTGTGTACTGGATCGACCCAAGTGCTCTTGTTAGGATTTTCTATCACTCTCTTTTACAAAGAGTTCATAATATTCACCATATTTCTTCTTCAAGAAGAGTGATGTCCCCACGCATTGCAGCTCCCCCTTGGCCATGATGGCAATGCGATCTCCCAGCAGGTCTGCTTCATCCATGTGATGGGTAGTTAGTAGGATGGTACGGCCCTGACGGTGGCGCTGTAGCAGGTCCCAGGTGAAGCGACGTGCTGAGGGGTCCATACCTGAGGTGGGCTCATCTAACATGACCACCTGTCAGTAACAGTTGTAATCATGTCATAGAGGTTATCACAAGTCGTCACAAGTCATCAGAAGCCAATCACAAGTGATCATAAGCCATCTCAGAAAATCACCAGCCATCACAAAACTATCACAAGTCATCCCTTGCCACTCACAAGCCAATCACAAGTATATCATAACTCACCACGACATATAACAAGTCTTTACAACTCATCACTATTCAATCACAAGTCATCACAAGTCTATCATAAGTCGAAACAAAAAAAATCAAATCAAAACTTAATCACAGGTAAATTTAAAATATCACAGGTAAGTCAATCATAAGTCACCACAAGTCATCTGAAGTCAACACAGATCATCATAAGTCATCATAACATATCACAAGTCACCGCAAGCCATCTCAGAGTAGCATAAGCAATTGCAAGACAGTCACAAGCTACATTGCACATCAATCGCAAGCCATCACAAGAACGTCACAACTCTTAACAAGTTTTTCAGGAATCATCACAAGTCATCACAAGTCAACTACAAATCATCACAAGTCAATCACAAGTCATCACAAAACAATCGCAAGTCAACTAAAGGTCAATCACAAGCCAACACAAGTCATCATAAGTCATAACACATCATCGCTAGTAATAACAAGATATCACAAGTCAATCTCAAATCATCACAAGTTGTCACACATTTAAATCACTCTGTGGTCCGCTTCTAGTGATCGTGTAGTGTAAGGCCCCGTTTTCTCTAGAACAAAATCCACTTGTAATTGCTTTGACCTACCAAACTAGTTGGTGACATTAAGAACAAACAGGTACTTCATAGAGGGCAGGGTTTTGAATTTTTGATGAAATTTCGGGGTTCATTGTAAAATGACGACGATGACAAAACGTAACACGAAAATATAGATGGTGATCACCGCTATGTACCGTGAACATGCCAAACCTTACTGAATTGCACGGTACCAACCATAAACTGTGTACGAAAATCACAATTTCTACCCCAACATACTGTTCAAATTTACAAACAAGGGTGTCAGTATAAAACTATAATTGAGAGAAATCTGCTTTAGGTCAAAAAAGTCACTTTGAATGATAAAAAAGCACTCTTGACTCTAACTCAATCAAAACAAAACAATTCATGCAGACATTTGGACATCTTACCTTGGAGTCATAGATGAGTGCGATTCCGACACACAGCTTGCGCTTCATACCTCCCGACAGCTGCCTAGCCTGTGCGTCTCTCTTATCCTCCAACTCTAAGGCAGTGATGTAATTCTCAACTTCTTCCTTAACCTTTGAAGATGGACAACCCTTCAACTAAAAGTAAGAGACAAAAATAACAACCTCCAAAAAATAATATTAAAAATGCGTTCCTCATGCTATTTTTAAGTTCCACCTCGCAAAAGTAGATATTTTTTCTATTGCTATTTCCCTAGAAAATAAGATATTGACGAAAATCCACTGGCAATGAGTTGTTGAATTATTTCTTCACAAAATTCAAATTATTGGCTTCCAAACAATAATTTGGATCTAGCAGGGTGGGTTCATGTGTGTGCAAAATGAAAGCCCTTTTTCAGAGGGTTGCAGACACCCCAAAATCAAAATAAAGTAGTTTTTTTACATTTTTAGAGCACAGGGTTTGCATCTTTAAATACTTGAGCTCACATCGCTAAAGAGGCTTTCCTGTGAACACAACAAATGGCCAAAAGCTGGATTCGAACCCCCACCGTCTGATCATGAGTAACAAACATTGTCAGCAAACCCCAAAAGTCCCCAATCCCCTTGAATTAACAATAATAGCCAAGGCCTGGATGTGAACCTGACCAACTGATCATGAATAACAAACTTAATCGGTAAACAAAAATCACTCCTCTTTCCCTGCCATGCCTTTTACACAGGCTAGTCACCAACAGTCAGATCACATTTCAAACAAGCACTGTGACTAGTCACTGTGGTAGGCACAACTGGCTTATCAATCACTTAAAGTCAAAGCATAGCTGTATCAAGTTATATAAACAGCCACGACCTGTCAATCCTGCTTTATGTAGGCTGGGAGCTCTAAACTAAACAGTCACTTGACTGATTTTGACTGAAAGGACAGCTTTGCACAGATTGTTTGTTTGCATAGGAGGCTTAATTAAACAAAAAAACAGCAGGTGGATTGAACCCCACCCACTGATTATAACTCACAAACCTCATCCAGTAGCCATCTCCCTTTTTATTAAGAAATTAAATCACAAATATTTTTACCTTTGCAAAAAAGTAGAGGTGTTCTCTAACGGTCAACCTTTCAAACAGTACATCGTGCTGGGGGCACAACCCCAAACTCTGGCGGACTCCATCAATCTCGGTCCGGATGTCAAAATCATTGACCAGGGCCGTTCCGTCGGACGGAGGGAACATCCCGGTCAGCATGGAGAGGGTGGTGGTCTTGCCGGCTCCGTTGTGGCCGAGTAAGGCTGTGATCTGACCCTCGTACATGTTGAGGGTCAGTTTATTGACCGCTACTTTGTCTTTGCCAAAGACCTAATGACAAATATTGATTGATCAAAAAATTAGAAGGCCTAATGTTATGGATCCTTTGAAGCCCAGTGGTGGTACAGAAGCAAACAAGTGGGAGACACACAAGCATGTACCGGTATGAGTGGAAGGTAAACACAAAAGAGGGATGGGGCAGGGGAAGGCCCACAGAAGGTGGGTGAAGATCAAGGGGGGGGGGGGGGGGTTGACGGGAAGAGTTATGCAGACAGAAGAAACAAAGGGGATGAAGACAATGGGTGAGGGTCAAAGGGGATGACAACAAAGAAGGTGATTAATCCCAAGATGGTTGGCCAGGAGGATTCCCTATCACAAATGACAATGGTTGAAACAATGAAAAGATCAATTTACAAATATTGACAAATTGAGTTTCACTGGTACTAGTATCTGTATCAAATGCTAACTAACGTGTGCACGCTTTAGTTCTGAATTTCTTGGGTGCCAGAACCAAAGTTCCCGAAATCGCATTTGATCGATCTTATAAATACCGCCCTCTACCGTCACAGCTTATCAATTGCACTTGCCCGCAATTGGCGGCATTACAGGAACAAAATCTAAATCCAGTCTATAACTAGTGAGGTGTTGAAAAATCCTAGTCAACACTGCAGCAGAGATTCTTTCAAATTTCACTTTTTTTTTCACTGAATTGGTGGTTATTAAACCCAAACGTGCCCTTACCTTCGTCAAGCTCTGTATCTTGATCCCAGCATGTAAGCCCTTTGGGTCGGGCTCAAAGAAGGACGGAGACTGGCTACGGCCGCCAGAGGTCAGAGGTCGCTCATCCCACTGGTCGTCAACATGCTTCACCTTAGGACCGCACCAATAAGATATCTGGCCAAAAAAAAAAAATAATAATAATAAAAAAAAAAATCATATTTTAGAATTGACTCTCAACTTATTTGTTATTCTGCACATTCAGGTTTTCTGCACAGGTTTTCTGCACATTCAGGTTAGTTTGTTTCTCTTGCCAACATTAATTTCTAGCTTTCAAATTCATTTCTATGCCAGTATTACAGTTATTTTAATCCTACTGCTATTAAGAACGTTAACATTACATTTCTGAAAAGTTGAACAAAGGAATTGACTTGATCGGGGCTTGAACCTACCACCTCCGGATTACCGTTCCGGTGCTCTACCAACTGAGCTATCCAGCCCTATGTTGGCGATTCCCCAATTTGTCAAATTCTAATTTGTTCAAATAATTTTGAACGTGGTTTAATTCTGTAAATTTCTTACCTGGAAAGGGAAGTACCATTTCCGTGGTACCCCGTAACTGCCGGGAAAGACTGCCTCCACGTACCACATGAAGACGAGGTACCAGACTATGTCTACAAGGAACATCAGAAGGACGTCGAGGAACGACAAGTTGTCGTCCACGGAAACGGGGCGATTGATATTGTTCCACTGGATCCCTTCACCTGACAGAAGAAATAAAAATCTTGATTTTACCCTACTAACTTATATTCGACCTACTGAGGCTAAATGAGGAATGTGTCCCAAAATCTTGTTTTGAGTAATCGATGACAGAAGTTGGATTTATGTAAAATGTCATGTCAAAATGACATGAAATTTTAGACTGATTGTATTTTTGAGTAGCCAAGGTATTCAATGTTCAAACTGTGCATTTTGGTAATGAAAACAATATCCTTAAAAGTGGAAAAACTGACGATTTCTGAAGTGTATTTGTGTGAAGCTTTGCGAAAATGATCAGTAATTTTCTGCTGAACAAAAAAATGACCCAAATTCACCATGAAATTTGAAAAGAATTGTTTGGGGCATATATATCCTCAGACCCCCTATAGCTACACGGTCCTAATTCTATGCACGCACCTTCAATTTGTGTGTGGCAATGCGCGCGTTGCAAGCTTTACCTGCACAGATTATGGAGGGTCGAGGATACCTTTGTGTGGTACTATTCGAAAGAGTATTGCCTGCTCAAGGCTGTATACTTCCAGGGAGTTGTTAATATAAACAGAGGGTTCTTTTTACTCGGGCTGGTGTTTGGCTAAGAAATCCTGGATCATGGCTCAACCAATTTTACAAGGGCTTGCACATGTTATTTGCCTATGTTGGAATGAAGAACTTGTGAAATATGAAAGTTTTTTTGACACAGAAATTAGGGGGCGATTGAAGAATTATTAAGTAATACATAATGCAAAAAATAGTACTGTCTCTTCCGTGAGGATCAAGATTTTTTAATTTTAAATAAAATATGAATTGCAGTCACAGACCTGTTCCTTCGTACAAGCCAATGAGATAGGCGCCCATGGCCATCCCTGTGTTGGCCAATAGGCAAGACGTCATCTTAAGGCTGCGGGACATGGTCTCATAGTACTGCACGATGAAGAAGTAGGGAACGTAGGAGAAGAACCAGATCAGTCCCATAAACACTGCACCGGTATTTGCTTAAAAAAAAAGAACGTAAGATACAAATTTAAATTAATGTTCTTTCTTCTCTTCAACAAACTCAATTTTAATCTATTGATAAATTCTCAATTTTCATGTTTTATTCGAACCAGAACCCCTCTTTTTCCCCTCTGTTTTCCTTTTTGGACATCTGCACCCCTCTGAACCCCCCCCCCTTCAGATTTGTTGGGCTTTGCAAGCAGACTGGCTCACAGTCCACACATTATCTATAAGAAAAGGAATCTAATTTCGGGATAAACGTCAAAATTTGAATGGGGGACGCAACATTAATGACAATGTTAAGTTTCATTTTTCTGCTTAATAATTGGAAATCGTAAAATTCTCAAGCCAAAATCAACTTTAACAACTCCACGGCATGGGCCATTTTCAAATGACCGTCAAGTTTTGGAACATTTAGAAAATTTTAAAAATATTTTTGTCTGCATATCACATTGAAAACAGGTATTCAAAAAATGTAACAAACCCCCCCCCCCAGAGCACTAGTCAATTTCGATTCAATCACACATCAATCACATGTTAACCATAAGTTATCATAAGTTAAGAATATAAGTCATTACAAGTCAATCACAAGTCATTGAATGTCCATCATTAGTCCAAATATTTGGGACTCTCAATAACTGTGCATGAGAGTCCCAAAACTGAAGATAGCAAAAACATGCAATACAAGAAAATAGACTGGCACATGAAACAACCAGTCCAACATCCCTTCAGAAAAATCTGGTACCTAGTCCCTATTTCATGCATCATGCCCCAGACTACTGAAGGGTCAATCTTTTCAAAAAGTTGGATAGGTACCAGTCTAGTCTTAGGCTTCAAATTGAAATCAATTTGCATCACTCTTTAGTACCACTTGTTGAAGAAAAGTCTCCTTTATAAAATAAAATAAGACCTCAAACTTGGGTGGTGAAATACTGAGGACCTTGTCTTTGCCTCGTGAAAAGTTTGGAGAATTTTGTCAGCTAAAGAGTGAGTTTTCCTGATTTTGTTTTGCATGTTTTCTGCACTCAAAGTCCCAGGCTGGTCAATCATAATTACGTCATCTCATCTCAAGTGACCAGTCATTGACATAAAACGTGACAAAGATGTCTCTGTGTCATTGGTCATGTACTGTCAATTCTGATCTAACTTGTGAATTTGGGCGATTCACAATGCAGTGCGCTACCAAGAGTTTGCCACAGAGAGTCCATTTTTTAAGTTTACGGTCGACAAAACATGTCCCATATGAATGAGTGTCAGTAGACAACTTGAGCTAATTTGTTAAGGATAGGGGCATAGCGTTGGGGCCACGGAGAGTCCATTTTTTAAGTTTACGGTCGACAAAACATGTCCCATATGAATGAGTGTCAGTAGACAACTTGAGCTAATTTGTTAAGGATTGGGGCATAGCGTTCTGCCGCCTTACAAAAAACACCATATTGATAACAAGAAAAGAAAAGGGCAAACAGATCCTCTAACCATATGCTTACCAAACTACTGACCGGAAAAACAAACAATTTCAAAGGTCCCGCGCTGCAAATTTGTCAACCATCTCCAACAATGCACTGGGAAAAATAAACTCTCCGTGGCAAACTCTTGGTGGCTCACTGCATTGCGAATTGCCTTGTGAATCGACTTATGATTGACTCACTACAACTTGGCTTCATGCCAACAAGCAGGCTGCAAAATTTATTTTACCTGTTGAAAACAGCACGCTGACGGCAAAACACTGGGCGATGACTACAAGGGAGTACATAAAGAAGAACAGGAACAGCACGGTAAACGAGGAGTTGTTGATAACAGCTCCGTGGCCCGCAACGGGAATCTTGTACAAGGCAGTGACGATGGCCACAGATATGAGGAGAAATAACGCGTACTTCAGGTACCAGGCTGTCCAATGGAGCCAGTTACTCAAACCCATGATCTTCATGGATTCCTAGGGACCAATCAAATGAAAATTGTCTTTAAAGCTACAGTCCATCATTTGTAATTTGTGCATTTTGTTCGTTTGAAGCAACAAAAGAGTTCAAAATCTAATGAAGGATACTGAGCAACTAACCTGATGAAGTTTCAGCTCAGCTTCAGCTGTATATTCTGAGAAAAACAGCATTCTAAGATCTCAATTTCAAATCAAAAGTTACTGAATCATGTTTTGAATTGTTTTGAATTGCAGCTATACGCGACGTCGCGCACTGATCCGACGAATTCTAACAACCGCGCGCGCGTGTGCGTCGTTCCAATACTTGTGCGCGCTGCGCTGAAAAACAGAACGAACTACTAATTTAAATTTTCCTACGGTGCTTCTTAAGAATCACCGTTGGAAATGCCTTCTTTCGTTGATTACTTCAAAATGACAGCTTCCCAGAAAGAATAATTTCACAGGGAGTTTAGTTCCCTTACTATCTTTCAACCAAGTTTGTTTTTCAACAATAATTACGCCAGTTACTTTTTGGATGGCTGCAAATGATGGACTATAGCTTTAAGGTAGAGTAGATCATTTGCAGCTGCCCAAAAATATTACTGACCAATTCATTGTTGAAAAGCTTACTTGGTTTACAGACAGTAATATCACTAAACTCCCTGTGAAATTATTCTTTTTGGCATACTGTCATTTTGAAGAACACAATAAAAGAAGGTCATTTCCAAAGATATGTCAAGTGACGCCTTTTTAAAAACTTTCCGTTAGTTTAGTTGGTTTGTAATTTGGTGAATTTGTGAATGGGTGCGCACAAGCATTGACACAACGCACATGCGCACGCGGTTCAGTGTGTGACATCACGTTGCTGCAATCGGCTAAATGAGAACGTGTCCCAGATGCTGATTTCGGTTGCAATTCAAAACATGACTCGGCAACTTTTGAATTGAAATGAGATCCTAGATTATTTTCTCGGAATATACAACATTCACAGAGCTAAACCTTCATCGGGTTAGTTGCTAAGCACTCGTTTTCAGATTTTGAGCACTTTAGTTGCTTTAAACGAAAAAAAATACACAAATGGACAAATGACCGACCCTACCTCCAAAAGCACATAGGATCATTTGCATTTATCTCAAAAGTAAGTAACCCACCGAATTTTTATCAAAAAGCTGCCTTGGATTAAAGATCTTACTGGTACTAAAAACCTGTGAAATTGTTCCATCTGGCTTGCTGTCATTTAGACAAAATCAAGGAATGTAGTTGACTTCCTACAATTAGTCAATTGAATGATTTTTGGTTTAAAGAGTGCTATTGACAAAATCGTATTTTGCGATCAAAAGGTTGTGCATGGGTTTTTCACTGTTTTCTCAGAAAGTGTCATATCCACTGACCTGAAACTTCAACAGGTTAGGTTTTGAACATTTTTCTTTGAACTTTGAGTAGTGTTATTATTGGAAACGAACAAAATGCATGAAAAGCAAATGATCCTACATTGCCTTAAACTAGTCTCAAGTCAAGTCATAAACTATTCAAATGAAGAGTGACAAATTTATTTGTTATTGTTCATTCCCTATTACATGTGGTTTGACTTGTGATTGGGCTCGACTTTTAGTTTGTATACATTATTCATCAAGTTTGACCAAGCTCCGGTAGTCACCTGACTGCATGTCAATTTCTGATTGGTCAGTGCCCACTGTTTCTTTGACCAACCTTGAGTTTTTGCTCCTTCTCTAACACCACGCCCTTGGTGATGGTGATCGCCGTGATGACAAAGCTTATCAGGAGTAAGAACGGAAGCTGCATCTGTATGACCAGGATGAAATCATCGTCAAAGTAAGGCGGGTAAGGATAGCGACGCATCTCTACCGAGACGTCCTCCAGGCTGACGTTCTGGAACTGTAGAAAGGCTCGGTCGATGGCATACTGCAGCGGGAGAAAGCCTTCTCTCATGTAACCTGCAAAAAAGAAAAGGAAAAAAAAATGACTTCAGTTGTACAAAATTGCTCTTCCAGTGCTCCTTACCAAAAGTCAATTTTTTTTATTCCAACCAAATTTTGTCACTCATTGCTTCTCCCCACCCAGGAGTAAGTGGGTACCTCATGAGGGCAGAGATGGTTATTGTGATTGAATTAGCTTCCTTGCGCCTAACAGGCTGCATCAAGCTGTATACTCCCCAGGGAGCTGAGATGGTATTTGGAATGTTTCATGTGCCCAATGAGCAGGGGTAATAATGATGTAGCGCCTTGAGCACCAGTCCTGGTGGATACGTGCGCTTTATAAATATCCACTATTATTATTATTATTATTATTTTAAATTTTTACAGTTTATCTTTTGTACTATTTTGGGAGTCTGCAGCCGAAGGATGTGACTTTGCGTTTAATGCTGTAAACGTTTAGCTACTATTTTAAGTACCATTTAAATGTTTAAACTCCATTTTTCGAGATGAACCTCTAAAATAACAAGGTAGAAGGAAAGCGGAATGAACAACCAAGAATATTTCTTTTCCCTCACGACGGAATGCCAGTGCATTGCAGGTTACTCCCTAACTGAGGCACCCAACTGGGAATTTAGAAAACAAAACGAGGACACTCCAACACAAGACTTTGTGTACAGTATTTTTCAATTTGTAATGGCATTCACTGAGAAGTGAAAAACAAGGAAATCAGTGGATCTGAGGAAAAGTTGCATGTGTGCCAAATAATGTGGCATCCATTATACTCCTGAGTGGAGACATTTCGCTTGTCCAAGGACACTACATATGGTCAGCAGCTGGATTTGAACCGCTGACCCTCGGATAATGAGTCACAGACACTAACCATGCCACATTTTACCCTTGTAAAAGCATAAGAAAGTACAGTCTGTCATTTTCCAATGTGGCCCATCAGGCCGGTATTTATCTCCGGTTTCAGTAGCATGAAACAACTAAGAATATTTCTACTCCCCCTGGATGGGATGCTAGTTCATCGCAGGTTACTCCCCAGCTAATGCCGGTACCCATTTATACTCCTGCGTAGAGAGAGGCAAGGGATTGAAGTGGCTTGCCCAAGGACATAAGACATGACCAGCAGCTAGATTCAAACCCTTGATCCCCTGATCATGAGTCACAAACTCTAACCACTAGGCCAAACTCCCCACTTTGTAACATCATGGTCCAGCAGTTACAGGGTTAACGCATGGTTTCGAAACCTACCAGGAACATGGTGTTTGTTCCCTTGGTTAAGACACTTCACTAAGATTGCCTCTCTCTCCACCCTGGAGTATGACTAGATACCTGTGAGGGTAGAGGATTAAAATGTGCCCTGACATCAGCTGCCGCATGGTCTAATGGCCTGATGACCAGGCGAATATGTGTTTACAAAGCGCATTGAGATTGTTGATAGGATGTTAACCGCCATACGAGCATTACAATTTATTTATTTATTTCACTTACCAGGTTTTCCTCCCCAGGTTTTGCCCTTCTCCCGTGGCCCAGGCCTGCTGATCAACTCAAAGAGGGTGTCCGTGTGCCACCTTCCAGAATCCCCTGTGATGTTGTTGAACTTGGCGTCTGGGTAGTTGCGCTGGCTGGCCTTCAGGCGGATGCTGTAGGTTATGTTGGAGGGTAGCTCGTAGGCAGAGGGGAAGGGGTTGTGAAAGGTCACGCCCCCAAGAAACTCCTTCTGATTCGTGGCGTTGGCATCAGTCAAGAAGTCCAGCATGTCTTCTTCGGTTTCAAAACCACGGCCTGTGAATTGTTAAAACAACAGACTCTTGCTATGAAAGCAAAAGGTGAAATGAAATGTGACGTGTTGTTGATAGTCCCGTCCATCACTAGTCAAGTCCTCCAGTCCCCATTCAACTCACAAGCTATTCAAATGAGCTTTGACAAAGGCATTCCTTTGTTATTGTTCATCCCCTGTTCCTTGTAACTGGATTCGTGAAAGGACTTGTGACGGACTTGTAATGGGCTGAAATACAACACTGCTGAAAGCTGTATACAATGGAGTCATCATTTTTTCCTTTTTGCTGCCAAGTAGAATATATCGCTGGGCAAATTAATTCTGCTGTGCAAAAATGCAATTTAGGGGGAGGGGCAGTTGGGGGGGGGGGAGCAGGCTTGATACCACATAAGCAAATGGAGTGCTGTTAAAAGTAGACAGTACTGGACACTAGTATCGGACAAGTGGTGATATTCTTGGTGGCAGATATATGATTTGGACGACAGGTAAATGATTTTGCAGCAAAAATAGGTGCATGGATGTTACACTGCCTAATCATCTCCCTACCCCCATCCCCCCCCCCCTCCCCGACCTAGTGACGCCCCAGTCTCACCTGTTTCTAGTCTCGCAAAAAAAGAGTACTGCAAGTTGTCCACCACAAACCCCATGACGCGGTTCTCGGCAGTCCCGTTGGGCGTATACGCCATCCTCCAAGCGGTGGGAAAAGGCCCAGGGAAATTCACCCTTGTCAGGTTTGAAGGCAGCGAGTCGATAGGATAACCAGCGTAGACATCAGGCTTGGTGAAGTTTGTGTAGTCCACTATGGTACGGAGCCATATCAGCAGGAGGGACACCAGGATGGGAACCCCGATTTCGAAGAGGGTTCGGATCCAGTGGCGCTTCTGGAGGACGTAGTTCTTCCAGGTCAGGAGGAGCAGCTGGTTCAGTTTGCGTCGCATCTCGTCTTTCTCGGGCTAACGCCACGGACTGTTCAAAGGCAAGAAGGATCTCTCCTTGACAAGGCGGCAATGCAGTTTGTTTGGTGCAAACACAGCCTTATGTCACACTCTAACTTGCCGTTTTCAAATTATGAGTTACATGTAGCTACATCTAAAGACAAGACAGGAAAAGCCATCGTTAGCAATATGGGCAAACTACCATGACAACGTATTCATCCCAGTATGTATGTGCGTGTAGGTACTTTTTCTTTAGCAAACTAAAGGGACATTACATACAATTAAAAATAAAAAGTACATCAGAGTCTGAGACAGTATAGGAATAGTACAGGTGATCGTGTTTTGGGGCTGTATCATAAGTCCGACGCCTCATAGCTCCGACGCCTCATAGGTCTGAAGTTTCGGACTTATGAGGCGTCGGACTTATGAGGCATAAATTCCGCCTCATAGGTCCGACGCCTCATCAGTCCGCTGTTTCGGACTTATGAGGCGTCGGAGCTATGAGGCGTCGGACTTATGCGGCGTCGGACCTATAAAGTGGAATAAATATATTGTATGCCTCATAAGTCCGATGCCTCATGAGTCCGAAATTTCAGACTTATGAGGCGTTGGACTTATGAGCGGACCCTATGTAGTCACGGGCCCCTCTTTAGTTTCGATCAAATTGGAGTCAAGAGTTTTTTTTATCATTCACAAATGACCTTTTCAACCTTAAGCAGACTTCTCTCTATTTTAATGACCGTTTCCATGATGACACCTTTTTGGTAATTTTAAACAGTTTCTACATTTCTAGGGGTAGAAAACACTATTTTCGTACCAGGTTTTAAACAGTTGGTGCCATGCAATTCAGTGCGCTTGCATGTACTGTTCACGCTACATCGCGGTTATAGCCATCTTTATTGTCAATTTGCATTTCGTCAGCATCATTTTACCCCCAAATTTCCCTCAAGAATTCAACCCATGCCCTCTAAATATCTACCTGCATGTTCTTAATGTTGCCAACCTTTTTGGTAAGCCAAATAAATTAAAAGTGGATTTTGTTTGGGCCTATGTGGAATCGGGCCGTAACTACATGATCGTCAGGTCTATTCAATAAATATACAGCTAAAATTGTTGACTTAAGATTTTGGAAAGAATATGTTGCAACCTGATGCTGCTTCGGCAGTTGTGTACAAAGTCTATGGAGAGTCAAGAAAAAGTTTTCTTGAAAGGAAAAAGAAAAGTATTTCCCGATGAAATTAGAAATGTTTCTCAGTCCCAGATTCATGTCTTATCGTCATTTTTGCAATGACAGACCTTCATTGAGATTATATAATAAGCAAAAAAAAAAAAAGCAGCGTCAGGTTGCAACATTCTTTGTTAGTTAATCTGATGGGCCTAGTAATTATTGTAGTTTGTACATTCAACCATGGACAAAAAAATGATGGAGGAATATTCCTCCATGATTCAACCTAAATTTGAACGAAAAATGAAATATTAAAGGAGAATCAATTTTGCAACAAAAAGTTAATCACGTACTTTCTTAAGAACTTGCCGTCATCGCAACCACACAGGAATGTTCAGGTCTATAAACAGACAGCAATGCAAAGGATTGGGACACGTAATACCTACCGTATAAATGTTTATGACGGCCTTGATCAGCCGGCGAAACGCAGCTTTTATGGGGCCGGCTAGTCAAACAATTACTACAGTCAGCTGACACGATCACAAGGTTATGACATTATGAAATCATTATGCATACCGCCCTCTGGCATTTCAAAAAAAATACCGGGTACTTTGAAGGGGGTAGCATAAAATGGCACGACAGTAGAGCGCGTAATGAATATGAATGATATGACGTCACTAGAAGCTCATGAGTAATATATCACGCACGGTGCTGATAGATATACATGTAGATGCACACTGTATGTGCTGCATCCCACTTACCGATGATATCACATTTAACATGTCCTCTTTCTACTGTCGCGCCGCCACCCTCTAGTGTCGTCCCACTTACCGATGATATCACATTTAACAAGTCCTCTTTCTACTGTCGCGCCGCCACCCTCTAGTGTCGTCCCACTTACCGAAGATATCACATTTTAACAAGTCCTCTTTCTACTGTCGCGCCGCCACCCTCTAGTGTCGTCCCATGTGATATCATCGGTAAGTGGGACGACACTAGAGGGTGGAGGCGCGACAGTAGAAAGAGGACTTGTTAATGTGATATCATGATTATCATCGGTAAGTGGGACGACACTAGAGGGTGGAGGCGCGACAGTAGAAAGAGGACTTGTTAAATGTGATATCATCGGTAAGTGGGACGACACTAGAGGTTGGCGGCGCGACAGTAGAAAGAGGACTTGTTAAATGTGATATCATCGGTAAGTGGGACGACACTAGAGGGTGGCGGCGCGACAGTAGAAAGAGGACATGTTAAATGTGATATCATCGGTATAAAGTGGGATGCAGCACATACAGTGTGCATCTACATGTATATCTATCAGTACCGTGCGTGATATATTACTCATGAGCTTCTAGTGACGTCATATCATGCATATTCATTACGCGCTCTACTGTCGTGCCATTTTATGCTACCTTTGAGGGGGGCGGTCCATCATTTGCAACCTCGTCCCCAGGGTGTCGAGCAGTACGCGCCCACCACTACCTGCTCTCTCATTGGAAACGCGGTTGGAAATAAAGTAAGCACTGGGGACGAGGTTGCATCATTTGTAATTTGTGCATTTTGTTCGTTTGAAGCAACAAACGTGCTAAAAATCTAAAGAAGGGTGCTGAACAACTAACCCAATGAAGTTTCAGCTCAGTTTCAGCTGTACATTTCGAGAAAAACAACGCTGTAGGATATTGATTTCAAATCAAAAGTTGCTGAATGATGTTTGGAATTAGGCCTGAGTTCAGGGTCCCTGACACGTTAATTCTCACAGTGAGCCAATGATCGCGTATCGCGTCAACGCAGCTTGAAGAACATTGTTCAATTACATTTATTTACAAATTGACGCAGAACGCACAAAATATAGCTGAGTCAAACAAAATTAAGTAAAGGCCTTCTTTCGTCAATTTCTTCAAAATGACAGCTTGCCAGAAAGGATAATTTAACAGGGAGTTTAGTCCCCATACTATATCTTTCAACCAAGTATGTTTTTCAACAATAAATAGTACTTTTTGGATAGCTGCAAATGATGGACTATAGCTTTAAAGATGAGCCCCGCGGTCTTCCAAACAATATATTTTTTTCTTCTAAAAACGCATTTCCAATTTGATTTTGTTTTACCATAAAAAGAAGAAGCTATCTTCCCCTAATTTTTTTGACGTCTGCAGCCCTCTTAAAACAGGGCTTTTCAGAGCCGCATTCGAACAGCATGATTGTCGGGTCGCAAATAATTCGAATCCCCCCCCCAAAAAAAATACTCGTAATTCAACTACTAAATTTTCGGCGTTTTTTTCCGTTCGATTTCGCCTTCAAAAGTGAAAACATTTATATTACTTGGGAAAGAGGAATTGAAAACAAAAATATATTTTATTTAAATGGGAAAAAAATATATTTGGGACGAAAATATTCTTTTCATTTTAGTTGCAAATCCAACTTGAGTCACTGACGCTAAAACGCAAAAAAGTCGGGCGGCAAATCAAGTTCAAAAGTGGCATTTGATTATTGGTTTTCGGGCCTATGATTTTTTTTTAAATCCTGATAATTTTATGTATTTATTCAAACTTGTTTATACACGGTATAACCCATTGTTTTTCAAGGGGCGCGCGCCGTGTTTATTAAAAATCGGAAAATATACAAATTATAATCAGTAATTCAAAACATAGCACAAAATAAGAAGAAAAATGAAACGATAAAAAAAAAGAATTAAACAAGTATATGACCTAACGGATAGACCAGAACAGTAAAAATCAATACATATATAAACCAGACAAGATTAGTTAATTACACGTACCAAAAGAATTATTGTCAGTTTGATGCAAGTTAGAATATACACAGAAATCAAAAAGTAAAAGCAAATTTTGAAAAATGAATAAAAAAATAAAAATACATAAAGAATTGTTTTTAAAACAAACAATATTTTTTTCAAAACTGAGTATAGAAGTACGCGTAGCCCGGGCCTCGTCCTTAAGGTGTATTCCCAACTTAAAGTGTTTTGAAAAAAATGTTGATTTTATGTCTACCCTAGGGATGTATACCTCAGTAAATTAGGGGTGGTCTTTTGGTTGAGAATTTCTCCAAAAAGTCATCGGTCAACCCTCCAAAAATTAAAGAATTATTAAACGTTTTCGACTTTAAAACACTAGTTGCAAGAACACATATTCATCCTGCAGTACACACTTTGAGATTTAAATTCTAAAGCATTCCAAAGTCCTCGTATATTGACATTCATTGGCTTCAATACAAATGGTTATATCAATTTCTGATGCAACAGGGCCTGAATTTCTGATGCAATGATAATTTCTGACGCAACCGTAATTTAGCCCGGCCAACAGAGATTCCGTAGACTGAACAAAGTTGTGGGATTAAAAAAAACCTTTCGTCTGGAGAAGAGGTTAGAAATGTCTGGCACCTGTGTCATTGCGAGCCCAGATGGCTGTTTTTTCAGCTACGACTTTGGAGTTTTACCATTAATGAGCTACGTTTGTTAGTCATAGCCGAAGGCAAAAGTGCCTGTTGCAGACTTATGGATTTTGGAGCCAGACTGGCACTTCCTAGACTGGTTTCCAGCTCAATTCTTGACAATAAGTTACAGCTTTAGATAGGAGACTAGACTGTATACATGACACGTTGCGCACATGCACAAATACAATGCACAACCAATGCGCTACACAGTAACGCAACGCAACGACTCATACTCACTAGCACTGCCTGCTGATCCGGCCCGTAGAGAGAGTTGTTTACAGCGCTGGGAGCGGCAGCATTTTATTTTGAAGAAGGTTCCGGTTATCATTCGGCAAAAAAATGGAGAACCACAAGAAAACAATTCTGCTTTTTGATGTAGATGGGACGCTGACTGCATCAAGACAGGTATTATACATGTTATACCGGACATGATGAATTTTTGTTTTCGAAGTGTTTATTTAAGATAGAATTTGCCGGCCGTTTACTAAAGATTTGCCGGTGGCAATCCATATCAACAGAGGGCGCTGTACTCTTTAAGATAGGGCTGAATTATTAAGATGTATTAAATTCCCATCAAAAGTTGTGTAGCACGATTGGTGTAGTGGTTAAGCAAAGGCTTCAGTGCAGTGAGCGGGATAATTCGGGTTCGATCCCAATCCCCGCCACATTTTAAAGTTTTTTTCCCATCCCCAAATAAATAAGAATATTCTTCTTTTATTATTTTAACATGTCTCAAACATTTCATTGCAGAGTATTACATTTTCTTTTTCAGATTTGTGGCTCTGGAGGATTTTTTTTAAAGGGAAATAAAGTCCGAAATTTTAAAATGGTCTGAATCCCATCTTGTGAATACGAGGTTACAACGATAATATTGGCATGGAGCCAGACTAAAATTTGTCACCGGAAAATGTTCTAAGTACAAAAAAACAGTAACTGCGCATGTTCAGTGCATATATCCGGCAAACTAACGTTTACTAAAGGTTTGCCGTCTCCGGCAAAATATCCACTGCCTTTATTTAACTTTAGCATGTTTAGTTTAGCACTGACACAAATGACTGACATGACTGAACAACCGGTCTCAAATTTTTTTTTTTTTTTTCCGGACCCGGCAGAGCGTATAGCGCCCTCATACAAGTGTATACGACTTAGATTATGCGCCTTTCAATTGTTTCCCCCACCCCTCCCCTGGGCTGCCCCACCCAAGACTTGGAGATCGTTGGAGTGACAAAATCCTTTTTTTGGTGGGGGGGGGGGGGGACATTTGATAGGCGCGGTGCATTATGCTCTATAAGTTACACCTCTATGTTCCGACACCCCTATGTTCCGACACCCCTGCCTATGCATGTCTCGACTGCACATATTCCTGACCCTAACCCTAACCCTAACCGGGAGTACACAGTCTTATGTGCGGGTTGTCGGCAGTCAAGTATAGTCTGAGCAGTACCCAACTTATCTGTTAAGTAATCGCACACCTTGTTCCGTTCTTGTCAAAATAATCCGGAAGTGCACTGGTTAAGAAAAATTACATTCTATGAAACCTTTCACTTGATCCCTTTGACATGTATGAATTATTAAATTTGACATCTCCCTTGCACGAATAAGGTCAGCCCCCCTCCTACCACCAAACTGTGAGCAGACCTCTGCCAAATTTTAGACTAGGACCTCAACTTTGCTTGTGAAAATCTCAGGGAGAGTTTTTTGGCTGGAATTAAAACGGCTTTGCCTGGAATGTTAGGACTTTCTTATTAAGCCAAGTAAACAAAAAAACAGTTTCTAGTCTAGGCTCTTTGAAGAAAGGGAGGAGGAGGCCCTTTTTTCCCCCTATGTTTTTCAAGATGGTGGAATTTTTCAAGATGGTGGTTTTTTCAAGATGGCAGATTTTCCAGATGGCGGATTTTCCAAGATGGCGGATTTTCCAGATGGCAGATTTTCCAAGATGGCCAATTTCAGTTTTCTTAACTCTTTTGCTGAAAATTTTGTGTCGAAGGGTGCCATAATGCCTTAAACAGATTCTAAACTTTTGTACTACAATGTATAATTTTGGAAGGTCATAAATACTAAGTACATTGCAAATGAGTGATTAATAAAGAAAAGAAAAAAGAAACAAACAAATGAGGCAGCCTGGAAAAAAGAAAGCAGACAGGGACGAGAACTGGTTTATTTTTATACGTGGCCTAAATAGACAACTCTGTTCATATGTCCAAATACATACAGTTTGTACATGTTGATATGACTTTCCTAAACACTATTTGAATTTCCGAATGTTTCTGCAGATCATCACAGCAGAAATAAAAGAGTTCATCAGCAGTGTGTGTGAAAAATTCAGCTGCGGTTTGGTCGGCGGCTCGGACTGTGTCAAAATCACTGAGCAGATGGGCGGTCAAGAGTCGCTCGATAGGATGGGTTTCATCTACGTGTTTTCCGAAAATGGACTAGTGGCTTGCAAGCGTGGAAAAACAATTGGGCTTATGGTAAGTGATACGTAGAGCTGTGTGTGGAGCCATCCCGATCCTCATATCCTGCAACGTCATGGCCGTACAGGAAACGAATTATAAAGAGTCTTTGTACATTGAATTTCAAGTGCTTTCAATCCTCATGCAAAGAAGCAGAGAGTGCTCTACTTCGGTCAGTTTTGCAAAACCGTCCTGAAACCTTGTGGGTTTTAAAAATGTTGAGGTCAGGATTAACCAAGAAAACTTCCTTTTAGTACCAAAAGCTTAGAAGTTCTTAAACCCCTAATCCTCACCGCTGGAGTTACCAACATTTTCAAAGTTGCGTATACATGTGTATGCTGTACAGCTGTAGTGTCATAAGTCAGGGATTGAAAAGTTCCATTTCAGGGGCTGGGAAACCTCCCCCCCCCCCTCCTTATTGTACCAACCGTTCCCAGTCAGTGATGTCATAGAGATGGGGAGTAGGGGTGGTTGGAATGTGTAACTGAGTGTTGGAACTAAAAGGGGTATGGTGTAAGGGGAGAAAGCTTAATTAATCAGGCTGTAACTCAAGGTTTTACCTTGAAGAGTTACAAGATTTTACAGGGTTTTAAGGGGTACATGTGCCTTGGGTTTTAACCTCAAGTTATTACTTGTTTTATTTTGCAATGGCCCCTAACTGAGTGGAGTAAGTAAGGGGGTCATGTAGGGAGCCTCCCCCTCTTCTCTGAATTTGGGGGAAGCTTTTGTTAAAACTAGTCCAGTGCCCCTCTCCAGAAATGAGCCCCTCCCCCTCTCCAGAAATGAGCCCCTCCCCCAAGTGCCCATTGCTAGTTACAGTTACACAACTTGTTGCAGTTCAGGGAATAGACTAAATTTGGCGATAGCCATTTCTGCGGTGGCACCAGGCTTGCGTGAATTGCTATCAGGTAGCACGCATGCACTCCGGGCTCCTTTGACCAATAGGGTTAACAAGAACGCCATGGTCCAGTGGTTACCGTGTTTGACTCGCGCACGATGGTGCGTGGGTTCGAATCCTGCCAGGAACATGGTGTTTGTGCCCTTGTGTAAGACACTCAACTACAATTGCCTCTCTCCACCCAGGAGGATAAATAGGTACCTGTGAGGGTCGAGGACCGATTGAGCGCTGATATCGGCTGCCTCACGTTGTCTCATGGCCTGATGAATGGGGTAATAATTGTAAAGTGCTTTGAGATGCGACAAGTCTCTTACTTCAGGAAAGCGTGCGGTGTGCTTGCGTGCTTGCACCACTGCAAAAATACATCCTCAACTTGTTTGGCGAATTCCAGTGCAGGCCAATTAACCCTTACTCTCTGAGGGTAGTTTACTGCATGTCAGTTGGTTATGCCAATGCCCTCCAGCTGCAGTTTATTGGAGGATACTTTGATGTAGCAGTGAAGGCTCCAATTGGCAGGAGTTGGAGGCCCTGGAGGGTGCCTGATACTGACCAGCTGGGGGCACTTGATTGTTATCAGAGGACTCTCATTGTTCTCTGTGGCATGTATTGGAGTGCCTGTCCAGTTACCCTTGAAATGACATGGCAGATATTGGAGGGCCATGCAAAAAACATAGGAGATTTTCTTGAGGCACATATTGGCATGCGTTGGAGGGTCTAGTAGGGTAAGGGTTAATAAGGAATCAATTTCTCATAAGAGTGTGATGATGATTCTATTCGGCTTAGGCATCCGAGTCTATTTGTAACCCATTTGTATTTATAATTACCTTTTTTTCCCCGGGGCAGAACTTGGTAGAACACATGGGTGAGGAGAAGCTACAAGCGTTGATCAACTTTGCGCTAGGGTACTTTGCTAGCTTGAAGCTTCCTGCCAAAAGGTCAGTTTGAGTATGATAACATGGTCATATCTTGGCTGTTCATGGATTGCATGTCAGCTCACCCCTGTTATAACATGGCAGGGGTGTTTTCTTCTGGCAAATATTGAAGTATCTTGGGGGTCGGGTTTCCCTTCCTACCTCCAAATCAAAATTCTATGCAGTGTGAAACCTTTCAAAACCTTTCATATGAAGGGTCATTAAAGATATAGTCCATCATTTGTAATTTGTGCATTTTGTTCGTTTGAAGCAACAAAAGTGCTCAAAGTCTAAAGAAGGGTACTGAACTGCTAATCTGATGAAGTTTTCAGCTCAGCTTCAGCTGTATATTCCAAGGAAAACAGCATTCTAGGATCTCAATTTCAAATCAAAATTTGCTGAATCGTGTTTTGAATTGGGCCTGAATTCAGGGTCCGAGAAACATTCTCACTGAGCCGATTGCAGCTACGCGATGTCGCACACTGATCCAACGAATTATAGCAACGACGCATGCGTGTGCGTCATGCAAATGCTTGCGCGCGCTTTGCCGAATAACAAAACGAACTACTATTTTAAATTTTCCTACAGTGCGTCTTAAGAAGCACCGTTGGAAAGGCCTTCTTTCGTTGATTTCTTCCAAATGACAGCTTGCCAGAAAGAATAATTTCACAGGGAGTTTAGTCCCCTTACTATCTTTCAGCCAAGTATGTTTTTCAACAATAATTACGCCAGTTACTTTTCGGATAGCAGCAAATGATGGACTATAGCTTTAAGCATTTATTTACTGTGTAGAAAAGGGGTGTGTCGATCGATTATTCGTATATTTATTTTTTTTCAGTTCAAATATTCGGAGGTGAAATGTTATGAAATAAAAAGGGGGAAAAAGTCAGTTTTCCATTCCAAAGTGCATTCTGAAAGCTTATGTCAAGGTGTTGTCAGACACTGAAAGGCAGCTGATGTATGTCCAACAATGAAACGTAGAATCATCCAAGAAAAAAATTGAAATAGATTTTGATGAATTCCATCCCTGAATGTGCAAAGTTATCATTCTTTGTTATGATATACTGACGTTATCTTTGTTGAAATAAACAATGATAAAACCTTCATGAAGGCATTTTTAATTGCACATTGGATGATGGTACATGTAACCGAATATTCAGAAATTGGATCAAATGGAGGTTTTGATATTTGAATATCTAATCAGGGGAGTCAGGTGGGCGTAACAGTACTTTCCTCGCCTACCTGATTCCGTGGGTTTTCCTCAGAATATTCCTCTGGGCTTTTCCTCCCACCTCTAAAACTGTAATTTCTTCTCATTGTCTTCTCTCTACAGGTTTCTTTAGGCTTTCAAGCTACAGTGCTTAGGGTACTTTTTAGGAATCCTTGGTTTCATTACCAGAAAGAAATGAAAAAATAAAAAGAAATTTGAATTGACTCAGCCTGAGTGTAGTACAAACTGCCATTGTGGTGTGCGGGGAAGTGTGACATAATCCACATGCTTGTACTCAGCTTAACCAAACAAATGAATTGTGAAGGGATTTGAATTGTTATTCATACCCCACAGAAGATTACCTCAAAGTATTTTGAGGCGTGTCTCATTATCCGATAACTCTATAGACAAAGGTGTTGCATACAAAACTTGAAGGGTGTTTAACTTGAAATGTTAAAGACAAGGAGGGTTGGTAACAATTTTTTTTTGTTATAAAACAGGATCCATTTTTTTTTGCTACTAAATTCAAAACAAGAATTGACATCTTGCCTTTTTTCCCTCTTCTTTTCCACTTTGTCTTCTACCAGAGGAACGTTTGTTGAATTCCGCAAAGGCATGATCAATTTCTGTCCGGTTGGTAGAAGCTGTTCGCAAGCCGAACGCCAGCAATTTTCTGATCTCGATCAGGTGAGCCAACTTATTTTCAACATACTTGATGATTGCAAAGATTCTGCAACAAAAAATGCAGATTTCCACTCCAAGGGATTTTTTTGTCCCAAACCATCCTAAATCTTTCAAAATCAACCGACAGGAACTCAAAATCCAACAAAAGACACTATTGTTGAAATTGAACAACGGAAGTATTTATCTGGATGCATCCACCTACTGTAACGCTAACCCTGACAGACGCGACAAGGCGCATCAGGCGTAAAAGTCTGTGGTACCTCAATGGATTGAGCCATCAACACCAGTGCATAAATGACCGATTCTGAAACAATGAGAGCTAGTCCCATTGAACAATGCCAGAGCTGTATCCTGCTGCAGTTGGTGACAACAGATATCCGAGATATTTTAGCCCCAAGTTTTTTGATCTGATGGATCTTGCTATACTTAACAGGCTTGTCATTTTGACAATTGTTGCATGTTGCTGCATTTAGCAGGGTTTCTAGCCAGAATACCCTGGAGGTTTAGGTGAACAGATAATCTGTGATTAAGACTAGGAAATTTTGAGCCCAATTCACCTTAAGTTTACGGTTATGATCATATTTACTTATATTTTCCATTGCAGAAAGAACATATACGAGAAGAGATGGTCAAACATTTGCGAGAAAAGTTTGACGCTGATGGCTGGGAGTTTTCAATAGGTAAGCAGAAATAATTTGGATAAAACACAATGCATTGTTAAAAACCTTGATATTTTTGTGAAATATTTCCTGGCTGTTAGGGTTATATGCAAAGGCCTGTATTTTTTTCCAATCGTGAAGTTGCAGCTTGTGTGACAGTTTTCAATATGTCGTGCAATCACAAAAATGATGGTGCATATTTCTTTTTCAAAGCATTCCAATTGTTTTCAGAATTTAAAACAAACTTTATAGAATAAGACATTTTCTTCAATTTTGTAGGTGCTGTTATGTTGCACACACACACATAGATGGCCACTTTAAAAAATAATTCAGTTTCTCGTTCTTACCTGCTTCCTTTTTCCTTCCCGTCTCCTTTTACTTTAATTTAATTCATACATTTATAATATAGTTTGCAAATTTTGTCAATATATTGTCTTTATATTTGTTTGCAACAAAATTGTAGTAAGGTTTTTTTTTTTTTTTGGACACAATTTTGTGTCAGCAAAAGATTCGAGAAAAAGGAAGAATCTATCTGCCATCTTGGGAAAAAAGGAGGGGGGGGGGGTCTCCTTAATTGTCCAGACCAGAAACGCCCAGACCAGAAACTTCTTCTTTTTAAACAGCCTATATGTGATGCGATCAAGCTTCATGAGTCGTTTGTCGACCCTGTTCAAAAAAAAAAAAAAAATTATTGCAGATTTGAAAAGAGCACAATCTCACCATTACTGCTGTGAAAACCACATTGCTGATACCATCTTCCATTAAAAAATTATGGAAGTTGGAACACTAGGAAATGTGATGAAGTGATGTGATGAAGTGATGTGATGAAGTGGCCCTATTTTGTCCTGTATCTCCAAATAAAAATTCCTGACAAACGACTCATTTAGCTTGATCGCATTATGTTCACACACGCTGTCGGAAAACTAAACTGGCATTTTGCTGGTACGGAATCAGCAATTTAAAAAAGATTCCCAAAAAAATATCCCTCATTGATGGAGATCCAGGTCAAATTATGAATCTCTTGTTTGAACTGTTTGTTCCAGGTGGCCAAATCAGTATAGATGCATTCCCCAAGGGTTGGGACAAGAGATACTGCCTACAGTACCTGGAGAAGGACTTCGACACAATTCACTTCTTTGGTGATAGGGTTTTAAAAGTAAGCTTTTCTTCAAAACTTTTCCAGAAAACTAAATTAGAATTAGATGTTTATTTCAAAGTATTGCTACAATTTACAAGTGTCTAAGTTGCAAACTTCACATACCCACAGCAAATTCCCAAAATGAAGGGAACTTTGAAATAAAATTCATTTGTAGAGAATTTAATTTTTATACCACAAATGGTAAACCTTGTGCATATTAAAGAGACCTCACATTCAAAGCTGACGTATTTTATAAACACTGTATACTCAGTGCTGTCCAAGTGCTTTTGAAAAAAAACTCACATGCCCACTCGGATGGGACTCGAACCCATGACCTCCTGCAGGTAAGCTCTGCTGTCGAGTGGTAAGATGCCTGCACTCAGTGTTTCCCCTGAGCGAGGTGTTAAAAAAGACAAATTGATGACTGAAACAAAATTTAGGCTGTCTGCAAACTGAACAGAACACATCATTATTATATCCGATGTTAGACTTTAATTTTCACCCTCTTATCTGGGATTTGTTTCCTTCAGGGCGGCAACGATCATGAGATCTACAGTGATCCACGGACCATCGGCCATCAAGTGATGAACCCAGCAGACACCAAGAAACAAGTCCTTGAGCTACTGAGTGAGAACGGAGTTACACTTTAATCTTAACCCCCTAAATGACCCAATACACTAAAAATTGATCAGACGCACAATGAAGCCTATTATTTTTTTAACATTCCATGAAATGAAATCCTGGTTCAGGAAGCAAAATAATATAGGTTTTCCTGGCTATTTTAACAGATTTTTCACTCAAATTCACCAACTTTATCATTAAATTTCGTCCACGAACAATTTCACAGGCTTTTAACAAAACCAATTTAGTCATTTACCATTTAGTTAGAAAGTTTGGTCACCCTCTTTAGTCACCGGGTCGAGAATATTCATCATTACAGATCAAATTGGTCTAAGCTGTTGCTGAATGGCAGCATTCAGAGATAGAATTCGTCATATAAATCAATTAGACGAATTCAATTTCTGAAAAACACGATTCGGTGTAGATAATATGAAATCGAATACTTCGGGACGAAAACGTGTGTTCATTGTTTGAATTTGTTTGGACTAAATTTGAAATTGTCTGACAAAAGATGAAATTTAACATTGGAAGTGCACTAAATTGATGTTGCTGGACGAATTTGAATATATGAATCGGTGAATTTGAACGAAAAGTGTTTTAAAAATAGCCTGGAAAGCCTATAAAAGAGTCCGAAATGTGCTGTTCAAGAGAGGTCTATTGCTACATGTAATCCTAAAGATGCTTCACATGTGGCAGAGTATAGCCCACGTAGGGTTCTAGATACCAACATGGGAAGCACCAGAAATGATTTAGACAGTATTTTTTTGGACCTCAGATTTGTTCAGGTTTCAATTATTTTTTAAGATTGATTTATATTGTAATCTTCCAATTGTAGTTTGTAACCTGTACAATATTTCCGAAAAGTAAAAATGGTGTATTTGTCATATAAACAGCAATATTAAGCGACCGGTGGTATGTAAACAATTTCAGTACATGTAAATAAATGCTAAATAAGTATGAAATCGTATTTACTATTTTAGATACTGTTTTTAGTTAGTTAAAATAATTTTTTAATCCATTGTTTTGGTGCTGGTAAGATTTAGAAGAGTTTAATATAAAAATTAAATTTCTATAATTTGCACCTTTTTTAGTGTTTACATTTTTTAGTTTTAAATTTGTAGTCAACAGCTGAAAGACTGCCATGGAAATTATGAATCGGGAATTCGACCAGATCTTTTTGTTCCAGTGTTATTCAGTCCATGGAATGCTGTGGCTATTTCCCTGAAAAGTGTGTATCCACGTTCACCATGGACTGTATAGTTTTGATTTGCTTATATTTGTATCCATATAGTAGATATTTTAATAATCTTTTTTTTATTTGAAATTATTTTGTTTTCTAAAATTATTTTTTTTCCCCAAAAATTGTGGCAATATGACTTTGTACACCAGTTTAGACCAGCTAAAAAAAAAAAAAACTTGATGGAAATATTTTTAGAAATATTTTTATATAATCTTGGTTATCCTTAAACTACACATGTGAGCCTGTATTAGTTATATTTCAGTCAGCCTAATGCATTTTTTTTTGTTAATTGGTTATTTTTCTTTGTAACTTTTCTGTGAATTAAAAGTCTCTAAATGTAATCTTTGTTTCAGGTCTCTTTATCTTAACTGAATTTTATAACATTTTATTTAATGTCACAGGAAGGAAGCGTTTCATTAGAAATGCACGCAAATTCGGAAAGCATGGAGACATTTCAAAGGTGCCGAGGCTTGTAAAGAGCGGCCTTGATGACTAACTGAATAAAAAAATGACTGAAAAAGGACAGAAATCATTTTACAGAAAAAAAAATAATATCAGGTTTAAATGATAAACAGTTCCACACAATAAAATATGCACATTGAAAACGTGTACTGTACAATGAACGTTTATTAACAATTTTGATTAAGCATTTCGATGAAATTGATCAAACACATTCTATTAATATAAACCAAAAAATACACAGGTTTAAATGAGTTGTCCCTAAACAGAATCTTGCATAACCCAAATTGCAGAAAATCATGAAAACTAAGGAAATCATTCAAATACGGGGAACTTCAGTGAACTTCCAACTTCAGTTCGCTTTTCGATAAAACTGGCCCGCTAGCACTCATGGAACATGTAGTTGGGTCTGCACGCTAATTCAGCCTCAATATTACATACAAGGTACAGACCCAACACATCAATACATTTAATCTTGTACCAATCATGCGCACTGGCTGTACACAATTAACATGAATCTTGCTTAGAAATTTAAGCGAATCTAGTCTCCTGTCTGCATACACAATCTTCTTATCATAAAAAATAAAGGAAAACTAATATGGCTCAATTGAAAAAAATATAGGTTGAAGCAATGAAATTGACTGTGGCAAGATGTGAACCTGTGACACCCGAAAGACAGTTGGCAATGCTGCAAACCTAGGAAATTGTGACTGGGAAAGTTTCTAGCATTTCACTTCGGGCGTTATCCCTGGCCACATGGTATTACGGGTGTATGGATTCCGACTCGCACCCTTCAATAAAGACACTGACAAATAAGGGACCACCAACGTGGGACTGATAGCTCAGTTGGTAGAGTACCACAGCGGTTAGTGGTGTGCATTTACAGGTACTATTGGAACCGGGTACCCTGCGTAAGTTAAAACACGGATACCAGGATCCCCGTTAAAGAAAGCCAACCCCAAATTCAAATCTTGGAAGTGTCTGAAGGGTTTTATAGGTTCACGGTGTAAATCGCAACTTTCGTGAGCGTCACCCCTTGCAAGATAATATGCACATGTAGCCTGGTGTTCATTTTGAAAATTCACACAAATGGCATTCAAAACCTTTTCATTGTCTGAGTAGTAACTAAGTATATTGTTAAGTTGGTTATGGTTACCATATCTCATAATCTTGAACTGGTTCCTGACATCAGCAGTCGGGAACTTGGGTACGACGGTTCCGATCCACACCACACCCCTAGGTCAGTAATCCGGAGGTCACAGGTTCAAACCCCGCTCAAGTCAACTTCTTTGCTCAACCTAATATTTGCCACCTACTTAAAATAAAACTTTTCATTTCATTAAAGTGAAACATCTCTTCACTGACTCATCAATAAAGAGTCTACATTATTAGTTTGGTTTAACCTGACAACTAAACTACTAAACGAAATCTAACACCATATCCAAATTAGACAAAGTAAAACAATAACATTCATCCATCATTTTAGTTTTGAAGATCTTTACATGATTGCAAATCAACTTAAAAATAAAATATCAACTCATTGGTAGCACAGTCCCTCGATAGATAAACCTTTCTTATACAGGACACATGTTCAACAGAGGAATGGTTAAAATATACACGTACATGCCATTTCAGTGAAACTACATACATGTACCGGTACTAAAGACTAGGCCAGGACAAGTACACTGCAGTTGATTTTCAACTCAATTACTCACAGAGAAATTACTCGTAAGTAGTCGAGTACTCAACAAGTGACAACAAACAAATTGCATGCAAGACACGGCACATTCTGCACCGAGTCATTTCTTGTTGACGAAGTCAATACATGTACTTTAAAAAAATTGCTACTAGCGAGTACCTGTTTCTGCTCATGCCATGATGAGTACTCGTGTAGATGAAAAATCACGAGAAAGAGTAGCACAAACACTCATGAGTACTTGGGGTACTCGCCCAGCAGAACTAAAGACTAAAACTGTATGGACTAGTTATCACACTACAATATAGCTTAATGAGAACGTATGTGTCAAAATGGTCTCCGTATATAGCAAGTGCAGACAGCTTACTCGTGAGCTCCAAAGAGGGACATATTGCATACATATTGTGGTTCGTGTGAAAGAGTACAGAAAATTGTTAATAGGCCTAATGTCATAATCACTGCCTCTGAATTTTACGTCAAATTGTGTGGCAGCGCAGTGACCTATGCGTAACATACATATTTACATTTATTACACAGGTGTTGGCTTAAAGCCGCTCAATACGCGACAAAATGTCATATACTTTGTGTAGTGCAGAGTGCAGACGACTAGTAAACTTTTTTTCCGGTGAATTAGGCCATCAGCCTGGGGGTTTGGCCAGTATCAAATCAGGGCATGAATGATTATAGTGCGCATGCGCAAGGTATACCGCCCCTAGAATGGTAACAAGCATTTTGATGGACATTTTGAAAAAAAGGGTGATAACACCCAAAAAGCTGCCACCGCTGCAATGCTATCACATATTTTCCGACTCTGGAGGTATATACCTTGCCAAAAATCGCTATAACGATTATTCCCCTCATTTGATACCGGTGGCCAAAATTTTGGACCGAGGCTGATGGCTTAAATGTGTACAAGTTAGAAAGTTGCATATAGCACCAATATTTTCTTCAATCTCAAAAAACAGCTGGATATCTGATAACTGCGAGATGACTTGCATCCCTGACAAAACATCTGTCCCCTCCAAAAAGGATTTCAACATTTATAGGCAGACCCATTGCACAGAGACACTAAGCACATCTGAGCAGGAATGATTTTACTAAGCAGTAATCAAAAATAGGTCACCTGATAAAAGTCATGTGATTTTGACAGCTGCTGATTGGTTCAGTGCTGACTTTGCGCTTACTACCCCTTACGTTTTTTCGATGCACTATTTTTCCGCTTCATGAAATTGGGCCCAGAATATCAAATGAGTGAGTTGAGTATGAGAGATATACGTGTATGTGAGAGGAAGTAATTAAAAATGACATACACATGTAGAAGATTAATTGACTCATGAAAAAATGCCATATAATTGGCTAGTACAATGTACATATTACATTCTATATAGGGAAGGGTGTCCTACCAAATACAATATGTACGTGTTCTACATAACCCCCGAGGACAGACACACAAAAGGAGAACAACGGATCCTTTCAGTCCTCGGGAGTTGGGTCTTTTGTTCGAAACGTCCTCTGTAGTAAGTTTGTGTACTTAGTCTATGGGAGAGTGTTATATTACAGGGACAAAGGGAAACACAAAGCATTGTCCTGAAGAGTATAGTAAAATAAGAGTGTTTGTACTAGCTCATTTATAGAGGGAGACACAAGTGTTAAGAGTGTGATATTCTAGATCTTATGAGCGCTGATATTTCATTTCAACATTACGTCTGACTACTGACTCTTTATCCTTTTTTCTTCCAGTAGATGATTTTAATACAATATACATCTCCTCTGTGTAAGATTAATAATGCAACTTGCCAACAAAGCCGTACTTTTGTTGTTTTAAAAATTTCCAAATGTCCCAACAACTTGGACATAATGTTACAAGAAAGAAATCTCATCATCCAAGATTGCTTTTACGAATAAACACGCCTAGCTATGAATCCCTTGCTCCTGGTTTACTTGTTTAATAATTAATTTACTGAACTTTTGGCTTCTATTTATATGAATCTTTGTAATGGCTGAGGTACATGTATAGTCTTGGGTCAAACGTTATATATTTCAATACAAGATAACTTGCCGCCGCGAGAGGGCATTATCACGACGAATGGCAATCTCCTATAAGTCGCTATCATAACAACGTCTTGGGAATCTTGTAGGGGTTGTGTCATGCGCATCTTATTTGTCTAATGTGTGCAGCACCCATTCAAAACCTTTCATATTAGCTCCGAACCAAAGTCTTAAATTTCATCAAGTAGCATACAAGATGGGACAAGACGTTTGTGCAACTTCACGGCTGCTCTTCTGTGGTACTTGTATGTAGTAAGCGTGTGACTGAAAATGGACTGTATTTGCCTGCAGAAGTAATGCGCACTAATTTTCCCCATTTTTTTCAGGGGAAGATTTTACAAGATTACCAAGATGTTGTTGCGACAGCGATTTGTGGGTGACAGCAGTTCATGGTGACAATGCCCTCTCCTTGCAGCGGGCTATTGCATATCCAATACAGCATCTTCACCCAACATGCCCAAGACTACATGTTCGATATGTTGTACACGTACATGTACATATATACTTAGCTGTCCAACGCAGCATGTCTGTCGGAATAATGCTTCACGTGATACGTACATAGTGCACAAATGAAACCATGAGACTGTACAGTTACATGTAGTTACCGGTATATGATGTTTCTGATACAAATGATTCACAAAAGAAAACTGCTGTAAAAAATGCAAATCACACTTTTACTAGTATTAAGTACATCGTGGGAAAAATTAAAATTTGTTAAAATTGCATTTCCCGACTCTTTGAGATTTTTTTCCATTAATTAATAAATTTTCAATGTGTAAATTTATTCAAAAAAAACCAAACCCCTTCCCACCCTTTTTTTGGACGCCTCTAAAACTCTGGAAAAAAGAGTGTTTTTGGTATAAACAGATCTGCTTTAGGAGCAGACTGGTTTCCCGGTTTGTTAATTATCGATACTGATTGTGGGGCTGGAACCTGCCTATCCCGCAAGAACAAAATTAATGTCCGGCAGCCAATAACTCAAAACTGTAAAGTAATGATTCAATAACTAAACATGCGCCGATGTCTCATTCAAAGGTGAATAACTTCTGCACTGCTTGAAAAAAAAAAATGCAATTTAGAAATGGAGTCTATATTTCAAATGTTTGTAAGGTACTGGGAGTAAACAATGAGAATGGTTAAATGCACAATAGTATACGTGTCAAAAGTGAAAGTGCAAAGTGACTTTGAGGCAAAAATACACGTAAGGCCAAAAAAAAAAATAGTCGGTCTCTGGTCAGACCGAAGTTCCGGAATTGATGCGGCGACGCGTTTTTTTTTTTGGGGTGGCTTTTTTTTTCAAGCTTGTATTGTACAGACAAGGTGGGTACTATTTTGCTTTTTTGTGTCCTCATTATACATTGGTGTCTTCCATAATTTGCCTTGGTGCCCTTTATCACTTGCCTTGGTGCAATTTCCCCATTCCTTGGTGCTCCTTGGTACAAAAATTTGAGGAGGCGCGGCAATAGAGGGCGCTGTTGTAGCTTCCGAGTTAATTTGAAAAAAAAAAGGTTGACATGCATGATTAAAATCGACGCGCGCGCTGACCAGAGACCGAACACTTTTTTTTTGGCCTAAGTAGTCTATTTTCGATAAATTGCGAATCCCTTCCGTTACAAAAAGATGCTATGTGCAATTGTGAAAAGTTAAAGTACATGCAGCACACTGTACATTGTGCTCCAGTGCTATACAGCATATTGCTCCATTCAGTGGTGTACAATAGGCAAGGCATAATAATGATACATCACCTACGGCCTTACATATTTACCGCACCATTACAAGAAATTCTAGAAGGCTCACTCCATGTCAACTCAGCACACTTTCCTCAGATCTTTTATAGAATCGTGGCTGATATGTTGACATTATGAACAGAAATCGAAAGATAAAAGTACATGAAATATTCCAGTATTTTGACTTACAATATATTTCTTTACAAATAATGTGTACATGAGCACATATCAAGATTAGAAGTAACTTTCCACGGAAGAGAAAACTGTGCCGAATTTTGCCCAAAATACTGAAAAGGGACAGTTTGTTATTAAACAGAAACACCCCCACCCTGAGGTGGGGGGTGGGGGGAATGGATTTTACATGTACTTCCTGAGGCTTTACAACGCAACAGACGACCACAGACACGGACATCACTGTTGCTTAGCCAGAGTTGTGATCTAGTCAAATGACAAGTCAAATGACAAGTCAAATGACAAGTCAAATGACAAGTCAAGTGACAAGTCAAGTGACAAGTCAAATGACAAGTCAAATGACAAGTCAAATGACAAGTCAAGTGACAAGTCAAGTGACAAGTCAAATGACAAGTCAGATCACGAGTCAAGTCACAAGTCATGTCACAAGTCATGTCACAAATAACAGGAGGAGGAATGATTACAATGTCATACTTTTGTCATAGTTCATTTACATTTCTATATAATACCACCTTTCTTGAGACTACACGACGCGATTGTTTTGTGATGACATGTGATTGACGTAAGAATTCCTTGTCATCCCTTATGATTCCTTGAAATGACTTGTGATGGCTTGTGATGCCATAGTCTAGGAGCTAGACGTTGTTTCATACCCGATCACCGCCACGATACCCCACTGCCGCGAGAGGGTGCTATCACGACCAACCAATATCATCCACGAACCGTCAGTAAGAACCTCTAGGCCAATTTGTATCGGTTGTGTAATGCGCGCACACCTGTTTGGCCTTTTGTACATGTATGCAGCATGCATTAAAAATAAATCATCTTTTCCGAAGCAAACTCTCAAATTTCTTCTAGTTATATAAAAGATGCAGCAAGACTTTTGTGCAACTTCACTGGTCAGCTCTTTTGTAATGTGTGGGACTGAAATTGGACCGTAATTGCCTGCAGAAGTCGCGCATGCGCACTAGTTTCCCCTAATTTTCGGGGGGAGATTTTAGGAATTGGCCTGGATACTGTTACTGACGGTTCATGGATGATATTGGTTGGTCGTGATAATGCCCTCTCACGGGTTATCGCGGCGGTGGGTTACTGCGTATCAAACCAAAACAACGTCTAGCCCTTAGACCAATGATGCCACAATTAGGCCAACAAAAAAAAGTCTCCAGTTTCTGGTATGGAGCTTGCCCAAAAAGTGGTGTGGCCACGCAGCTTTTATTTTTTACTTTTTTTTTTCTTCAAATGTGGGCTGATGACTGCAAATGGTGCCCGACTAAATTTAGTGCAAAATATATGGGAGTCCAGAGAGGCCACATAAAGCTTATTCTCGATCGTAACCCCATCTAAAAACACGTTAAATTTGTGCAGCAGCAGGATCCCAGTCAAACCAGTGAGTTTGGCAGTTTTGAGACATCATCTTTTGCCGACACGCATGGCTACGGCGACACGCGCGCATATCAGAAACCGGAGACTTTTTTTTTTGGCCTTAACTACTCTGGCTCGATTCGTTCTCCCCGATCCCGCAAAAATAATCGCAACAGAATTGTTATATCATATTATAGATCATAAGACATCAGATCATCTGTGACTGAATGACAGAGTGCGATACAATTAACTAGTCTCAGGATCTTCCCACCTATGATGTTGGTGTCCTTTTGCCATCTCAGTGATCTGTACGTGCACGGCTTGCACTTGAACGTTTTGCGGCGGTAGGGGGAACTCCTTGTATGTGACCCTATCCCCAGCCTGTGGCACATAGTCCCCTTCGATACTGAAAAGAAATACAAAGCAATACAGTGAGTAGGGGTGAAGTGTCTGAAACCGAGCTCTGAACTCCCCAAAGATGACCCGACCTGACAAAAATTCAGGGAATAGCTGATCCACACAGACCTTAAAAACAACAACAAATGAAAATAAATTATGGCTTGCGCAAAATGTTTTTATATTTCACGAGTACTGTGTCCTCTCTTTGTGCCTGAACTTACTCTCGCAATGTGAATTTTGTTTTCATCCTACATAAATACTTGGGACAGTCAAACATTTGATGTTAGCCTACTGTGCCATTATCCTTCATTTACATGAATGTTATGTCTTTAATATTTTGACACATTTATGATGCTGAAAAGGTTTAAAATAGGACCAAAAAGGACGAGATACTTGTAATGTGCCGTGTTGTAAGGATTAGGACATGCACGAATAGGTACAGTGAAAAGTCCCTGTATCCCGAGTGCGATTCTGTTACCGAGCGCGATGCATCGATTATGATAATGAGTAGACTGGAGCTCGTTTGTAAACATAAGTGCATTTCGAACGATGATTGGGAGTCGAAAACTAGCTTGACAAACGAGATCCAGTCTACTCATTATCATAATCGATGCATCGCGCTTGGTAACGGAATTGCACTCGGGATACGGGGACCATTGAAGGAACGCTGGGCATGATGACCACATCCCGTTTTCAAACTCGAGTCGGAAATTTAACGTGCTCACGATCGCGAGGGGAGCTCTCGGAATTGGAAGGGAAATTTCACTTTTCATCCGGATCGTAAGTAAACTTCAGTACCACCATCTTAATCATCGATGTCTACTTGTACTTCAGGTGGCATATCTAGTAATTTGGAGGCTGTTTTCAGGGTGAAATCTGATGTTTTTGTTTGGCAATGTCCGGTTTTTGGGTCAATGTGAACGTTGTGTTTACCGACTGATGCGTTTTAGCTTGGACCCTACTATCGCCAGACCATGTCCGAATGTTAAAAAGGCGATAAGTTGGGTCCAAGTTACTCGGACTAGACTAACTCGGGAACAATTTATCGATGGAATACCGATGAATACTCACTCAGAAACATGAACAAATAAATGCTGTGTAGTTCCCTCCTTGTCTGGCTTGATGAACCCGTGGCCCTTGCTCTTGGAGAATTCAAGAACTGTACCGTGTTTAAAGTCGCCCTCCGCTGCTGCTTTGGACCTGCACAAATATTGTGTAGCACAGTAATTACCATTCCGCTTTAGAAAAAAGAATCATGAAAACCCTAAGCCTGCTGAATCCAACTGGATATCATAAGCCCGTTGGACCCTGTTGGATTTAGCAGGGTAGTATTGAGGAAGTTAACCCTTAGTGTAGTGGGTTAGGGTTAACCCCTTACTCTCATCAATAATCCAAAATCAACCAGGCCGTTTTGGAGGATTGCAGCTTTATCAGTGCCAGTTGATTTGGGGAGTGCACTATGTCAAGGTCTGACGCTATACACTGTGTTGTTTATGATTAGCCATGCATATGCCTAGATTATACTGGATGTCATCCTCACTGCTTCTGGTTACCATCTGCACTGCTCCAATGTGTTTAAAAGTGAGTCAGAGGAATTTGAAGGATTGAGGCAGTGGTCACCTCCACTGAATATATTCAAGACATAATGAATGATTTTCGAGGATTGAGGCAGAATCCATTTTATACACGGTGGCAATTGGAGGATTTTGCAGGACTGAGGATGGTTCCTAGCCGAAAAGCCTAGAGGTTAATGATGTGTATTCAAAGGTTTGTGGAAAGTTTTGAGCCTAATACATAGTGGTCTTGGGAAGAAATAGGCGATGAACAACAACAAAGGATTTTTTGTGAGGTTTCATTTGTGAGGACTTGTGTTGTATTGTGATGGACTTGTGATGGACTTTCATGGACTTGTGAGGACCTGTGAGGACTTGTGATTGACTTGTGAGGCGTTATGAGGACTTGTGAGGTCTTGTGAGGACCTGTTAGGAGTTGTGAAGACTTGTGAGGACATGTGAGGATTTGTGATGGACTTGTGAGTTGTAAGGACTTGTGAGGCTTGTGAGGTCCTGTAAGGACTTGTGAAGACTTGTGAGGACCTCTGAAGACTTGTGAAGACTAGTGAGGACTTGTGAGGACCTGTGAGGACCTGTGAGGACCTGTGAGGATTTGTGAGGACTTGTGAGGTCATGTGAGGATTTGTGAGTACCTGTGAGGACATGTGATGATTTGTGAGGACTTGTGAAGACATGTGAGGATTTCTGAGGACTTGTGATGAATTCAACCACAACATTGGTACTTACATCGATGTTGTTCTTGTCCTCCTTGTTATAATTGGACTTGGGATGAGAAAGATTCCATCCTTGCCGATAGCTTTAGTCTTATCTCCTCCACAGTCAGTGCTGCTTCCTCCCGGAGATGTTGACATCTTTGTTTAAAGTGCTTGCTCCAAAATTAGATATAGTATCCAAATTTTCTGTACAATAGAGAATTTCAGGTCAACATTAAAGCCAAATATAGGCCTAAACCTGTCATCTTTGACATGTGGAGACGCCAGTATTTTGCGTGATTTTTGGCAACTTTTGTGGTGAATTTTGACGACCAGTGGGTGGAGCAATCTCAAAAATCTATCGTGACCGCGTGACGCGCTTCATGGTTATTCATGACACGTAGTATGTACAGAAGACATGCACGACAGCCGTTACAATGGATTTTTCTGGAGAATCGCCACCAAAAATCATTCACAATTTTCATATTTTTTTTATTCTTCTTTGTTCTGTTTGAAGTTGATAATTATTATTAGCTTCATGAATGACTGCATGGTATGAGGTACGGATTGTGGTATCTGGGTTGACTCTTCTTACGATCTAGTTAATTTGAGTTTTTCCGAACTCCATGGTTTGACCATGGAGGAATAATCCTCCATGGTTTGACTGAGTTGGGCCTCCAATTACTCGAGTCAAGCTAAACATCACTGAACATTGATAGCTTGAGAAACTCCAGCTGACATGCTCATATCCATTCACATGTAGCGCTGGAGACATAACCTATTCGTTAGAGTGTGGTAGCAAGAGACCCTAAAAAAGGGCCTCTACAATAATGGTCCACTTTCACCTCTATAATCCCACCTCAGATTCCATGGACATACCTCACACTATTCAGCAGTCATTCACGAAGCTAATGATCGACTTGAAACAGAACCAAAAAAAAATGTGAAAATTGTTGACGATTTCGGCAGCTTGTCCATTAAAATCGATCCAGTTCCAACGGCTGTCGTCCATCTTGTTTACTTAATTACGCAAATGAATGCATCACGTGATGATTATCGGAAAAAAAATTGCGCGATGTATGTGGGTACCACACCGCTTTCAAGGGCCGCTAGTAGGTTCAATTTTCGTCTGGCGCGTTGTCGTGAAAAGCAGTCGTGGAAAGCAAGACAACGCACCCACTAGCGGCGCTTGAAAACGGTGTGGTACCCACATACATCGCGCAAATGTTTTTCTGATAATCATCAAGTGATGCATTCATTTGCATAATTAAGTAAACAAGATGGACGACAGCCGTTGGAACTGGACGGTTTTTATGGACAAGCTGCCGAAATTGTCAACAATTTTCACATTTTCTTTTGTTTGGTTCTGTTTCATTCGGTTGATCATTTATAGGACTTCGTGAATGACTGCTGAACATGCTGAATGGTATGTCCATGGAATCTGGGGTGGGATTACAGAGGTGAAAATGGACCATTTTGGTAGACTGGTAGAGACCCTTTTTTTTAGGGTCTCTTGCTACCACACTCTAACGAAAAGGTTTTGTCTCGAGCGCTACATCATGTGAATGAATATGAGCAGATGAGCATGTCAGCTGGAGTTACTCAAGCTATAGACCCGTGAACGTGGCTTGTAAACTACGCCACGTTCTTATGTCATTTCGAACCTGGCGAACGTGTCCTTCTGACTCCCTCCGTTACACACACTGGACGTTATTTTGCCCATGTAATAAGTACTCACATATGAAGCTGTCTTGAATTCTATTTGTACGTCAAAACTTGCATTTGACGAAAATTGAGGAAAATTCTGGCCCCGGTTCATGACGTCCGTCCGCTACTGCGAGCTGCCATTTTCTCCCAACTGACGCATGCGCATTGCGTTTTATTTTCGTATGATTCGACGGCTGTTTACTGTCGCAGCTAAAACAGACATCGTTTTAGACACGTTTCAAGTCCTTTCCTCTCTCACCGCACTGCACGCGGTCGCACGTGCGCCCGCGTGTGTGTGCGCACACGTACTGTATGTACACGAGATGAGCCGAGCAGCCAATCAATCGTCTGTGGGGTTTTTTTTTTCGGGGTTGCGACATGAAACAGCCGTCAATCTGTCCAAGCGACTCAGACGCGTCCGGGGTTATTTGTCAGGGTCGGGTTAAAATCTAATTTCTACACGTTCGTATGGGTCTTTACTGATGGGCAAATTTCGTCGAAATTACACAACCGAAACAATCGGACGGGCAAATTTAGATTTCTAGGTGAGTACTCAACACCCATACGGAATTATGTATGTCGGATCGATTTCGCCAGGTTCGAAATGAAACAAGAACGTGGCGTTGTATACAACGCCACGTTCACGGGTCTACTCAAGCTAGAACATTGATTGAATTGCCTCGTGAAACGCCCAGGACTTTAAGTTAAATGAACGGATGTTCCGATGATGCGAGACAGGCGAGCAAGAAAACATTATATTTTACGAAGAAAAATTAAGAATGTATGCCTATTATAAAACCATAATCCCCATAAAGAAAACTAAAATGCAACGAAATTGGAAGACTCACCGGACGCTTCTTTCTTTCTTCAAAGCTTTTGTGAATGCACAAACAGCGCCCTCTATCGCCTACATAATGTAAACTTCTGTTACCCAGAATGCTTGTTGGGTTTACAATTAATTCCTGGCTTCATTTCCGATTCAATTTCATAATTTTAGCTCCCCTGCTGACCATCTCATCTACCCCAGTACAATCTCGGTCCATTTTCCAATAAAGGGCTACCTATTTTATTGATTGGTGTATTTACTTCTTTGGTGTGAACGTAACAAGATTTTTATGACTCTCAGACAGACTCGGAAGACGAGACGAACCGTAAACGAAGCCGGATTTTTGTAAACCTCAAGTGGGACGTCAACAAGGGCGGATGGGGGGGGGGGGGATATTGGGGCCACCCCCCCCCCCCCCCCCCCCCCAAAAAAAAGAACCCATTTATTTTTCAAAAGTGACGTCGAAATAAAGGCAGGCTGCATACACCACCATCTTTTCCTCAAAAAGATGTGTTTAAAGTGGTCAGCAATTGATTCAGGATGATCGCACCAGAGCATCTAGAGCCCTTAAGCGGGCCCCGAGCCGTCAGTTTGGGACCCACTTTTTGGAGATAAAAACAAAAGTAAAGAAGAAATTGAAGAAAGAAAAAAACGAACGGAATCAGCAAAATGACACCCATTAGTGGGACTCGAACCAACGGATGAGCCTAGGCTAAATTCCCTAATTGAAAATATACTTCCCGGCTTGATAAGTGCGAGCCAGTAGCCGCCCCAGTCGGTAGAGTGGCGTTCTCAGATCATCAATCTCGGCGTTTGGGGTTCGATCCCCAGGTTGTCAATAACAACTTTTTTTTGGTCGGAGTGGGTGGGGAGAGGCCACTAACGCCGGTACGTGACTGTTGACGTCACCACCCTTTGCAACCGGAGGTTTATATACATGATAAATTCCCGGCTTGATAAGTGCGAGCCTGTAGCCCAGTCAGTAGAGTGTCGCTCGCAGATCATCAATCTCGGGGTTGGGGGTTCGAGCCCCAGGTTGTCACCAATAATATTTTTTGGGGGTCGGGGAGGGGTGACTGACGACGACTTTTGACGTCACCACCCTTTGCAACCGGAGGTTAATATATAAATTCCCGGCGTGATAAGTGCGAGTGGGTAGCCCAGTCAGTAGAGTGGCGCTCTCAGATCATCAATCTCGGGGTTGGGGTTCGAGCCCCTCGTTGTCCTCAACAACATTTTTTTTTTTCGTTGGAGAGGGGTGACTATCGACGACACGTGACTTTTGACGTCTTTACCCTTTGCAACCAGAGGTTTTTATATATTATAAATTCCCGGCTTGATAAGTGCGAGCCGGTACCCCAGTCGGTATGTAGAGTGGCGCTCTCTGAGCATCAATTTCGGGGTTAGGGGTTCGAGCCCCAGGTTGTCACCAATGACAATTATTATTGTTTTCGTCAGAGCAGGGGGTGGGGAGACACGACGCCACGTGACTTTTAAAGTCACCACCCTTTCCAACCGGAGGTTTATATATATTATAAATTCCCGGCTTGATAAGTGCGAGCTGGTAGCCCAGTCAGTAGAGTGGCGCTCTCAGAGCATCAATTTCGGGGTTGGGGTTCGAGCCCTGGGTCGTCACCAACAACTTTTTTTTTTTGTAAGCGCGGAGGGGTTGGCGAGGAGCGACTGACGATGACACGTGACTTTTGACGTCATCACCCTTTGCAACCGGAGGTTTATATATATTATAAATTTCCGGCTTGATAAGTGCGAGCTGGTAGCCCAGTCGTTATATAGAGTGGCGTTCTCAGATAATCTCATCAAGTCGTGAAATTGTAATATATATAAACCTCCGGTTTCAAGGATGGTGACGTCAAAAGTCACGTGTCGTCGTCAGTCGCTCCTCGCCACCCCCTCCGCTCTGACAAAAAAAAGTCGTTGGTGACAACCTGGGGTTCGAACCCCCGACCCCGAGATGAATATAAAATTCCTGTGGTTTATTGGGTTGGCTGTGACGCTCTCTGTCTGATTTCTAGATTCTACTGTTTTTTTTATACAATAAATGAACATTCCGATCTTACAGCTATCTTACAGGTTTTCTTGCCTTATTAGGAATTGTTCACTAACTATTGAATATTAATAATACAAGATTGAAGGTGTTTGGTCAACTTGTATCTGGGGTAGAGCTTGGCAAATTAATAGAACAATCGGATTTCCTTATAAGTCTGTGGGCTGAATCACTGTGGCCTTCCGGTGCAGCCCAGCATCCACCCACGCGGACCTTGTGGCTAAACTGGCCATTCCTTAGATGTGTCTCGTTACCAGGAAGTGGTCCTGTTTCTTGCAGGTCAACCCATACAACTTATTCAGTAAATATAAAACATGATATTTTATCATGGTGATATTACACTGCGGCTGCGATGTACTAAAATGAGCCAAGAAAAAAATAACTGAAAATTGATTTCAAAAGGCGGCCTATTATAGCCTCCCTGAAAAACCGGGACTTCGCACCCACCAACCCTTTGAAAAACCTTCAACCCGCTGGTATTTTAGTCAGTAATGAAAATGATGTAGGCCTAATACTAGTCGTCAATGAATTCCGACAGCTATTCTTAAGATTTATCCTGAAAAAATAAATTCCTTTCCTATATTCTTATAAAAGATATTCACTTTGAATTGCTTGAAAGTTATTCACTCGTGATTTTTGAAATACCTTAAGTTATTCACCTTTTATTGTCTACCGTTTTTACACCGGGCTGCGTAAAGGTAAAAGAAGCTAAGGTCATTATTTTGTATCCGTTTTCTTTTAAACCACTAGAGGGCCCAATTTCATAGAGCTGCTTAAGCACACGATTTGCTTAGGGCCTAAGCACGAAATAGTAAAATCAGGTTAATATAATTACCGGCCAAAACTCCATGTGCTGTACATTGCTTGTGACAGGTATTTAGCTGTTGTTTACTTAGCAAAGCAATCGCATGGAGTTTTGGCCGGCAACCTGATTTTATTAGGCAAGACTTTTTTATGCTTAATCAAATTCCGTGGATGATGAATTTGGCCATGTACAGTCTGGACCTAGTCGTAAAAGAAGTTTAACCAGCTGTGTCAAGCGAGCCATATCGTTTCTCAAACAGCCCCATCCAAAAGAAGATAAATGGACCCTACTTATCCACGGTATCGATCCCTCCTCTACTCGAGATCCTTTTTGATCCGGTTCTCTATTCTTAAGATCTCTCGTCGTGCCACTATCGATATTTACTGTTTGTCTGATTTATTTGTGAATCGGCTTTGTATTTTTATTGGATTAGCGGCGAGGGGATTTAACAGTTCATTGAACAGGCCGTTTGACGACCCGAAAGGGTGTCCGTAACATTCTGCTAGATGCACTTCAAAAATCTGCTGGATATTTTTCTGTCACATCACCAATTTACAGCGTTCTGCTAGAAATCTGCTAGAAAAAGATCGTTCTGCTAAATTTTCTGTCAAAAGCTTTTTTTTCCCCGAAAAATTCTGTCAAGTTAAGCCAAAATTTGGCTAAAACGGTCATTATAGTTTTCCTGAACAACATCATAAGGATGGTTATTATAAGATGGAATTTTATATATAAGGATGGTTGTTGAGCGCCCTCTACGATACTTTTATAATACGTATATATGCGCAGGCATTTAATGCCATGAATTACGGTTTACTGTGGTTGAGATCGGAAGGTGTGAGTTCGAAACCACATTTTCTATTTTTTTTCTAATTTGCGGCTTTCGAGGAGGTTTTTTATGGAAATAAAGTCCGAATTTCATTTATAGGTTTGAATTAATTTCTTTTTTTTCTTTTATATATATATTTTCTCATGTTTTTAGGGGAAAAGTCCAAAACCTCAGAGCGTACACTCCACACTGTAAAAGAAGTTGGGCATTTGTTGACCAACTTCTTGCCCTTAATTGGTGTATATCAACTTCCCAACTTTTGATCACTTAATGACCAACTGTCATTGGCAGGCCATTTTGACCAGAAGATGGGTAATAAAAATCCAACCAGCTGATGAGCAGACAGCCTTTTTCCCAATTATAATTATTTATATCTATAATTTATCTGTAAGTCGCATCTTTTGCGTTCATTATTATTGACGTGTTTATTTTGATTTACCTATCCAATATTTGTGCATGTTCACAGGATTTACACTTTTGTTTTTGTTTGTTTACCCTTATGTTTAATATTCTAAATGTATGCATTTCTCTTTGGCCATTCATGGTTTGCCTTAATATGTCTCGTTTAATTCCTTCTGTGTTTACTTTGTTGTGTTGCTTGTAGCTTGGGTCCTTTCTATCATTGTGTGCACCCAATCTACAAACAACACAACTTTAAGGGGGCCCATACTCGACAAGCTGTGCTTCTTATGGACCCCCTCCATTTCCAAGCTTTGTTTTCATTCTTATTATTTTATGTTGTACTGTATTATTTACATTCTTATCCATACTATCTCTTTACACATGTTTATTGTTCAGCGTTGGAATTAGAAATAAAGTTAAGATTAATTGATTGATTGAATTAGTTGGTCAATTAATTATTTCCATTTTATTAGTCAAATTATCTTACACAATTAGATGGCAAGTTTGCTTTGACCAATACATGGAACATTAACTCAATTAATTAATAGTCAACTTGACTTCAAAACCATTGGTGTTCTATTATGTTCTCATAAATTGGTGACTGGCTTATAATGTCTACTATCACATTATTGGTCAAAGTTATATAATGGATGGCAAGTTGGCTTTGACCAATACACGGAACATTATTTTACTCAATTAATTAATGGTCAACTATACTTCAACAACATTGGTGTCTCATGTTCTCATAAATTGGTCAATGGCTTCTCACCAACGTTTATAAAGTCTATTACATCTATCACATTTAATGGTCAACTTTGATATCAAGAAAATTGGCCGGGCTTATTTTCACATTGTGCAACAAGACATAAGGTTGTCAAGAAACGCATAAAGAATTTACAGTTATCAATTGCGCTCACGTTCTACATATCAAAAAGAGCATCACTAATAAATTCATCAAAGGATTATTCAGCATATTACGCCCAGTTTATGAGCTTTCCTGCCATAAGGTTAAATATAAACT